TGGCATATTATACAGGGTGTTCTGTTTGTTTAAATAGTAGAACTTGCACATTCCTTTTTCCATTTTAAGGTTAATTTAAAGTTAGAGTAGAATTGGGAATGCCCTGTAATGAGAAATCAATTTTAAATATTATTCATATACAAAATTAATGTTTATTTTTAATGGGAGACAATTATTTTTATGAGAGATTTTAATAAAAATCATAATTTTAAAGCGATTATAATCGCCATCAAGTTTTATTCAACACTAGTACATTGTGTGGAGCGTTTTCGGTCTAAAAGTACTTGTACCTGTTTCTTGCCTCACATGTGCAAACTGTTAAAATTTTATCTAGTAAAAGTTGAATAAATTTTGATAACGATTATGCAATTTGTAAGAGGAAGAGTTATTCCTGTCGGTATCGGTAGTCCTGTGAACTCGAGCATGACATTGTATATAGCCATAGACATAGTCATTCTATTTATCACCTGACTTTTGAACTGTTATTCCTTCTTATAGATCTATATAATTATATAAAAGAAATCCTATGGAAAGGTAAAATATAACTGAAAATTATATATTGTTGTTATCGCATGTTGTTAATATTGTTAATGTTTGGACTTGTGCAAGACAATGTTTTAACGTAGCCGTTAATCAATCGATTCACTTTGTATAGACGATGTTAATATTTAAAAAATTATTTTTGTTGACTATGAGTACATACTAGATTTAAAGTAGATTCTAAGTTTGTTAATTATGAATTTGGAGCTGGAAGTAGTAGATATAGAAATCTATGCGGGACGTAGAATTTTTGTGGCATTCCCTCGCTGATCAATGCTGTGCATATTGGAGTCATATTAAATATAAGATTATTTACAAAAACGATTGTTAACGGCAAGTTAAAAGGTACCAAGTCATACACAAAGCATAGTTTTCATTGTCTAAATGTATGTGATCACTGTAGTTTGATATAGTTTTATTGAGAATAGGACATTACGTCAAATGTTATATTCTGCATCTACTATTCGACGATTTAATAATATACGCTTTATCACAGAATGAAAAATCAAAGCCACCTGTTAACAAAGTAGATAAATTCCGTTCAGTTGCCTCAAAACTTTTTATAAATACACTTTTTCTGTACAACATTTACTACTGCTGTGATACTCACAACTGACTTTAATGCAACGATTTGGTTGTTGATCTGCCACATTGAAACGTTATTATTATGCATACTTCGTTACATACATATATAACCGATGTTGCTTTATTTGTTGGTGTGTTTTACAAAATCAGCAACCAAATGTGATTGCGACGGCCATACATTTTTAGCTAGAAACATTTCATGTATTCAATTTGTTTATCGTAATATTTGTTACTACTTTTGTTAAATCCTTTATTTTTTTATGTTCAATATTTTCGTTAATATCCTAACGATGGAAATAATTGCCGTTTTTTTAATGAAAATTTTAATCAATTAGAAGGTGCAATATTTTTAGTGCATCTCCTGTATAATATATATGTTGTTTTATTGCATCACGATCATTTAGTCATTAGCTGTAGGAAACTGAGGGTTGAAAATCCTATAAAAAATAGATAAATAAGTTTTACTGTAGATGTAAGTAATTTATGGGGCTAATGGTGTAGGTATACCTTATTAATGGAGATGGATGTGAGGTGTGATATGGTTTCAGGGTTACCTGATTTATACTTAGTTACCATACTAGTGAGTATTTTTTGCACGATTTGTGATTGTGTTAACAAATTTAATCGTAGAATGTTTCTTTTGTTATTGTTCATCCTCATACGAAATTTTATAAAATTTAGGTAATTTACACGTCTACCTCTCCATCCAGTTAGGTATCTATATGATACGTACTACAGTGTATTTACCTAAATTACTTTTATTTACAGATGTTCGTACCTTTAAATTTGGTAAAACGGGTTGCTGTTTTTATTTATACACATTTACAGTTTTTGAAATATGCACATTCTACAAAATTTGGTACACGTGAGCATATTATATATATTTGTACCATTGTTTGTAGTTTACAAATTTAAATTAGTTAGTTCACAGCATTGTCAACTACATTATAATTCAATAAAATTCATAGTGCCATATATCGTATTATTCATAACTCCTCATTTAAACATACAGCAAACATGACCATTTTCCGTTCTCCTCTTTATTAATTCATAAAGCTTTAGTTTTATTTCACACATAGTTCACGGCGACAAATTAACTCGAAAAGCTTTGGAAGTGTTTAGAGAATGACTGAATTGCTCCTCTTGCAATAAGCTAATTAAATGTTTTGTTATCCAAACACCTCCATCGTTTAGCTACCTTCATTTCGTTTACTTATTCAAAATTAGTACAAATCTTTGTGTGTTATCCGTCCATTTAACTTTACAATTAGCCTGATAATATTCTAGTCAATTTGAAATTTGTATTCAAATTAGGTTTATTGTAAACTTAATTTATTTTGTATAAGAGAAAAATAAAGGCTGAATAAACTTATTTGATAAAAAAGATTTATTAAAAAATGATTATGATTCAAAGAAATTGCCCTTTTAGATTTCTTTTTGCTATAAATAAAATTTTAATTTAGCAATTTGGGTAAAATTATCAATCAATTTCCACATAATTGATTAAATGCAATATAGCTACTTTGGTGTAGTTGAAGTAACAACAATGGGATTTTAGATTTTTTGTTTTTTGCCCGATATTACAGAAATTTGGAATACATATTTTTTGTTTTGAAAAACTCTTCAAATAGAAATAATAGCACTTCAAAACTAGCATAATTTAATATAAAAAATTGATTATAAAGTAAGAGCATATAAATGGGCCGTATGAATAAAAGTAAGCAAATGCTTATACTTGCAAAATTTCAAAGTAAATACTTGTAAGTGCTCCTTCGCACTGGGCGACTTAGCAGCGCTTCTAAGCAGAAGGAAGGACGCAGTACAGCGCTGCTAAACCATGCTAAACAGACCAGTATGAAGGGGCAGTTACGAGTATTTACTTTGAATTTTTGCAAGTATAAGCATTTGCTTTTATTCATACGGCCCATTGTCTTGAATTATTTTTCAACTTGTTTTGTTAGCAGGGTATAATTTATAGTAGGTTAGTTATCGAAAGGAACAATTTATAACTAAACTATCAAGTTTGTGCATAACCTCAACTCAATTGATAGCAATATCTTCGATATATCAATAAAACAGATTAATTTAAATTGCAACAAACCTTGGGAATGATTCAGAGCTGGGAAGTAACTAAAATTTAAGTTACTTTCAAGTAACTAAGTTACTGTAACTTAGTTACTTTTGAAATAACACTAAAAGTAACTTGTAACTTAGTTACTTTCTAAAAGTAACTTATAACTTTTCCAATTTCAGAGGAACTTAGTTACTTATAAAGTAACTAAGTTACTTTCTGGTAACTAAGTTACCTAAAAAGAACTTAGTTACCTACCGAAAAGTTACTTTTTATTTATTATAAAATTATTCCTCAAAATACATTGTAGATCTCACAAGCATTTTAAATAATGTCAATAAGAAAATAGTCCTTCTTGTAATTTAATATTGAGGAGATGATAAAAGGTAGTAGCCTAAAGTGCAATTTTTTATCTCTTATTTGATATATTATGTAATGTAGGAGTATGAGTAAGATGTCGATGCACCCTACCATCGCCGTTGTAATTATATACTCAAAATTTCTTATCTGTACACTTTTCGAATTCGCGACTCGGCAACAGCACCACGCCCGGCGACGCATCGGCAGATATTTGTATATGTGATCTGATGCTTATTATGTTATTAAAAAAATGCAACTCGCCATTTGCCTTGTTAGTTGTAAACGTGAGACTGTTGTGCTTGTGAACGAAATAATATGAAAATAAAACTTTTGGTTATTCAGTATTCAGCTGTTTCTTATTATTTGTTGAAATTCGAAGCAAGCAACTGGAAAGTATCTTTTTAAAAGAACTTTTTTAAAAGTAACTTAGTTACTATAACTGTAACTAAGTTACTTTTGTTTCTACGTATCTAGTTACTCAAGTAACTTAAGTTACTTTTTGGAAAGTAACTATAGTAACTTACTTTATCAAAGTAACTTCCCAGCTCTGAATGGATTGCACATATGCGACTATCTTTCATATTTGACCGAATAATGGATTGCACATATGCAACGCTATCTTTCATATTTGTGGCCGAATTTTTACGATTTTAATAGAAGTTGCATCTGACAAATGAGAAATGAATGCAAGTGGAAATGCGCTTTTTGTAAATCGTTTACGATTACTTTTTTAACTTGTTGTCTTTAGTATTGAGTGGGCGGGGTTTCAGCTAAGGCTGCTCTACCAACCTAACCCACTACACATTTACAAATACCCATGCCCGTACCCGGATTCGAACCAGGGACCCTTAGTACCGCAGTCCAGCTTCAACTCAACTGCGACACACGGGCCGGCTTAAGAATGATGTTATTGTTTGTAAAAACATCCAATCACATGTCTTAACAACACTGTTAGCTGACAACATAGTTAAGAATGCTGTATGGCTTTATAATACGGGCCGATAATCATTTTGAAATTAACAATTTTGTGGTTTTCCCTGTATTTCTTACCCGAGCGAAAATTTTGATTTTACCGTATTAAGTTTTAAAGAAAGAGCACATGCTCAAAAATAAGTTAAAACCAACAACTTTTTTTTAAATGAAAATACATTTTTATTTTCCTTTTGGAATTTTACATAGTGTTTCATGTACAGGGTGTCCCATTTTCGACACTTTTATAGGCGTTATGGGCTCTTTTTGGGTCAAACTTGCAATGGTAAAATCAAAATTTGCACATTTTTGCTTCAGAGATACGGAGATAAATCAAACAATTTTCAATTTCAGAATGACCGTATATATTCTTAGTAAAAACAGAAACAAAAAAATGTTTCTTGAAAATTATTGATAAATAATCTGCCGTTTTCAAAATAAATAATTATACAGTACTATCGGGTAAAATAGTATATTACAGTACAAGTGGAGAAACTAAAAGTTTCACTCACGCGTGTGTCGAGATTACACACGAGGCGTAGCCGAGTGTGGAACGACACACAAGTGAGTGATTTAGTTTTCCACGAGTGCTGTATAGCGTTTTGTTCAATCCTGTTACTAATAAAAATTTAAAAAAAAACAGTGTAATAGTTATTTTTTAAGCATCTGAAAAAAACATAGTAGGTAGTTTTCGTTGTTATGGTTTCCATGAGATCTGCGTAAAACAATTGACACAATCTGTCAACAAATTACAATTGTAGCAAAAGTGTGCGCGTTTAGATTTCCGAGAAAATGGAAGATGAAAATAGTGTATTTGTGCCAGATAACATTTTGGAAGAAGCGAATGCAGCGACATTTAATTTATTACCGAAAAAATCCAAAGACAGATACATCAAGGAGTTGGAAAAATTTCGGTCGTGGATGGAGAACAGAAACGTAAATGTTGTAATTGAAGAAGTAGTGGTTGCTTATTTCAATGGATTGATACAAAAATACGCTGCCCCTTCTTTATGGTCTGTATTTTCGATGCTTAAATGCACCCTATTTGTTTTTGAGAAAGTGGACATAAGCAAGTAAGTTTTAGTTCATTATTAATTTACTGGTTGTAATATATGAAATGTTTTAGGTTTAAAACCTTGTTCGCCATTCTAAAAAGTAATTCTAAGGGTTATCAACCTAAAAAAGCGAAGACATTTGATCAAAGAGAAGTGGAAAAGTTTTTAAATGAAGCTCCTGACGAGATTTACTTGCTAATGAAGATGGTTGTTGTGATGGGAGTTATGGGCGCCTGTAGGTGTGATGAGTTAGTAAATCTTAAAACCACTGAGATTCAAGATAAAGGGACTATATTAGTCGTTAGTATCACCAAAACGAAAAATTGTAAACCGCGTTCCTTTGTTGTGACTGATGTTGAAGGAAATAATTTTAAGTGTTTAACAATATATCGAAAATATGCAGCACTGCATCCAAAAGCTCTCGGCGATGGAAGATTTTTCTTGAATTATCGATCAGGCAAATGCACAGTTCAACCAGTTGGCATAAATACTGTATCCAAAATACCTAGATTGGTGGCAAGTTACTTGAAATTGAAAGATGCCGACCTTTATACAGGACATTGCTTTAGGCGGACGTCGGCAACACTATTAGCAAATGCTTCTGCTGATATCCTTACCCTTAAAAGACACGGAGGTTGGCGATCCTCATCTATTGCTGAGAGTTATGTAGAAGAGTCGGTGACCAATAAAATCGAGATAGCGAAAAAAATTATTACGGGTGATAGTGGCAGTAGCACCAGCACCAATAACGTTTGTTTGCAAATTGGAGCAGAAGATGCTGCAAAAGTTCAAGTCCCTGGTATCAACCAACCAATTTTTAACAATTGTAATGTTAATTTTCATATTTATAAGTAATTTTGTTGTTTTGTATCTAAGTGATGAATTATGAATCAATAAAAGTTCAGCGTATGTGTATTATGAGTGGGTGAAAATTTTTCACTCACTCTTTTCGCTCACCCGTTGCTATGGAAATAGTTTGAATGGGTAAAACAAACACTTTCACATTTGGTATCTAAGTAAGAAACACTTGTTTTCAATGACAGGATTGAACAAAAGTTATTATCTAACTTAAATGGGCATACCCTGTATATTTCAATCTAAAAATAGCTATTAAATTCTGTTTTTTTAAATATAACACTGAAAAAATTCAATATCGGTTCTCCCCCCCCCCCCCCTCTTTACCATTTTCAAAAGTTTTACTTGCCACTAAAGGCATGCGCATGTAAAATGGTAACTCCTCAAATTCGAGCGGGAAATTCGAAATGCTGAACTTGGCTGTTCTATAGTTCTCTCTTTGTTGGTTGCATTCAATCGACATTGCTGTGACATTTTACTGTTCTGTGGTTTGTGTATATTTCTGTGGTCGAATGTCCATGGTTGATACTTGATTTTGTGGTCTATGTAATTTGTGTTGATATTTATTAATCGTTTATTTTGTTGATAATGGTAGCGACTTGTATTGTTTGCAAGAATTATCGCGGCAAGAAGACTGCTAATCAAAGTGGACAGGGAATATCGTTTCACACGTAAGTTGTCAATGTAGGTATTAAAAAGATAGAAAATTAGTTGTTAATTGTGCAATTCAATGGAAACTTATTTTTTATATGGCCAACTACGAGTAATCTGCTGAAATAAAATTTAGTGAAATTTGTTCTTCATTCTCAGAATGTTTGTGTTTGTATTTCAACAATCGTTTAGGTACTCGTACTTTGGTCGTATCAAGTTTGAGGAATCAATTCGTTTCTGAATGTCATATAAATTGTCATGATGTGCAATAGTACCTAATTTTACCTCGCTGTTAATATAGGTTCCCAAAGGACAATGTAGCAAAGCAAAAGTGGATGGAGGCATTGGGCCTCACCAATATCGCAGATTCATCAAGAATTTGTTCTACTCATTTTTCGGACACTGATTTTGAAGAACAACTGCTTCTTGGATCTAGGAGAAAACTAAAAAAAGCTGCAGTTCCTTCTTTGAATGAAAACCCACAATATAGCAATAAAATCAAAAATGAAAATGTAAGTAAATAATCATATAGTAATCTTCCACTACTCAACTAGATGTTTTGTGGTGTCGGTTTATAGGTAGAAGGCGAGGTAGAAGGTGAAGAAGCTCAGGTTTTCATCGACGTGGGGAAAGCTCTTTGGGAACGGTATGTAATGAGTACTTTTTCAAATTGCACATGCTGAAAAGACAGGGCATTTTTTAATATAGAAGGGTTGCATTGGACTAACTTGCATAACTACCAAGAATTGAATATTATCAAAGCTGAAAAATGCATGAATCACATTCAAATGAGTTATATGGTGGTTAAAAAAATATTCAGTTCATTTTTCTGTGTCTATCGAGTGTATAATTTATTATGCTATTATAGATCGAGCGACACAGTAAATGATGAAGCCATACCATGCCCAAAATACCGGCGAATAGGCGACATTGATGTCAAAAAAGTGTGTACATCTCCAGCAGAAGCGAAATTATGTTTAGAAGTAGCTATAGAAACAATCCAGGAACAGAGAAGAAAAATTCGCAAACTGCAAACTTCCAATAACAAACTTCGGAAATCATTTATTGATTTGAAGGCACTTTTGAACGAATTGAAGGAGAAAAATGTCTTGTCTTCTGAAGCATGGGACATTTTGATTGTAAGTTAGTATAAACCGTAGAATATTATTACATATTACAAAATAAAATTATATTTACCTGTTCGCTTCATTTGTTGAACAAATTATTTTAATGTATAACTAATTAAATCATTTTCCCATAAATGCGAGACAAAACCTGCTGTCCCTTGTTTTATAATATACTAATTCTGTATCCCATGTTTTCCTTTTCTTTCCCAGCTTTCCAACACCTTAATTCTATTATTTTTCAGCATAACAATAACTAAAGGTTGTAGTGTACCTAATCCCAAGGTTCTACGCCAAATTCACACTACAAGAACATGGAAATAATCAACCCGGCAACGTTTAAAAATGGCCAGGAATTCACTCCAAAAGCTAACCAGAATCCCGCTTAAATTTGAAACCGAAAAATGGCGTGATCAAACATCTAATGCAGGGCCTTCTTATTGTTAGTTACAAACAATGCTATGGCATGAAGTACAGTAGGGAAGGATCGTAAAATAAAACACTGAAATTGCGGAAAGTTTGTTTAATAATTATTGCTCATATTAATAAGACTGAAAGCTCGGAAATGTAAGTGGAATTAAATTACATTGCAAAAATAAACTTTGAGAATAGTAGTTCACCGAGTAAAAATAAAAATAGGCTGGGAACAAAAGAACTTGCTAAGAAAAAACCAGCCGTCAAATTAATATTAAATTATGTAGCATGTAGGCTTTGAGTGGTAACATATAGGTTAAAAACAAGTAACGTAGGCTTTGAGTGGTAACATATAGGTTAAAAACAAGTAACGTAAGGTAAGCATAGGTACTTAAGATTCTGAGAAAGGGTGAAATATACAGGATGGGACTCATCTGGTGCAATAATTTCCTTTTGTTAAGAGCAAGATGGAAAATTACATGGTCTTGTAAGGCGAATTCATTGTTACAACAAAATCACACATATCACACATAGATTGTAAACGGAAAAATTTGTATTAGAAGAATCTTGTTCCGGGTTTCGAGCCTATACAGTTGACTGTCGAGATCAGTCCCTGTATTGAGTGTCATAACTCATTTGGTTACAGTGTTTTTACTCTCTCTTCAAGGCGAAAATGTTAGTTTAAAAAGACTTTATAAATGCAAAGCGGAAACAAGGGCAACCAATTTAAATTAATACGAAAAAAAAAAAGTTAAGTGCAATGCTAGTAAGTATTTATGTAAAAGTCGTTCATCTCGCAACCAGACAGTACAAATTCAACCTTTATTATTATTATATTACTGTTCCATCTGTCTGACTGCTAATTTCCTTGGAAACAACTGCATTCAAATAGGAGGTTATCTCTCAGGTTACGATGTGATCACAGTCTACACTTTGTATCTGGTATAACCTTTGGGGTTTGATTAATTATTTTCTAATGTTTATCTTTCGTATTTTTGATTGGGATTTGATTGTATTTTCTTATGTGCTTTCATTTTAGCGGAGTGGGGCGGGTGATGGTGGTCATGGCAACTCCCCTCAGACCGTCATCATCACTTGCCTATGTCATGTCATATCTCCTTCCATTCTATTCCACAAGTCTTTAGTCTGTGTAGACAGACACAAAGTGTCAAGGCGAACGCGACTAAAATTTACAACCGTCAAGTGAACTACTGGGTGTTTTTTGTGAAATTGCCGGTTTGTTGTTTATTACGATCAATAACTATTTAAAAATTCGTTTTTTGTTATTGAAGTTAATCTAATTATTAGAAGATGTCTATTATTGGAAAGGTAAGAATTTTGATTATCTTCGAGCATTTTTACTCTCCTCACATATTAATAAGTTATCAAGTTTACCTTGATATTTAATATGCAAATTTTAAATTTTGTTTCTAGCCGATTCTATATTCCTACTGGCGAAGTTCCTGTTCTTGGAGAGTTCGAATAGGTACGACTTTAAACAACTCAAATTACCATACTAGTTGTTTATCTGGTTTTTACTCTATTTATAGCGTTGCATTTGAAGGAAATTCCGTATGATATTAAACCGGTATCATTGATTAAATCAGGAGGAGAACATCATTCAAACGAATTTCGTGAAATAAACCCTATGGAACAAGTACCTGCTTTGCAGATCGATGGTGTCACTTTGGTGGAATCGCTTAATATATTGCATTATTTGGAGGAAACTCGACCTCAAAGGCCTCTTTTACCCCATGATGTTGTTAAAAGAGCAAAGGTGATTCTATCTTATCTGACTGTTACTGTTTATTGTATTTGTGCCATTATGTTTTTATACGGCTAACAGCCGGTTGGAGGAAAGCGAGTTACAATCAAAATCCTACATTATTTGCCAAATCTGAGTTTAAACAAGAATTTTGACATTTGATTGGCTGTCTACTTCAATATAAAGCCAATCAAATGTCTTAATACCGGATTAAACAATAATCCTGGATTATTCAGGATTATTTTTTTTGTGCAACTGGCCGTAAGTTGTATAACACTATCGTTATTTAAACCGTTTCGCGACTGGGTGACCATTTTTAAGTACTTACCTGCATTTTTTATTTTATGTAGGTATTAAGAGAGCATGTATCACTTGTATAGTTACTCAACGCTTCAATTATAAAATTGACAATAAAGCAAAATTTACACCAAAACAGAAGGTGGCTACGAAATAAAAGCATCTGTGCAGGGTTGTCATATTAATTATGCTCTCCAGAGGCATTTTCGAAAATTGAACCGGTTTAACCAGGCTAATAAAAATTACCATGGAAACAATCGTGGTAATAATTGTTACTATTGCAAAATCTACCAACCTGGTTAAATTGATGGAATTTTCGAAATTGCCTCAGGAGAGAATGCCCGTCACGGAACACTTGATGCTGGTCTACAATAATCGCATGTTATAATATGAAAAACGTGCAATTGTGGACCGGCATCAGGTATTCTGTGACTGGCATTCTCACCTGGCGAGCATAATAGTTGGGCATTGAATTTTGAGTGGGAAAAAAATATTTGTATTAATCACACGAAAGGTGCAGAACACGGTTATAAAACTTATCAGTGAACCATTTGAGCATGTGCACATTTGGCTCTCCATTAAATTGTATAACCGTGGACTACAGTGTAATAAAGGAACTATTATTGTCCTCAGGAATTATTAGACCATTCTTGAGGAGAATGCTGAAGCATTAGTAGGAATTGACGGTATAGATTACACTTGAGGGCAGATATTTATACAGAAATGTTGTAGGTCAGGGAAATATGCGAAGTGATCGCCTCTGGTATACAACCTCTACAAAATTTAATTGTACTGATACATGTCGGTGAGGAAAAAAAGAACGAATGGGCTCAACATTGGATTAGTAGAGGTTTTCGAGCTGTGGAAAAATTACTATCGCAAAGCGCGGGAAAATACTGTGTCGGTGATGACATTACGTTAGCAGACTGTTGCCTAATTCCGCAAGTATTCAACGCGAGAAAATTCCACGTTGATCTTCGACCGTTCCCTATCATATTGAGGATCGACAGAGAATTAGAAAACCATCCTGCAGTTCGAGCCGCTCATCCTAGTAATCAGCCCGATTGTCCACCCGAAGTTACTAAATAATCAACACTTTGATCGATATTTTTAACAAAAAGTCACTGAACAACTCTTCCAATACACCAAACGGTTTTCAAATGTAATGCTCCGTTGACAATCTTCATATTCTTTTGGATTATGTAGGTCACCGAGACACATTTATAGAACATGTTCAATAATACTTCCGCGAGTTTGCCAATGACAACACTTGTATTAGAAGAGCTGTTTTTATATATTGCCAAGATAAAGTACAAATAATTTCTTTAAATGTCTTATTTTTTTATTGTTTTTTTTACATTTCTGGTTGTAATAATAATTATATTGGTTGACAATTTTTGTAGTGTAATTTTGAATGTGAAGTACTTGCGTTTTTATAGATCTTTTACATGAATCGGAGATATTTTTATCTTTTTGGTCCGCCTATCCAAGTTTTATTGGTCACTGAAATTAGCATTAGGTATGCAAACCAATTTATATTACTAATCGTGAACTTAAGTGATAATAGAATTAGTTATGTATATGTTGATAATACAAATAGAAGGCACTCTCAAGTGTGGTGATATAAATTTGAGCTCATATTTAGATATTTCGTGGTGACAACGAGAGTAAAATTTTATCCAAATGAAGTACTGAGCGAAAGTAAATTTTTGTAGAAATTTTTATTTATAAAAATTTATTTTTTAATTGCTTGTCCCAAGTGTTGTAGTTGCTTGATTGATGGTAGTTTATCATGGTTTGTTATGAGTAAGTGGGAAATATTTTGTACGTTCCTTCATAGGGAGCTTTTTTAATAAATCATAATATTATCTATAAATTTTTTGTGTAGTTCTCAATTGATAAATTCCACGCAACTGGGGCAGAGAAATTGGAGAAGACAGACTTGTGTAAGTGCAAGTGTCCCTCATCTCTACACCCTTAAAAGATAAAAATTCCTACATGTAGGGATATATACATATAAAATGGCTATGTTATCTTTAAGTAATAGAAAAAAAACAGAACCATTCCCAAAGTTACCGGTGGTGGTTTCTTTTGTATAAGCCGGTCTTAAAAAAATTTAAGAGGTTCGTGATAACCACTTAAGCTAGGCACAGACATAGACATATGAGAATACACAATTATGTCTATGGGCACAGACCTACGAGTAAAAAATAAGGGGAGAATATAACGGTGGTGGGAAATAGCATAGCACGCGAGTCGCGCTCATATTACCTCCTTAGCGCTGGTCAGTTATATACAGTGATATTCATTTAAAAGTAGACAGGGATTTCCTATGTCTAGTTTCAATTGACAAAAACTCCTGAAGGACACCTAATTTAATTGGTCAGTTCTAATATCGATGCAAAGTGAAGTGTTAAGTTCCCGCTCGTTTTATGTTATAAAGTAGGTATTAGCATTGATTATACACACCAACAATGGTATTAGCTTTGTTTATTCATTAAACAATGGTATTAGTGAGAAATAATAATTACAGTTAAAATTATTGTTAGTTAATTGTAAATAAATAAATCACGTAATTAAGTTTACCTTACAATAGCAAAATGTTATTGAGGAAAGTTGTTTAGTTTTATAAGTTTTGTAGTATAAATACGTTCGTCGCTGGACACCCTGTAGGATACATCCAATTGGAATGGAACACGCTATGTGTGGCTGCACATTTACCGTTCACTGACACGCATAAACAAATTTCGTGTTTTTTTGGTATTTGTCCCCAATGGGACATGGTTTGCACGATAAACTCAAAATTATTATGACTTTTCGAATTGAGGTAAAAAATTAATTAGGGTAACACACTGGTTCAGCAATTCTGTTTACGAGATGTGCGAAAACAAAACGTACCCAAGGTACCTAAAACAATTCTTAGGTGCCTGATGAATTAATGAAGTAGAATTTCAGGAATTGGTGGCTGGCGTTTGGAGTCATTTGTTTCTTGACGCTGGCTACGCGATTTTACAAAGTTCAGGAGCCTGCACACGTTTGGTAAATGTCGATGGTACACAAATTTGTGTAAGTTGCTAAAGGTTCACTTTTTAGCTGGGATGAGACACACTTTGGTAAAATGGGCAGCTGGTATATTAATCGAACGTTCTTTTTTGATGTGCATCCCCCTTTAGGGAAGGTATGTTAGTCCACTCAAAAATTGAAGTTGCATTCCTACTTTTAGATGCTTATCGGTTTAGCAGGCTACGTAACTGGTTATGATGGAACTTTTCCCTTTGATAAACCGGGTGATAAGTATTATAATACTAGCTATATTGGAATGAGAGTGGTAAGTTTAGAGATGCCTCTTTTCTACTTGCGCACTAAGCAATTTCGTTTAGTTTTGTACTGCTGTGGGTGCTACTATAGTACCAATGTCGTTTTTAATAGTAGATGAAATGACACATTCGGTAACAGCAGCCCTATTCTCATCACTGTTGATATTACTAGGTAGATGGAAGTGGAAATGTCTCTGTTCACAATTTAAAGTGTATCATTTCAGATGTGGGTTTAATTACGTTGACACAATACATTTTATTAGATCCCCTATTGCTGTGTTTCTTAATGGGATCTATTCTGGGAGCTATTAAAGTGTCTTCAGATTCTACTCGAGAATTTTCCTTCAGATGGTACAGCTGGTTGATTTTTACCGGCTTGATGTTGTCGTGCTGTATTTCTGTAAAATTTGTCGGGCTCTTTGCTGTGATGTTAGTGGGATTAATTACAATTTCTGATCTATGGAGAATTCTAGGTGATCTGACTCGTCCTGTGGTAAGTATTGCGCCCATTAGATTGCACTGTGGCGAATCATAGCTATCTAATCTCAAAAAGTGGACCCCAACATAATCAAATATATTCAAGTTGGTGGTACCTACTTTCGGTTATATCAGAAGTTGATGCCCACTTGCATATTTCAAGAATACACCCAATTTATTGTTTCATTTTTAGATTTTACATAAGATTTCATGTACAGGGAATTTTTCGTAAATGTATACATATGGAGTATGTACACTTAGAAAACAAAACGGATCAAATGCATGGTCATGATACTTAGTATCACAGCATAAATAGATGGCTGTAGGCAACCATCATTACACGCGACAAACTGGAGCTGTTTTTACAGTTCTTAAACTGTTACCACCCTGATATTTTGTGGTTCAATGGTAGAGCATTGGAGCTATAAAGTTGGAGGTTGGGTGTTCAAACCTGGACTGAGTTAAGAAGTTTTCATCTGTGACAGAGATGGGAATTTCCTTAGACTAGTTTTGAGCACTCTGTCTACCAGAGTAGTATAGAACAACTTAAGACCTTCTGCAGAGGCACCTCTAAAAAGCATTATGTGTAATGTGGGTCACTCTGTAAGTGCAAGCCTGTTGAGGGTCCAGAACAAGAGAGGGATAATAAATAAATATTTCAACCTTATCGCCTTTGCTATTCATCTTTGTGTTAAAAAATGACAATTTGATGATGATTATAAAAATAAAGACTAATAGCTAACACTAATATGACATTGAATAATCAAGTCACTGTTTTGATATCAGACGTTGATTATGATTTAAAACAAATTTGTGTAGAGTTGGTTGCCTATTATTGCCACCTATTCCATGCAATTGATCTGTTTTCTGTATGTAAACATAAAAAAAAATCTCAGCATAATATCTTATAGGTACCTAAATTTATCCGTTTTTGACATACTTATTTTAAGTTTTATATAAAAAATGACGTTTGCAGTCCAAATCACAATTGCTAATTTTTTCTATATGAGAGCTGGTTTCCTTTTACAAGAGTTTCAGCTTTAGTGTTGATATTTTGATTATAAATAAATGCAGGGAGTTTAAAAACCAACATTAAAAATTGAATTGAAAGCGAATAGTTATAATTATATCTAAGTTTTTTTTTACATGCAAACCCTCTATTTTTATAGCCATATTCATATCGCACCTTATACAGTTAGTAACAAAGATATGTAGTATTATTTATATTTGTTTGTAGGTGACACAAATATACTATTTAGGCATACGTAAAAGCGCCCTCTGTCAATATAAACATGTTCAGTAAAATTACGAAAATTACATTTAAAGGTAAAAGCAAAAATTTGTGTAGGCGTTTTAGAATTTACGTTACAATTGCGAATATTACAACAAATTTGTGTTTTGTTAAGTAGCCATTTTTATTCGCGATTCAGATGAACACTAGAGGCGCTGAAGTGATTTAAAAATGGCGTGTATTGGTGGGAGCGCTTTATAAACATTGGGTTATTCTAGCAGCTTTTTAAGTGAATTGTACTAATTTGAAAGTTTATCCTGCCGGTTTGAAAATACAACCCCTTAATTCTACCGTAACTGAAAGGTCTTTTTCTTAAGAACTCGTGGCTGTCTTGAATTAGCTTGAATCCGTAATTAACTTAATTTTCTAATTACCAATAAAGCTCACAATTTAAATTTTTCTTACTATTTGCGGCATACCTAATCGCACACACTACACATTACATCCTTGAATTTCACATATGCCACTTAGTTATGTTACTGTTGTTTGCAAAATTGCACTGATCACATTTAAAAATTTTTTAGTAGCATGATAATATGTGACGTTTTTAACCATCCTTGCTCCTTAAGGGTGAATATCATCCCTGGCGTGTTATATTGTTCAAAAGAGAATTTAATATGCTGGAATTATGCAATTTACTTTTACAGCCGTAAAAACTACAATATTGATTACTTTTGGTCATTGTAAATAAACAGAATGGTAATGTTAAACTGTTAACCCACCAATAGTAATTACAATGTGCTGGCACCATATAGAGTGTAAATTATGTATGGAACACTAAATATATGTTCAAAACTAAAATTTTTACAAAGAAGTTTTTTATGATATCCAAAATGATAAAAGTTCCCAATCAATCTAATTTGTGGTCATAAAAAAATAGTGGTTGCTATTAAAAAATATATATATGCCCCTCTTGACGTACGTCACTGATCACAATTTTAAAGTATGTTGATTCGAGCAAACTTTTTATAATTTTGGAGACCACAAAAAGGTTTAGCGCATTTTCCATGCATTGCTCAGTACTTCCCAAAAGGTCATAGCTATAGCCTATGGTTAATGGTTAAAATTTCAAACAATAAATAAGAATGCGCACATTAATCGTCAATATTTTTCTCGGCTCAGGTGCCACAGCTATAAGGTACATACCTACCGAATTCAAAAAGAACGAACTAAATATACTGACTGTAGGAGTAGTTAAGGCCTCCAACGAACAGATGGGCGGACAGAGAATGTGGCTGCAATAGTGCACGCAACTTCGTTGGAAAATGCGCTAATAAAGAAGTAATAGAGAGGCTAGCGCATTTTCACATAAGTACATTTGGGATTTATGCCCCTCTTAAAATGTTCATTTTCTTGAAAGTGTAACATGCAGAAGAACTCCGTTGCATTTCCCACAATATGCAGGCAGAACCATTTTTTTCTTGGTATTCATGGATTTCTAAGATTGCCTGATATTGTGGTTGTAAAAAAAAGCACGGGCGCAATAGCACATTTTTTTATTATTGAGAGTGTGCTAAACATTTTGGTGATATGGTTCTCAATATTGTAAGCGTCTGCGTTACTAATGGGCGATCAAAAATGAGTTGCTGTCGAGTCGCCTTTGGAAGTTCACCTTAAATACGATTTCTCATGTAAACAAAATTTCCAAAGGTGACACGACAGCAACTCTTTTTTGATCGCACAGTATTTCCCTCGGTATTTCCATTCCCTAAAGGAATTTCAAGCTCCTATTCCTATCTGCATTAATAAGAGGTACCCACGCAAGCCCATTTTATCTGTACACCTTGTGTACTTTGGTATACAATTAAAGATAACACTACAACGATGTACAGAAACAAAAGAAAATATCACATTCATAGTTTTTAATTTCTTTATTTCTATCCCTAGCGATCAAGAATTGAATTACCTACACTGACTAGCTTATAACATTTCTGTTAAAGTTTTGTGTTTTTCTTTACAGTTTTCCTCTTTTTTAAATAAATTTCCTAGTACAATGCCACAAAATAAGATCAATCCTACATGTACATTTGACACAAACTTTGAAGCACAATCCGCTACACTATCCGTGTTCAGCATAAATATTTGGGACGCCAAGTGAGAGGAGAGCAACGCGATAGATGCATAGTAAGGCATTGTTTGAGCGTTCATTACGCCAGATATTATTAAATTTGTTATCATGGTGACGGTGAATGCTGACAAATATAGTTTTGTGTTATTACCGAAACGGATGGCCGTAGATTTCATACCGATAATTAAATCATCTTTACGATCTTGATGTGCGTAAATGGTGTCATATACGAGTGTCCAACACACTCCTGCAACATACAACGGTATGCAAACGGGACCATTGACGTGACCTTGTATGGCACTATACCCTAATAGCGCACCCCAATTAAAAGCTAGTCCTAACACAAACTGAGGCCAATGCGTATAGCGTTTCATTAACGGATACGTCACAACAAGTCCCAATGAGCTTGCGCCTAAAAATACACTATACCAGTTTAGCTGCATCAAAACTGCTAGGCCTACGCTTAATTGTCCGGCTAAAAATATCCAAGATTGCTTTAGCGAAACACTACCACTAACTAATGGACGTTCTCGAGTTCGAACAACCTTCTTGTCGATGTCACGGTCCCACATATCATTAATTGTACAGCCTGCTCCTCGCATAACCACAGCTCCAGTACCAAACAGAAGGAGCATGTATGGATCTGGCAATGCTCCAGGTGCCGCAGCCGATGCTATTGACCAACCGCATGGCCAGTACAGCAACCATGATCCAACAGGCTTGTCCAATCTCATCAATTTTAAATATGGCTGTACAGATTTCGGCGCACTTTCCACCAGTCGACTAGAAATTCTCACATTATTCACTCTTTCCGTTTTATGTTCATTCACAACGTTCACTGAAGTTTTACACGATCTTCTTACAATACCTACAATTTGCTCCTTCAATAATTTTATTTCTTTTCTATTTAACGAAGATTTAAAACAGCTATTACGTAGTACATGTAACATTATACAAACTTGCTGTGTTTGTACAGAAGTCGCCCCTTTAGACTCAAACTGTAGACTAGCATCCTAATTATCTAAAAGGTGAAATTAAAGGTATATCGCATTTTGAATTAAAATACCTTCTTTCTTATCGATAAATGTGTACAAATTATGCAATAAAGGATTTTAGGTTAGGAATGAATTTGGCTTATCTACTTTATGGTTGTAATTTGATAATAAGGGAAACTGTAGGAAAAAGTGTAATTACTTAGCACTTTTATGGAAATTCCAATGCACTTTTTATTAAAAACAACATCATAGATAGGTAGTACAATTTTAAATAAAGACACGTACATATTTATAACCTCAAATATAATAAAAGACCTATTCCTAACCTTAATTTTATGCGAACTTCTGTTGTGATTTTTCAAGTTGCAAGCGTAGGTCATATGATAATTATTGATAACAATTGATTAATAAAAAATTAAAACTAATTGAAAGCATAGGCGTAGCAAGGCCTCCAGTTGGGAGACTCGCATCTAGATTTCGACGTGACTCTTTTAATACAGTAATTACAATGGAATACAAAACAAAAAAATTAAACAAGATTATAAGAGGCAGTACCATTGAGTTAGGCAGTACCTACCTAGTAAATGTTTATCTATTTTATGATTTAACAGCGCGTCGACTACGCTCATTAACAAATCTCAAAAATGTGTGATATTCGTTAAGCGTGACTACGGGGTGCTCATAAAGAACTTGAAGATGGGGTAGCTGGAGGTCCTCTTTTTGATATAATCTCCATTCAAACCAGTGCCAGATTAAGGAACTTAAGGACCTTGAAGCGCTAAAAATCTTTGGACCCCGTACTTCATTACAAAACTAAAATTGGTCACAAAGTAGCTACACATTTATAAATTAATCTGTTTTTGTTATTTGTTAAAAGTAAAATGTATTTCTTAATAAACATCAGTCTAACCTTCTCACAAATTTCATTGCTCATTGTACATAAAACTTTCACATAGATAGATGTTGGAGGTTGGAATCAAGTGCGAAATTAAATAGTCTTATTATCATGCTTTAAAGAAAACCAGGAAATTCCGATTACGTCCAAAGATATCATCAACTTTATTTTTTTATATGGCCTGCAAAAAAGTCATAGTGTATTGTGTACTTCGCATTTTTTATTACAAATACACAAAAAATAAAACGGAAATTCTGTTCGTTTCAACAGGATGGTGCACCCGAGCACAACCCGCTAATCGTGTAAAAATACCCTCTCAAATTCCCTGTAAAATGGAAAATTTGTCCAATAGGTGTTCTCGCACGATTTGGGCGTTCTGCGCGGGTGCTCTCATCTTGTTGAAACCAACAATTTGTTTTTTTTTTGTGCCGTACATCGTTGGATTCGTAATAAAAAATTCTACTCAACATAGTGTGTACTTTTTTGACGGGCAAACTTAATCTAAAAGCAAAAATTAATCGGTACGAGTGCAAAATAAATTTACGGAAAATCTCAAAATTACGGTACTTACAAACGTAACTTGTAAAGATGCAAAAAGCAGAATGCAAAAGATTTAAATACGATTAAACACCAAAGGCAAAAAGATTCAAAAGGCAAAAAATTTCTTGAGTTTCGGTAAATCACCACCAAAGGCATTCTCTATCCCCCTTTACTTTATCTAAACTTCTCAAAATACGGAGAGGGGACGTAGGAAATTCCGGACCGGCCGGCGTATTCGTTTAATGCTGTCCAAAAATTACATCTTCTTTAATTAATTACGTTCTTCCCTTCGTCGAAAAAAACGGGACGATGTCAAAATTCAAATTTTTTAAGGACGCACCTAACGGATGTAATCTTGACTTAATCGGAGGCTGTTAACTGTAACTCATTCAACTAATTACGGTTAATTATACTTATCGAAATAGTCGGAATGAAATATCCAAATTCTTTTGTTCCTTGAAATGTGAGGTCAAGCGGCGTAATTTGTTTTCATTAAACTGCAATTTCCTACAGGAACGGTTGCAAAACGGATAAATTCAATTCATCAAAGTACAGGGTGGTCATCATAAGGCGGGTAAACTACAAGGCTGGAAACCGGTGTTTGGTTACAACACTACAAGTACATAAAAGATCGATAATGGTATCATTTTTGGTACTGGCAATGTGGGTAGGCAATGATTTAGTGCTGAAGTGTGGCCATTTCTTCCTTCTTGTACCTACACATCACTATTAAGTTTATTATTGATATGGTCGTGGGATAAAGGCATAAACAAATCAGAATTAAGATATGATTTGAATTATGAGAGCCAATGGGTTAGATGCTTGACTTTATCATCTGATTCAAAGCTGGATATGGAAAAGAATAGAATAGGGCAGTATTTCCTCGCGACCCCGAATATTGAATGGGCCCTGATGGGCGATTACATGAATTAAAAAAATAGGAAGTGATAAATTTGATATTTCGTTCGGCTATTTATGATTTTTAAAAATGTAGGTTACTTAAGTTGCGGAAAGAGGTGGGTCACGAAATTGGAAATTTCTGTTAGATGGGTCGGAACCGAGTAACTTTGAGAACCACTGGAGTAGGGTATCTTCAACTGAAACTCCACCCACTTGAGAATAATGGGAAAATAAAGACAATCGGATGTATCATTTTGCCGTCAGAGAAACTTTATTTACTAAATAAATGCCTGCTTGTTATGGTAACAAGTTACCTATTTTAAGACACAGGAGTATAAATGATTGTTAATGATATTAATCGAATTTTGAATGATGTACTATTGCTCTAGAATTTCTTTGCCGAAACCATACTCTTTGAATCGATTTGCAAATTGTCAGAAAACCACATTAAAAATGCAACATAATATAAATATTTAGTTTCTCCAGAATTTCCAACTATGCATAGGTAAGTGTTTTACTATGAAAACGATTTTTCCAAAGACTTCCTAAAATGTATAGTGGTAGATTGTGTCTTTACATTTTACGTGAGAGTAAACAGAAGATGGATTTGATTCTTGATCCATGCTACCAAAAATACAAACAGTTTTTCAGATAAATAGTGCAAGAAATAGTGTAATAAAATGAAAAAATGACATTTTTATAGTTAAGATAAACTTAACCATATAGACATATAGACATGAACTGCGCATGCGAATGCTAAGCGCGGATACTGTAGGGGAGCGAGAGGGAAACTAAGACGCAAGCGCTCTCTCTGTCGCGCTTCTGTTGGTCACATACAATCGACATTGAGGGTGGAAGTGTAATCAACACAAGCGCGATAGCGAGAGCGTTTGCTTCTTAGCTTTCCCCTCTAGTGCACCTGCAGTATCCGCGCTTAGCATTGGCATGCGCAGTCTCTTTCTGCATGTCGATGCTCTTAACAGAAATACACTTTTAACATGTTAAAAGGAAATACACATGAAATAGTTAGTGCTAATTATAAAATATACTGTTGAAAACACTGAGCTTTTCTCGTAGACTTGCGTTTGTTAAAGTTGCATGGTTTTTAATACTGTAATTATACTGTCTACCTACCATTTCATATTTACTTATTTTTTAGACTGTGACTTTGAAGCATTTAATTGCAAGAGCAATATGTTTAATTATTTGGCCCATATTACTATACGTGACATTTTTTTACATACATCTCGCAGTTTTGAATCGCAGGTAAGCCAAAGTATATAATGAGTCGGTACTCTACTATCAGTGTAACTGTAGAAAAAGTATGTACTTTCGATTGTTTTTGCTTTTATGTAATTCTGAAAGTTGTCTTCTCCTGCATGGCAAAGGTTTTTTCTACAGTTATAATAGTGGTCTTGTAATATCATATCAGTAGCGGACTTTGTAGAACCAATAATAATGTATTACCTTGTACGAATTTAACTATAGTGCACTAACTTATGGTGTTGGGAAATTGGGACTATTGTATGGGGTATTAGGAATCTTCTCAACTAATATTTCTTTTCTGTATCTAATGACCAGTTTTTCCACCATAGCTGGTGATTGGGTGACCCATTTTATCGACGTAGTTTCGATTTCAATTAGATAACAAAAATTGTACTAGTTTTCTTATAAAATAATCCCACGGAAAGCTGTAAAGAAGTATGCGTTTTATGCTTCCATAGGCATGTACGTCCAAGCGCGTTTCTTAACGACAACCCGTGAAAACTGATGGATGGACTGGCCGCCCGGACGTTAGACCTTTTGAGGTTGCTCACAGTACTGTCGCTACTTAATAAACAATGGACAAGTTTCATGATGTTGATAATACAATATTTAACCAATACTACCAGTACTAAGCGAACGAACAGACATCGTATGGGAATAGGTCAAGTGACGTCACACGCTGAAACGAAATTATTTTTCTCATCGCAACTTAAAATCTTCTAACTTTTTCATTTGTTGAGTTATTTTAATGAATTTTTGTTTCATTTTACTTAAATTTTGTTCAATAATTATGAAAACAAAAAGAGTTAGAGTTACAGTTAAAAAAATGCGAAGAGACCAAAAAATAGCTTATACGACAATCAAAAATGCAACGTCGCAAATTACTACTCTTTCCTCTTGATCTGTACAAAGTTTGCATGCAGAAAAAAATAATCGGATACATTGTCTTGGCATTCGTTTAATTTTGCCTTATAATCTGTATAGTGCAATTATTTCCTGATACATTCAAGTCTTGACCAAAAATCACCTTTTGCTATATCATGCATTATTAGTCGTTTTTTCTTTCAATTAGGTACATGTGTAATTGCTTCATTGCTCGGCCTATCTGGTTCTTTTGTTATACAATAACGTCATTATATCTTCTTCTGCAGATATCTGAAACAGTCCTCAACATAGTCGAGCAATGGCAATGGGACAGACAGATGAATTGGTAGATTTATTTCAATTCAAGAGGAATGATATATGGAAAAAGTTTTTTAGTGCAATGTGCTAGTGTTGTCTAATATCGAATTGACCAATTAACATTTACTTGACTTAAATGGAAAAGAATGAATAAGCTACGTCTGCTGTACATGTCCCATACATATCGTAGGTTTAAATTTCGCTTACAATCACACGTGCGCACAAAGAATGTCTGGGATTAGTAAAGTGTAATTGAGGAATGTCATGGCAATTCGTTGTGCTCGAGATAAATGGTCGAAATTAACCATCTAACCTATTAGTGTGGTGATCTATAAAGTCTAATTATCGTTGCAATCAAGCAATTTTACTTACCTCTCTTGCATGCGGTAGCTTTAAGTATATTGAAGTAGTACTTTAATCATTAATTTTATTTTTAGTGGTAATGGAGATGGGTTTTACAGTTCAGCATTTCAATCGCAATTAATCGGTAACAGTTTGCACAATGCCAGTATGCCTCATCTTGTTGCATATGGAGCTGTAGTTACTCTCAAAAACCACAGAACAGGAGGAGGCTATTTACATTCACACTACCATCTCTATCCGGACGGAATTGGAGCAAAACAACAGCAGGTATAGCGACATTTATTTCAGCATATAATACAGTTGTATCCTTAGATAACTACATATACGCATAAAGATGACAATAACAAATGGATTATTTATAAGTACAACACTAACGATGTAAAAGGAGTTACCATTGTACGAAGTGGGGATTTAGTCAGATTTGTGCATTTGCCGACAAAGCGTAATTTACACTCGCACAAAGAACAAGCTCCAATAACAAAGAAACACTTTCAAGTAACCGGCTACGGTGAGGTAAACCCTAACTGATCACAATTCAATTGCTTCACTTGCAATTATTCTTCAGAATGGGACAGGTGACGCTAACGATATTTGGAGAGTTTCGATAATCGGTGGCACTGATGGTAGCGAAGTTACTACAGTCAGTAGTAAAATTAGATTAATACACTATCTACAGTCGTGCGCATTAACAAGCACTGGCAAGCAGTTGCCCAAATGGGGCTATGAGCAACAGGAAGTATCTTGTAATCCGAATCTTCGTGATGCTAACGCAATATGGAATGTTGAAGAGAACTTTTTTCAAAAATGTAATGAGTCTTGGGACTTTTGAAAGTGTTTTCAGTTATTTCAATTTTAGTGCCTAACGTTAGTTTTAAAGTCTACGCGCCGAGCTTTATTGAAAGATTTCTCGAATCACACGCTGTAATGTTTCAAGGCAATGCGGGTTTAAAACCTAAAGAAGGAGAGGTTACATCTCGTCCTTGGCAGTGGCCAATTAATTACAGGGTAAAATTTGACGCAATGTTATAAGAAAATTATGGTTTCACTCATTTTAGGGCCAATTTTTTTCCGGTTCTGCATATAGAATTTATCTACTTGGGAATCCTGTGATCTGGTGGGGTAATTTAGTATTCCTGATTGTTTTTGTGATAGTATTTATTACAAGGAGTATTAAGCAACAAAGAGGATATGTCAAAACATTAACAGGTACGAAATTTATTCTCGCTTGTTATGTAATTTAATCCGTGTTTTTGTATAGTAGAAGCACCCAACCGACATTTAGAAGCTTGTGCATGGATGTTTTTGGCATGGTCATTACACTATGTGCCTTTCTGGGCAATGGGTCGGGTGCTATACTTTCATCACTACTTCCCGGCGTTGTTATTTAACTCAATGTTAACAGGTAATTTCAGAAATGAGAAGAAACAAGGTTGAGATACTATTTCAGGTATTCTGTTTGATTATTTATTGGACGTAATTCCATGCCTCTTTCCGGAAAAGATTGGTACCACAATTTATCATACAATGATGGGTTTGTTTTTAGCTATTCTAATGTATAGCTTTGTAAATTTTGCGCCTCTTGCGTATGGTATGACAGGCCCAAGTTCAAGTGAACGTAATTCGACAATGTCTGGGCTAAAATGGTTGGATAGTTGGGAATTTTGAAATTACCACAGATTTATGTTTACAACTTATTTTTATACAATAAAGACTTTTATGCATTTTATTTTTTAGTTCTTTCTGGAATATGGGCTATGAGAAAATTACAGACATAAGATACTTTTTGAAGATATTATATAATCTTTGGTTTTTGTCTAAATTTTAATCAATTACTTCCATATCACTTAATACATATTACAAATAATAAACAGAACGCATATGAAATATAGGTTCTGGTTCCACACTTTACGAAAAATTCTTTTTCAGGGTTCCGGTTTGGTGGCTTCAGTAATTTTCAGTTCCGGTTCCAGTGTTTTTTTGGTTTTAAGGGTTCTAACATAAATAAATAAAATTAATAGTAAAAAATAAAAATTATTATTAATTATAGAAATGTTTTAATTAATGTTTCTAGCTTCCTTTTCTTCAGCAATAGTTTCATCATTGTTTCATCCAATTGCTTTCTTCATACACTCTTCAACTTTCTTACTGTTTTTGATTAATTTTCGGATTTAGTCACTCTAAAATATTTTATATTTCTTTAGTATTAAGGTTAAGTTGGTAGGACTTAATGTCCAGCCCTGAATATAAGTGAGATTTTGGATTTTTGACTTTTGAAATTTCTTGCAAATTCTACAATTCTGGACATAATTCAGAAGGCAAGATTTTATTATTTACCATCAAGTCGATAAAGGACCAGTCACCGGCGATTACAAATGAAAGCTTTTGCTTCTCGTCTTCTATACACGGTGTCCATTTTTGGAGTGCCACTATGGGGATCTCGCTTACCTTAAGAGATAGAAGGTTGGTGAAATGGGGGCAAAGTTGCCAATTTCCCTGCTGAATAACCATCTGAACAGAAATTTAAAATATCAATAGTTCTGAAAATATCGCAAAAAAACGAAACGATTTTCGTTTTTAATTTTTTCATGATAAACTAGTCGTAATAGACATTTCTAATTAACACATTATTCGATCACTTTTTAATGGAGATTTCGAATGTGACATCTCGTTTTAAATAACTTTTAAAACGACAGAGAAACACGTGGCAACTTTAGATTTTCTTATGGGCGCCATTTTTAATTTTGAGATTTTAAGATTACGTCTTTTTTTCTCTTTACGACCATATATCACACATGGTGGTTCAGTATCACATTTTTCCTAAAATACAATTTTTAATTTTTTTGGGAAGAGTGCTTTGGAAAAACAAAACGTTCTTTTATTGTGAACAAAAGTTTGACAGTTTGATGCATATGGCCGGTTGCAGCGTTGGCATCAGGGAACTAGATGGGTTGAGAAAATTCGGTTTTCATGTGAACAGAATTGAACCTTCCTTTTGCAAGGAAATTATAATTCAAATTAGAACAAAATACATAAGAATAAATTAATATTTTAGCGAACCACCATGTGTGATATATCGTTGTAAAGAGAAAAAAAGACCTAATCTCAAAATGTCAAAATCCAAAACGGCGCCCATAAAAAAACTAAAGTTGCCACGTGTTTCTCCGTTATCTTGAAAGTTATTGAAAACGGGATGCCATATTCGAAATCTCTATTAAAAAGTGTCTGAATAATGTGTGTTAATTAGAAATGTCTAGTACAATTAGTTTACCATGAAAAAGTTAAAAATCAGAAAATATCGATTTTTTGCCATATTTTCAAAACTATTTGATGATATTATAAATTTCTTTTTAGATTATTATTCAGCACGAAAATTCGCAACTTTGCCTTAATTTAACCAAGTTTCTATCTCTTAAGATAAGAGAGATCCCCATAGTGGCACTCGAAAAATGGACACCGTGTATAAGTAAATTGAATAATGTTTATTCTAAGAACAGTTTTTAATTTAACACAAGCCAATTTTAAGAGCATAAAACGGATTTCTCTCAGATCTTCAAATTCATTTGAACTATGAATAGTAGATATACTGACTTATAGTAGTCAATCTGCAACGCAATAGTCAAAAATGTCAAATTGAGTAGTGCTAGTGTTTATTATTATTTAATAATTTTTAAATAACAGTTAAAATTATGTTCATATTATGATTTTTATTTTGTTCTTATTTCCAATATACCAATTTTATTACTATTTCTTTATTCTACAATAGAGTAAGTAATTTTTCATTGTTTTAGTAGGAACTTAGGTTATATTACGATGAATATAAGTAATTCTTATACATTCAATAATTTATTGCAGATGCAAACTGAATTGCTTACATTACTACTGATATGTCTAGAAACAATCTCCCAAGAGATTGTTATGGTAGCCAAAACACATTCTACTCTGTTAATAAAATATATGGATTACAGTGATGCTGCAGTATTACAATTTAAGATACCTGAAGATGTTCATTTTGTCTCATTCAAATTTGAAGCGGAAGAAATAGAAGAATCTCTTTTTCGTAAGATCACTTCCCCATTATCCCCATCTTAATTTGCTTTCAGGTTGCGAGCCGAACGATATCGATGTCTACTTAAAATCCGGATCACCACCTGTTATTAATCCCGATAATTCCGAGTTACCGAAACATTTTTTAAATTATAGCGGTCCTATAGAGGAGTTGAAGTTTACGTCGAACAAAACCTGCCATTATATTAACGTTACCTCACCGTATGCCGGATTTTATTTTGCCGCCGCCTTCATTGCGTATACGGATCCTAGGTTACGCGCGATTACACAGCAAGGTACGGCAATTAGTTCATTATAAATCTTTCTGGTTTATTTTTAAGGGGAAGCGATTTTTGAAAATCGAATTATAACGTTTTTAGTACACTGATGAGTTGATGACTTTAAATATTGAATGTGCTTTCGATTGATGGGGCATATTCCTATACCTTACTAGCTTATTTTTCATTTTTTTTAAGTCTTGCAAAAGCAAAGATTGTAAAATTCTGCTTCTTTTCATATAGGTATGTTGTTCCTATACCTATCTCGTATATATTTTTTCGCCAGGCAGTTGTAATTATGTTTCTAAACATTTTAATATTTTTTCCAAATGGTATTAAATGACATACAGGATAGAGCAAATTATGCTATTATCAGTTGTACATTTAACTATAAATCACTAAAACTATCAACTGAAGTTTTGACCAAAGTTGCTGGTTTCGACGTCCGAAACTTGTGTTCTTGTTTGCTTACACCCTCATTCTGCCTGAGTTCCATACAATTGAAAATAAGTCTGTCTAAACCGCTATCGTTCTCAAATAATGAAAGTGCTCCAAATAAAAAGAAGTGCATGTATTGCAAAAATGTTGGACATTTAAAGGACGACTGCTTATAAACTTGCAAAATATAACCAAGCATGCGAGAGTGAAGGTACATCCAAATTTGCTAATTTAAGAAACGTGGTACCATCAACTAAGAAAGTAATCAACAGATCAAATGCTATGGTTGTGATGCTTCTGGGTACGTACGTGAAAAGTAACTGCCCCACCTGTCGAGAGGAAGTATCTAAACATGTTCCAACAAAGAGTGCGCAATTTCTATGCAGTAATTTTGAAATTGAACACACTGTTAAAATTGCAGGTAACCCGCAATTTTGTCACAAATCCGAATTTACTTAAACCTTTATCGAAAATATACACGTTGTTATCGCTCTTTATCGCCAGACATACTTTTGTTCGCGTTCCCTATGAAGCGATATACATGTAAATTTTCCTTCACCAAAATACAAATTCAAAACCAAATTTGTGATACGCGACCACCTGTTACAACTAACAATCAAACGCCGACTGGCGAATTGAGGTTAAACTCAGTGGTCGCTTGCCAACTTGTTTCCCGTGACACTACTTTTCGCACCAGTATCAATGAACGCGTAGCCATAATGTGTGTTGATTTGAACGGGAACCATTGGACTGGACATAGGAGATTGTTCGATTTCAAAATTACTGCATACAAATTCAGCACTCAGATCATTTTCTTAGTTTCTTAAATTAGCAAATTTGGATGGACCTTCACTACTATCGCATTGCAAGTTTACGGCAGTCGTCCTTTAAATGTCCAACATTTTTGCAATACGTGCACTTCTTTTTATTCGGAGCTTTTTCAATATTTGAACGATAGCGGTTTAGACAGACTATTTTCAATTCTATGGTACTCTCTACAACAATTGATCATACAGGGTGTTTTTTAAAGATGGGCCATGAAAGTACACACCTAACCAGGGGCGTAGCCAGGCTCGCCAGGGACCCTGGCCTGTAAAATTTTAAGCCCGCTCTAGCCAGATTTCCGAATGTCCCATTGTAATTTACTAATCTGCTAAAAATATATAATTATTACTATTGACGATGTTGCGGTTATCAATTAAACGAACATATCTATGTATAACATGTTTTTTAAAACCTGCAATGCTGCAATGTCTATCGGTATAGAATTACGATATATCAACATCTCAAATGACCAAGGGCGTCTCGTGAGGTCGGTGGTTTACCACAAATATTTGGTGAAGCTTTGATCTTTTAGCACATTTTCCAATGAAGGCAAACATATCTCATATTGTAAAGATTAGATGTGCGCATGCGCATTCTGCGCAGTCCCAACTTCATTATTTATGAAAATATTTCTTCGAAATTTTAACCATAGATACCACGCGTGTTCACAAACCTAGTAAATTTTGAATTTTCTGTTAATTTAGGCCAGCCGAGTGGTTATTCGCAAAATAAAAATTTTAAAACGTGCTTATGAAAATAAAGCCAGTAATTTTTTTAGTTATTGTGGCCTGTAAGTCATTCTGAGGCACAAATAACGGGGCGACAGTCTCGTTTATTTATATATTTTTATTGTCCCTTTTGTTCTGGGCCCTCAACAGGCTTTCACCCAAATGTCAAAATGTGGAACATTACCTACATTTCAGATTTCAGTCTGGGGGCATATGACTGAAACAATTGATGTAATGTAAATTTCCCTATGGCCCATTTTAAATAACTCAACTCCTTTACATTGTCGTATGGCCCATCTTAAAAAAAACACCTTGTGTACGTACAGTAAACAATTACGCTTCATGATTCGCACAGAAAATAAACCGATACAACAGAATTTCGAAGGATCCTCAGTATTACCATTCAAACAAAGGTATTACCATTATTTTTTTAATACCATTTATTTTAACCTTGCAATTTTGATCTATATCAAATTCATAATACTCTTAGTTTTTTCTCCACGATCTTGGTACATGAATAACGATTTTGACACAGCTTTTCCTGTTCCCGATTCACTATCCTATAGCTTTTGTTCCTGTTGAACCAGCTTCCCGAAAATCAATACCGTCATAGCTTAATGTCCAAAGTACCAACACACCAAATTTCAACACGATCAGCTAGATTTAAAGCGCACACGGACTCACGGACGGATAAAAATTAAAAGCTATAAAAAGTACCTGGGGATTTTAACTATAAGAGTTACAGCGAACGCATACGAACCAGACAACCATACAAAACTAGGATCCTTAATAATGTACAATTTCTGACTTGATTCGCCAAGATGGCGCTGTAACGTTATAGCACTTTACTTTGCTTGAGTTATCTGGCAAGTAGTACCTAACAGCCTGATTTTATTGCAGGTCTCACAGCGAAGTGCCTCACAGTCCTTAATGCCGAGTTATGGGTGATTAAAAAACCGCGACCGTACATTATAGTGCCCGAGAAACAGGAGCATGTCATACTACATCCGCGCACCAACAGAATTTTTAAGTTTTATGTTTCCGATTACACAGAATACGTAATCTTGCATATGAAAAAAATTAAGTTCTGCGTGGACTGCACGAAGATCAAACTTCGTGTTCAATCACATAGGATTCCCAATGTAAACGAGTCATTGTACAGTATGGACCTAACGAAAGAGGCGTACGACACCAAAAATTTTAAGACACAAATAATGACGGTCGAAGATAGTTGGTATTATGTGAGCTTTAACCTCGATTCGAAAACAGACAGTGAAGCGGAATTTGCATTTACATTTAAGTGCTTCTCAACTTACCCCTCTAACGATACTCAACTTCTATTTTCAAATGAGACGAAGATATTCCCGCTCAATATTAATAGCACTCGTTATTATAAGCATTCCATTTTAAGAAACTACGCGAGTCCTTACTTGCACTTGAATTTGTCGTACAATCAGTACAACTTAGTCAGAGAAGGAAGTATAGAGAACTTTTTCTATTCGTTTGACTTGCATCCTGATACAGATGGAAGTGTTCCGTCCTCAGTAAATATTACCAATAACGATATGACAGCGTTAAAATTTCATATTAATCCCGCTACAGATATTGGGGGAACTTTGCAGTTTAGTTTGGCGTTTAAACCGAGAATAAGAAAGAAAGGGGCGGCAAGAGAGATAGGAGAGGAGTCCAAGCAGGTGACAATAATCGGCTGTCTAAGAAACAACGGGAAGGAAATCCCGACTTGGCCGAATAAGTGCGTTTTAGATGAGAAAGAGACAATCGCTCCAATTATTTTAAATAGAACGTTAAAGAACTCTACAGTTTATGTACCTTTTCCAGATGCCGGCAACTGGTATGCCACTTTTAAATTGTTCTGCGGAAAATGCGAGCCGTGCGAATGTACAGAGAAATGCAGGCAGGAGCTTAATAGTTGTCCACAGAAATGTGAGATGGAGTGCGATTCTGTGAACCTCTGTAATAGTTGCATTGAAACTTGTGAGAACGACATACGGGACCACAAAGCGTGCTCGAATTGTAATTGCGACGGGCCTTGTTTGAAGGCTTCCGATTCGTGTAACGCAAGTGTATTATTCGCTGCCGTTTCGTTTCCGTGCATTTCTGGTAAATGTGGGAGTAATGGAAAATGCGTGTATTTAATTTCGGAAGGAGTGGCTTATTCTGTCTGTATTTGTACTAATCACTATAAAGGTAAGTTATACCTAAGTTAAGTTACTGAAGGTCTTGTAAATATGTCATTCAAGCTAACAATATCCCAGGCGACGTTAGTCGACTGTTAATCGACGTGTTGTTATAATGCGCACCGCTAGATGTCCACTGTAATATGTCAAACATTTTTTTCTGATTCAAAAATGTAAATATCACTATCTTTTAATCAGAAATAATGCTTTTAATTCGTAAAAACGCAAGAAACTACGTAGGTACACTACCCAAGACAAAATTTTCTAGACAAAAAAGAAGATATTTTAATTATGACATTTTTGAAATCAGAAAAAAATTCTCTATCAAATGACACAAAAGTAATAGCATATACTTCCATAAAAAAAACAAAGTTGCTAGTTAACCGGAGACGAAACGTGGGATTTAAAATTTAAAACTAGCATCTTGTAGAGGGAAAAAAGTGCCCATAACAATGTGTTATTTATTTGGAAACTTTTTTTTAAATAACTTCAGTAAAAAATAAAAATTTTATTTTTTTCCGGATCTTCGAAAACTACATTTTGTTAAGCATCAAAATACGCAACTTTGCCAAATTTGAACATATGGTGGCTCGATTTTGAATAGGCCTGTATATGAGTGTATTGCTACGGTAACACGCATAAGTGTAGTTTTGTGTAACCATTTTTTTTGTTTTTGATAAAGACTGGTCACGCCTTAGATGATTTCTTCATTGATTGGAATAATGTATGCCAAATGGACGCGCAAGATTGTTTTATTTAATTTAAGACATTTAAATTGTTTGAAATTTGCAGGTGTATTCTTTCGTTAATTGTTGTTATCTTTTAAGCCTTGGTATAAAGCTGGACAGGTGTTTTCCCGTACACTTATTCTGAAAATATATAAGGTCATTTTGAAATTGGTAATTTTTTGAATTTGCCTCATATCTCTTAAGCGAGGGAAACCTTCCAAATTTTGATTTTACTATTTTAAGTTTTATTTACTTACTTTTTTTATAGCACTAATTATGGAGGACAGATTTTTTTCCATAGTTGTCATGCACCCAATGCTATTACTTATTTAGATCCTTGTGTTTCAGGATGGGATTGCTCGGACAGTTCTGGAGCGAATTCAAAAGGAGTTATATTGATGGAACTCCTGCTTCTCGTGCTTAGCAATGTAGTATTTCTTCCGGCAACATACATTGCATACAGAAGAGGGTACTATGTCGAGGCCGTAGTGTATTTTTCGACAGGATTTTTTTCGTCATTTTATCACGCCTGTGACGCTGGCGAAAACATTTACAGTTTTTGTATAGTCAATTTATCAGTGTTGCAATTTTCAGATTTCTTTTGTGGGTTACTCGCAATATGGGTCACGATTATAGCGATTGCGCACCTACCGCACCCTTGGCCTTCCATTTGTCACATTACTGGTGCGATTTTGCTGTCATTTACAACCACAATAAACAAAACGGCTATATGGGCGTTCGCTATTCCTTTCGTAACCGGTATTATTATTCTTGTTGCCAGTTGGTGTTGCCATTATAAAAGATCGAAAGCTAGATTCCCGAGCAAGCGTTATCAGTGCATCATTTTTCCGATTGGCATTATCACGGTTGCTTTTGGCTTGCTAACGTACGCTTTCTTACAAACAAATTCTAATTATATGTACTTGCATAGCATGTGGCATATTGTCATTGCATTGTCCATTATTATATTAATACCAAACAAGCGTTCGTTTTTACCAGCTTCCGTGGAATCTAGCGAGTAATGTAATTTATGTAGGTATTTCAATGCAAGCTGTTTGTTTGGTTATGAAATTATATAAGTAATTTTATTAGCTGTTACCTTAATGTCCTACAAATTGTTCTGCATGTCAATAATATGGACAGACCAGACAATTTGAGACTGTTCATTTATGTGATAATATTTATATTAGCCCTAGAAAAGTGAATGTATTGTGATAAAATGTTATTTTATAGTGGGATAAGTAGGATTGTGAAGTTCAACTTTGACTAGCACGGTCTGTGTCCTAATGATGTGATTAGATGCACTTAGCCTAGTTGTGGAATTATCTTCTTTCCTACTTGTTCCATTGTTCTTTAATTCACCTGTATATTTTTTACTCCCATTTAACATAGACACTTTTCTTGTAACTGTCAATTGCACTATGACATTATCACACCAATATCTTTATTTATGCTACTCAATGATCTTCGTTATTTATTTCCAAATTTTATCTATATACTACACATTTAAACTTTGTGTGGGATCGATTAATAGGAAAATGATTGATAGTGTAAAGTTTGGAAGGCCAAACTTTTCGGAGCAATTTATTTACATGACAATTTAATTCTAGAACGAATATGATATTTTTATTACTTTTTGTATATATTTTCTTGAAATAGATAGTTGATTAATTGGAACAATTACTTTTATTAAGACGTAGCCCTGCAGGTTCACATGCTCCATATTCAAAATAGAAATAGAGAAAACTGTGGTCCATTCCTATGGAAGCCAATGTGTAATTTTATCGGAACCGATTGAGTTAGCTGTATAATAAAGTAACATTAACAATCAATAATAGCTATTTATATATCAAGTAAGTACATAAACTGGGTCTTTATGGACGAGCCGTTTATTTAGCCGAGCGAGCTTGCGAGCGAGGCACAAATAAACCAGGTGAGTTCCCATAAAGCTTATTTATGTACGCGATATATACAAAGCTTTATGTACGACTGCAACAACGCTTAAAGAAGAAAATTTCATGGAATTCAATAAATGATAAAATCTATATATCATTGACAACAGATGTCAAGCATTTGTCAAGTATTTCTAAATGCTTGCATGTACCTTGGATCGACACCTGACTACGACTGTCACATTGACAGGCGGCCTTTTGTACTTTATCATTATGGACTAGGCCATAATATTGCAAATTATGGCCGCTAATTGCGACTTTAATCACCGTATTTCAAGCAGTCGTACATAATAGTTATTTATTATACAAGACAATAAAGAGTTGTTTTAACCAATGACTGAAAGATGTTTCACGCGATGGTTAGTTTCACTTTACTTATCGTCATCTATAATACAAAACTCTATTTTACCGCAGAAGCCATAGAAACCATTATAAAATTTCTAAAAATGCTGTAGGTATTTAATTTAAATGTCCAAGCTTAGATACTCCTGTGATTTTCTTGGAAACAATTTGTATTCTGTTCTGAATTTCATTTTATATAGTGCTCCACGTCTTATTTTTAATAAAAATGACAGATCTCATTGGAATGCACAATGATTTGTTTCACTTTATCTTCCTTGGCGTTAAAGTGATTACTTTATCTACCCATACTGTTAAAGACTCCTAAACCTAATTAAAATCTCAATTTAACATCTGCTATAAAATACAAATAATTGAACTAGGCTGAAAGGAAAACAAGTTTTAGTGAAAACTCTACTACAGTTGGGTTATGGAAGGTTAATAAATCTGTGACGAACCAAACATGTTTTATCTTTTACCTACAAACTGTATTATATTTTGTCATATCCCAAATAATATACACTTAATAATTAATACAATTACAACATCTTATATTCATAAAAAAGTATTTCCTGTTAATAAATATTATGTAATAAAAATATCACATTTAACTGACCCACGTTGGCATTACTAATGCACGCCTATAGCGCCAAATCTAATTTCTTTTTCGAACTGTTCCGCTTTTAAAGTACCATCGATGCTCTTACAATTTTCATTAAACACTGAATAGGCACTAACTTCATTTCTCTTCTTTGGTGAGGTACGTGTGTTTAAGTATATACCTATCAATGCGGAGATTATAAGATAAATAATTCCAAATTGTAACTTAATAAAAATCAAATACACAGTGCCCCACAGTATAAAATAGAGAATGTACGTTACAATTTGTAAATATGACCAACTACAGTTTTCATCTTCTTCCAATTCCTCATCAGATACTCCGTCGATAACAAGAGGTTCGTTAACTGTTCCCGTCTATCGATAGAAAGAAAATTTTAATGAATGTTTTGCAATAAATGTACGAGTTACCATAACTGTATTTCTTCCGGTTACTTTCGAAGTAAAGAAAGACCGAAGAGACCCAGTAACACTTTCTAAATATTCCTGCCTGCGTTTTCTTGCTCTGTATTGTGCCAATTTCTGTTCAGCATCCATTTGGAAGACGATCAAAATCTGCTTGTAGGTAAATAAATTAAACCAAACTGGTTCTTAATGTTAAGTACTTTCATAATTTTTACTTTTTGGAATACATTTTCAAATTGAACACTCAACAAGTAGAAAACAGCTGATTCGCAACCATAGAATTGAGTGCCACACATGCTTCAGTTGTATTTATTCGGTGGTGAGATATACATAAAATTGTATTTGAGATGAGCTTAGATCATATATTAATACATATCATTGTATATGTATTACGTATGATCTAGGGAGATGAGAGATGAATATTTTTTATATTCAGATTATTGCAAAAAAATTGATGAATGTACATTGTTCTGGTCTCTGGAAGCATATTTTTGATTCAGTAATTAAATAAAACCCAATAAGTTTTTATTACACGTTTATTAATTTCTGTTGAACGTTCACGATAGCACAGGAAATAAGAACGATATAGAATCTTATGAGTAAATATCTTTAGTATCTACGCAAGTATGGGGTCACAGCCATCTATAATATATAATTCTTTCATGATGTTAATTGTCGCACCAGAATTTTCCTTCTTAAACCATCTGTCCTTTTCTTTTCAATACTTTTCTTCATTTCACTGTATAGTGAACCACTTAGGGCCAATTGCACCGTCAAAATTAAGTATCCCTTAAAGTTAAGCATAACTTAAATACCATAGCAACGATTGTCTTAATAATCGTTGCCATAGATTTTAAGTTCGACTTAACTTTAAGCAAGGCTTAATTTTGTTGGTGCAACTAGGGCTTAATCACTGTCCGCTCTATCATATTTCGTTGATTGGAGGATACTGATGCTGAATATGTACATCATTTTCTTTTCTCCTCTCGGTATCTGACCAGTAACAAATTTCACGTGTGAAGTCCGGGCAGTTAGTATGACAGTTGCTGCCTACTCGCAGTGCAGTACGTTATTGACTCCATTTTTCAGCACCCTGTATAAACGATAAAAGCTGGAATTATTGAAAATATGCGGTGTTGCCATTATATATAAATTTACCTACGCCGTGACCCACAATCTTACCACATCACAATAAACATTACGCATGTGCTACATCTACGAGGTTTTTAGTAAATAAACGAATTGTGTTGAAAAAATTAAAGTTTATAATGCACTCGAGCTGTTAGTTTTACTGTAAGTTTCGTTCTTTCTTAAATTTGTGCAAGTGAAACCAAGCTATGTTCTCGAATTTAAATAAATCTGCGTTCGGAACCACCAATACCGCACCAACCTTTGGTAAGTTTTTTTTATTTATTACTCCTGACGCAATATTTTCCTGAGAATTATTTCAATTTGCTTCGTTCAGCACGTAAGATGTGCCGTTCTGTAAATTCTTTCATTTATTTTCATTTATTGGGTTTGTTTACCTAAATGCGTATAGAAAATGGAGGCTGTCAGATGCATTGCGTCATATTTTGAAACTACCTCTTAAAGCAAATCGCTATCGAATTTAATTAAATGCCTATTTTTCAAGGATTCGGAAGCACAACAACCAACCAAACGCCATTTGGGCAATCACAATTTTCCGGAAAACCCAACACGGGTGGTTTCGGTCAATCGGCACCCTTATTCGGCTCTAATCCTCAACCAGCTACCGGAACACTTTTTTCAAACCCCACAATACCTGCCTTTGCAGGAGGCACACAGCAAACTGGTTTCGGTACTATTTGTGACAATTTTTTTTTATTTTTTAAATTTACTCTACTTTAGGTACGGGTTTATTTGGACAGCAACCGAATGTCGGCGTTAGTAGCGGCACCAATGGCTTGTTCACCTCATCCGCGACGTCGACGTTCGGGCAGCAAAACAAAGCGTCGTTCGGTTTTGCTCCCTCGACGTCGACACTGTTCGGCCAACAGCAACCTCAAAATTTTCAAGCGGCCGGTACCGGTGGCGTTTTCGGGGGTACAAGTTTCGGCGCAACGCCTCAGGCGGGAACCGTCATCAAATTTAATCCCACCACAGGAACAGATACCATGCAGAAAGGCGGTGTTACACATTCGATCAATACCAAACATCATTGTATAACTTGCATGAAGGAGTACGAGTCGAAATCTCTTGAGGAGTTACAGTGGGAAGATTATCAGGCCAATCGTAAAGGTAATTAAGTTTACTTTTGGCAGTTTTATTTTAACTTTTGTTTATTACATTTTCTAATGTGCAAATTTACTCATCATAGACATAATGTGTCTAACATTGTTATGTTTTATTGTAATTAGCCTTAATTGGAATATAGTGCATGCTTGCCAAACTTACAGAACAGCAATTATCTTTTGTTTGACAACATGACTACAAGGGAAATAGCGTTATTTGTAGATGAGTAAAGATAGTAAACTTTGTGGTGAGATCCCAAATGCGATGTGGGAAAAATTGGCACTCTATATAGCCATGACTCTTTTCTTAAAAAAAAATTCTTAAATTCCATGTCGAAAAAAGAATTACCTAGATTATTCTGCAGCTCAAAATTACACCACACATCAATACATTATTTTGCTTTGTGATTCGTTTTGCTGCTAGTTAAATGATGTGGTGGAATTGTTGTTTTTAAAAATAACTATTTTTCTAAAATTAAAAAATTCGTTTATTTAGCACAGTTTGGGTCATTTTTTGAAATGCGTTTATCAAAGCTGCATTATTTACTAGGCGATTTCACTAAGGCATCCCATTTCCGCCTTAACCAGAGACATGGAGAGAGGAGATAGCGCATGAAACTGCGCGAAGTGACAAAACAAGGGGGCTGCCATTTTGACACCCATTGAAGCGCGAAATTTGAACAGGACTATAAAGGTTTACTGACGCAACCCAGAGACATCTAACGCAATCTTCATACACTACACTCTATTCGGCAGCAGCTCCGTAGGAAGAAACTAATATCTCAATCCAAATGAACAAAAGAAAATGCCAGTGACGTTGACGTTACAAAATAAACACTTAAACCTCGAAAAAAGCTCTCCTAAACACGAACACACGCTAAAATAACACCACTATAAACACAACATGACACAACGGGTGTAAAAATGGCAGCGCCCATGAGGTCGCACCCTTTCTTGGATGCGCACTCGTCGATCAGCGATCTCCTCTCTCCATGTCTCTGGCCTTAACCCTGTTTCTCATACAATAATTCACAGGGCCTTCCCCCTATCCTCCACCTGAGGACACCCCCGGTAGAAAGCCACTCTCCACATGCAAGATGGGTGCCAGGGCTAATTACAGTAATTTCACAGGAAAAAATTAAAAGGACACATTTCCCTATATTTGCAGATCAAACACATGCACTGCCAATTATTTTGCCACCTCTGCTAAAAAAACTTCGCTACTTTCCTTTTCTTGCTTGAACTGAAAAGTGTGACGCGGACTCACTTATAAACCTTCGTCCTTGTGCAAAATCTTGACGATTAATGTGCGCATGCGCAATATTCACTTTCTTATTTATTAATAGATATCACATATTGAAACCAACGGTTGTGCGCATGTGCAGAGTACGCAATGCTAACTTGCTTATTTATAAAAATTTTAATCATAGATGTTTCTGGTAATGACAAACATATTGTGTAAAGTCAAAATCAGATGTGCGCATGCGCAGATTGCGCAATGCTAACTATAGTGAATTTTTTTTAAATGCGAACATAGGATTTTGCATGCAATGTAATTTCCCTATGTTCGATTTAAAAAAAACACATCAATCTATTGAGTAGTTCAAATGAGTAGTAGATAAAATTGACAGCTGTCACATTTTTAAAAATAATTCAATTTAATTTCTAAAGTGGTTAGGTGATTGCTTAGAATGCCAAGAAGGACACTTTGAACATTTATTGTAGTTGTTTTTGTTATTTATTTTCTTATTTTCTTCATTTATGTATTGAATAGATCAAATTAGTAGAATACCAGGTGCACATGACCTACAAATAATTGAAGGTGGGTTCACAATGAATTGTGGTGACAGCGCGTGCCCCGTGAGGTCAAGTCTTAGACTATACCGGGTGGTGCCTAGCGCGACGCAGCATAGGGATTTCAATGGTAATTTCTTTATAGTCATTTACTAGCTCCCCTAATTATTTTACAGCAAAAGTCTAAATACGTTTTTTTAGAGAAAAAAATAGGGAATCTGTTCATGCTATTACTCATAATTTTCCGTTTTTCAAAACCGTAGGAATCGACAAAATAAAAAATTACATTTTTATAAATCAGTGATGCTTTGGAATCTTTTAACAAACTCCAAGCGCATCGCATCTAACTTATCGGTGTTTGACGTCGAATGATTTCCATATTTAATTCTGTTTTAAATAACCGACGCAATAAAAGGCATCTTAGGGTAATGTTTTTTTATAGAATGTATGCTGCATCTGCATCAGATACTATTTGTTTATCATTTTCCGGAACCAGAGTACCTACATAATCGAAGAAAAAAAAACTGATTTGAGGAAGAATTGTTCTTAAACTTATATTCGGATTTTCCGCTACTGCAGCCAAACCGTTGAATGTATCGTTGTTTTCCTGAAGGTTTTGACGGACATTTTGAACGTTATTGCACTTAGTCCGGGCGAGAATTTTGAGATCTTAACTTCTAACGGCAAATCTTGAGACATTGTGGTGACAAGTGTTTTTGGGATAATTGGACCCTGCTGAATCCGATTTTGCCTGTCACCACCTCGAATTCCGGCTGCTAAGGCCTCAAATCAAGATGGCGCCCAAAATGGCGACTAAAACTCACTTTAAAATTTGTTGTTGTAGTAACCAAAGATTATTATCATGATTTTTATCTAGTGCATACGTTTCATTATTTATTACTATCGTATAAAAAATAAAGATGGTGGTCAAAATGACGGTAGAAACTTGTGTTAACTAATTTCTTTAGTTGCAAATTATCTTATAAGATCCTTATAAATTTGTTTTTGTTTTACAAATAGAACGCCAAATATTGTTTATACAGCGTTTGAAACGCACGCGTAATTTAGGACCTTCCATCACGGCTACGACGCAACGCGCGCAAAATTACTGATAGCGCGAATCTGCTGGCTACATGCTAGGTTCAATTATTATATACCAAGTTCGAAATATTTTGACTGTGGGTGTGCCGTGCCAAAAGCATGCCAAAGTTTAGTACATTGTGGTTGCAAGAAAGGGTGCAAAACTAACATATGCAAGTGCCGGAGAACTGTTAATTCGAAAGGCAAACGCATGCTGTGCACCAGAAGTTGCCAATGTAAAAGCGTTAGCAAAAACAACGAAAGCCTAGAAACTCAGCTTGTGCTATCATCGGATTCAAGTGACGAATCCGAATAAAGCCTAAGAGAAAGAAAGAAAGAGAGAAAGAAAGAAAGGAAGAGAGAGAGAGAGAGAGAGAGACTAATGTTTTTGCTCATTTCTATTTTTTAAGTTTTGTTTTCGATTTATTTTTTTATACAGAGTTCGTACAAAGAGTCAAACTAAGCGCCATCTTGTCCGCCATTTTTGAAAAAGTGTAAGTAAAGTTTTTGTACCTCGTTTTCACTTAAGCAGGCACTTTGTAAACAAATTATAGTTCTTTTGCTCACTTAAAAGGTTGAATAAATCAAGAATACTACAAAACGCGGCATTTGGAGCTTTCTTTCAGCCGCCATCTTAAATTTTTTTGGCTTCATTTCTCATAAACTAGTACCAAGTGGCAAAATGTATGTGCTACATAAAAATCATAATAATATTTTTGTTTTCAACAAGAAAAAAATGTTAAAGTGAGTTTTAGTCGCCATTTTGACCGACATCTTGATTTGAGGCCTTAGCAGCCAAAATTCGAGGTGGTGACAGGCAAAATCGGATTCAGCAGGGTCCAATTACCCTAAAAACACTTGTCACCAAAATGTCTCAAGATTTGCAGTTAGAACCTTTATAATGCGCTTTACCGAATTTCTCGCCCGGACTAACTTGCAGTTAATTAATTTGTAAACAAGTATAAATTTAAATTTAATAAACGTCAAAGGCAAATAATGAAACGTGATCGCTGTTTTTTAAGGTAATTCCAAGGCATATCTGATTTATTGTAAAATGAACCTTTTTATTTTGTCGGTTTCTACGGTTTTGAAAAACGGAAAATTATAAGTAATAGTATGAACAGATGCGGTATTTTTTTCTCTAAAAAAAACGTATTTAGACTTTTGCTCTAAAATAATTAGGGGAGCTAGTAATTGACTACAAAGAAATTAACATTGAAATCCCTATGCTGCGTCGCACTAGGCACCACCCTGTATAGTACATGGACTGCTAATTGTAACTAAAATATGGTCAAGGACATCGCCTGGGTATGTAAATTTCAGGGTAAACGAGTGTGTCCGAAGTTGCCCACTTAGGGTACGTTCCACTTAACGCCCGTAACGATCACGACCGCGACCGCGGTTTTGTCGTTCCACTAGCTTAGAGGCGTTGTGGGCGAAACCTTAAGTGGAACGCTTTTGAGTACGATGTGACGTCACGCGTGAGTGAACAGTTTTCCAACATGGACGTCGTTGAGGAGTTCGTAATGCGTAAAGGATACAAAGTGGGGTGGATTATGAATTCAAGAGTCACATTAAGTTGGTAAATATTTTTTATTTTTAATTTTAAAATATTGAAAACGACTTTTGAATTTCTATCATAAATGCTGCGGCCATACTTAATACGATGATAATGAACACTTCTCCCCAGAATTTCTTCTGGGAATGCTGCTTCGAAAACAATTTCTCTTTTTCATTCAAAACTAACGTGCATTCTCATTTTCATCCATCGTTGCATTACCATTTATAATCTATCATACTCATCCATAAGATCTACAATAAAGAAAATTGTGTTAAAGCAGAATTTTCCTTAACAAATAACTTTAACATTCACGAATCAGCATATATACTTACCAGTTTGTGCATGTAGAACATCCATAATGTAATGTCCACCACAAGGTTACGTTCTGAAACACGTAATTATATTTTCTCCATAGCGAAAACGAAAAATTTGTAACGCATGCGTGTTCAAACAATCAGTGTCTGACAGTTAAATGTCTCTAGAAATGTCTCCTGTCAAGAATGTAAGGTTATAAAATTAGAACGCCCACGCTGACCCAGGTACGATAGGCGAGCGCCGTGGGCTCGGTGCGGTCGCTAGTAATGACGTCATATCTGACGTCGCGACTGCGACCATAACGACTGTGGTCGTTATGTGGAACGGCAGACGGGCATCGTGGTCGTTGCGGGCGTTAAGTGGAACGTACCCTTAGACACGATTTGAGACTGTCAACCTATAAATTAACAAACGTCACTTAATTAATCGCCTAGATATGCCAAAAAAGCAAACATATTCTTATTTGTGGACGGATAGAAGATAATCAAGAGTATTTTTTGCGCGATCGGTCATTTCTGACTATTTACCATGGGTGTTTCCATGACAGTACGTAGTATTTACCAGTTGCTATGATTACGACGACGCCAAAATTACTTACCGATCTAAAAACAGAACAGCAAAAATACTTACCGACGCCTTTTTAAAAATCAACAGTCTTACATTACATTTAATCTTTAATTATTGTTAGGTACATTAAACGTACAATTTGTGCTGTTGTTTCCTATAGCAAGACGCTCATAAAGTCATAAAGGAAGTGCAAAGCTAGTAAACTACATCAGACACATGCACATTTTTATGAAATTATTAATTTCAATTTTGACAAATAAACTGGTTACCTAGTGATGTACACCATACCACTTCGATCATTTCGATTTATTCTGCTCGTTAATTTCTTAGTGCATATTTATATTGGTTGCATAATTTTAATTTCGATCGCGCAAAAAATGTTATAAGCACGTCGAACGTTAAGGGTTACCGTTCTCAGACAATAATTGGAGTCGTCGCTTCGCTCCTCCTCCAAACAATTGTCTTCGAACGGTAAAAATCCCTTACCGTTCTCCATACTTAATATACTATAAAGGTTCCCGTACTACGCGGTTACCATAAAAGCTACTCTTTACGCGATCCGAGTGGTGTTTACATGACTTTAGTTTACCCTGAGATTCACATACCCGCGACTACAGTGCCCTCTATCCGTGACCATCCATTTTGTATTGAAAGCATAGGGCTAATAGCAGTCCATGTACTATGTGGTCTAAGGGTCAAGTTATCGTAAGTTTAAGAAAAATTTATCCTAAAGTTGCGATGGGGTCACAGGGCTTCTTTAAAAAAATTTTTCCGAGTGCTCTTCATCATGCAGACTATTAGAAAGCGTTACTTATTCATAGTCACGCAAGTTGCGCGTTTTACTGGTGGGAATGTGAACCGCGCACACCTCATAGATTGATGCGTTTTTTTGTTAAATCGACATAGGGAAATTACATTGCATACAAAAGCATATGTTCGCATTTAAAACAAACTCACTGTAGATATTTCTTTGAAATTTTAACCATAGATGCTAGTAAAGAAAAACGTCGCCCACATAGCTATGGCCTTTCGGGAAGTACTGATCAATGCATGGAAAAAAAGTAAAAAAGTAGTAGGCCATGAAGAGCAATCTAGAAAATCAGAAGTTGATTATCACATTAACCATTTTAAATTTTAGGCCCACAACAACAACAACAAAGCGGATTTGGATCAACTTTATTTGGTACAGCAGCTTCAACCGCTCCTTCCTTATTTGGACAGACTGACACCGCTAAAGCAGCATTCGGCCAAACCTCAGCATTTGGTACAAATACTTCGGGTTTTAATTTAGGCAATCAAGCAGCCCAACCCTCACTGTTTGGTAAAACAAGCACTGGTTTCGGAACTACTCCAACAACAAATGCCTTTAACTTTAACGCTACCACATCTACTTTTGGCTCTACTGCTATAAATAAAGGGTTTGGTACACAACCTACGGCAAACATATTTGGGTCTACTGCTACGACACAACCTTCCATTAACTTTGGTACAAGCAGTTTATTCCAAAACACCGCTCCGGTAGGTGAAATGTTAAATTAATAGTGCAATTGCTAATGATATACTAATCTTACAGAATACAGGTCTCTTTAGCAAGGCGACAACACAACCGGCTTTTAGTACCCAACAACCTTTGTTTAATTTTAATCAGCAGCCGACTACCCAATCTAGTATTTTCCAAACACCAAAATCTTCCACTGGATTTGGTACTTTTGGAACTTCCAATGTAACAACACCAGCTTTTGGGCAACAAAGTACCCTTTTCTCATCTCAACCTAATCAGAATCCTTTCAATGTTCAAAAACCAGCCCAAACGACATTTGGACAACCATTACAAACAGGATTTGGACTTGGTATGCAATTTACATATTACAGCATGACTCAAAATAATTTATAGGTACTCAAACCGGAGGCACTTCTCTATTTGGACAAAATAAACCTCTCCTAGGAGGAACTACCCAACCCAGTTTCTTTAACACGGCAAATACCGGTTTCATGATGAACCAGCAGCAACCATTACTGAATCAGTTAGTATTTAAAGATTTTTGCACGAAAACGTCACTAAACCGTGTTTCAGATCGTCGGGATTTGACTTACAACCGACGCAAGATTTTTACGAACATGTCCAGCAAATATACGGACCGTTCCAGCACCACGACTTTTTGGTGGATGCGCTTAAGAGTAAAGCTCACAATACCACCGATCCGAAAGCGTTAAAGGAAATTCTGGATCAAGCGCCAATGCCTTTGACAAATATAGAAAAGAACACTAGCAAATACAGGACGATAATTAAACCGAAATCGATGTTCTCTTCGTCTAATATGGGTGGGAAGGTAAGAACAAATATATATATTGAAACCATTTACATGGACTATATTATTGATGTCCCAGATAAGATCTGGTAGTCACTTAATCCCCACAGGATTTTTATGATTTCCCCGGTTGGTTTCTAGACTAGTTTTAGATCACTGAAGGACCTAACAACTTCTTTGAGGTTCTCTTTCACTATTCTGTTGTCTTGACTATACTACATTTAGCAGCAGCGTAACAGTTGCATGCCTGTTTGTACAGTTGGCATGTAACCTGTAAAGGTCTGAACATCCATATTCTGAAATATCTTTGGTTTTCTGCAGCGAAGCCTTCATGAATCGCTTAGCCAGGTGCAGGTGCTTGTTCATGTGGGATGCTCTGCTTGTCTTTTCCCACTGATCCTGATTATGATCAGGTTTGCCAGATCATCGGCCTTTATGTTGTCTAAAATATCCAAATTGCCTTGGAACAGAGGTTTAGGGCACAAACCTTGACTTGAAAGATGGTGGGACCTTTATCCGGGGGTTAGAGGTGTGGCACTCAAGGTTGCTAATCCCTGTCCCCATTTTTTCCACTTTTTGTTTTGGAGGTTACACGAAAATAGTGCAGATACAAAAGTTGTTTATTTTTTTTACTTTCGATAACTTTTTCGCCTAAAATTAATAGTTGCAAAATATCACTTTCAACGCCCGGGATATATATTTTTTAAACTAACCACAAATGTCATTTGTGAAGGCAAATACATCGTACATATTAAAAATCAAATGTGCGCATGCGCAGACTGCAAAATGGTGCAGACTACAACATGCCAACTTTTTTTTGGTATGTTTAGTCGAGTTTTTATCCGATTAATACACTCCATTAATATACGACCAGTCAGCCTGGTGGTTGTTTCAAATTCTAACCAATCAGATGATTTTTTTTCTGATTAAAACCTAAGTAGCTTTTTATCAGCGATAAAAATGCGCGTAGGAATGCGTAAAATATGTAGTGGTTGTAAAATTTACTGTCTTTTATTAATCTCTCTAAAATACACTCGATTTTGGTTTTAAATCAGGATAATTTGATTTTTAATTCAGTCAAATTTTGTTGCTTCCTAGTTCCTGGAAAAAACTCTGTCAAAAGCACATGATAAAATCACACTTTTGATCTCTATTTTTTCTGTTGGAACAAAACTTTCGTGTAAAAATAAAATTATCTGATTAAAAATTAAGCTCTTGTGTTATACCCTCGAAAAATAAACCAATTAGCAAATAATAATAATAATAATAGGACTTTATTGGACACAAAATATCAATATAACGAGAAGAAACAAAGAAGAAAAAAAAAAAAAAATATGATAGTGTCCAACTGGCGAAGTTCAGGTGTGGAAAAATCCTTACCTGCTCTTCCACTTAACCATTTAACGTTATTTACACAATCTTATTTATAAGGCAAGTCTGAATAGCAGTAAAGAAACGGAAGCTGTAGGACCATTTTACTAATCTATGAGTGGTGAAAGCCATAGAGGTAAGTTCATTTAGATGATCTGGCGTAAATACGTATTGATTTTGAAATCGATTGGTCGGTCTGATTTCTATAAACTACACCACGAGGACGTTTTATTTGACCTCGGTACCTGTAATAAAGATGGGAAGCTCCGTATGTGGATTTCATTTATTGTTAACGTTAATTGTTGGTTGGAATTTGAGATTAAGCGCAATGTCGATCGTATCGGTTGAATTCGAGGACAAACTTGATGTCTTGGAATTATTTAATTATTTGACGTTTGATTTTGTTTAAATAATTATTCTGTTTTTTGTGTTTTGGCACTTGTAAATATAAATTACGTGTTAAGACTAAATTTAAACATCTGGAAATTATTTGCGTAATATTTGTAAAAGTTTATCTCATGCTTTCTCTAGTTATAGATAAGAAGTTTTCTTATCGCTCATTAGATTCAAGATAAGGGCATATGTTATGGCCCAAATTTAACACAGATGCACCGCCGTCAAAGGTCCAATACTATAACTGTTCTCACGCAATAAAACAATTTATTAACGAAGTCTCAATAATCCAAAATCTCCGGTCATAACTGCGAGTATCAAACAGTCAAAATGATGATACATCGGGACTTAACTTAAAACTCGATTTACTTGCCCTACTAAGGAAGAACCCCGCATATCCAAAAATTTAAAGAGATATTGGTATATTTGGAATCGTTATGGTCTATTTTACTTATTTACGTAATAAAACTTTTGCATGTACAGAATTATAACCTATTTCATTCATAAAACTGGTGGACTAAACTTCCTTTAACTGATGACTTTGAAGACCTTCTCTTAAGCGACAAACGCTCGATAACCACAGGACATCGACTTATAAATTCATTTAAATGATGACGTATTAGACAAATTATATCTATAACTTCACAATTAAACAATACTGTTTCTTCAAAAAGCCTCGATAACGACAAAACTGACTGTTTTGCAAACAAATACGGGTACGTTTCAACGTCCGGTTTGCTTATTTAAAACCTTTTCCCCTTTCTATTTACTTCCTTCCTCTTTCCTTGACAAAAATATTACCCAGTCTTATAATAATCTGCACCTGTGTGTTAAACTTCAGCATAACACGTTCTTATCTTTAAACTGATTAGCTTTACAGTGAACAGAAAACTTCTTATCTACGGCCGGAGAAGAACATGAGATAAACTTTTACAAATACTACACAAATAATTTCCAGATGGTTAAATGTACTTAGTCTTAACATGTAATTGAAATTTACAAACAAATGGATTACACATCCGCAGATCGAACTTTCTTATTTAACGACATGATTTTATGAAATGTTGTGGGAAGGGGATTCCTAAAAAAATAAATTAAACACACATCAATGAATAGACTGTGCAATTGCAGACTAATCAGTCTAGTAAGTCTAACCCAATTCTTTTGAAATTTCAGCAACAGATCTTATGGAAGTAAAGAAATGCAAAAGTAAAAAAAAGGAATTACGCTTGAGCAACACATAAATAACTCTTATTTGTGACGAGTTGTGAAAAACCGAAAAAAAATGATTGCGCAATTTTGTTATTTGTGGACGGTTTTTTCGTAATTTTAAGGGAAGATGCTTCCTATAAAAACAAATAAAAATCGCGCGTCAAAAAATCGTCCTAGGCGCAACAATTTGTAGCATTTGTGGGTATATCTATTCAACTTGAGTATGGCTTTGGCTCTTTGGTACCTTATAACAGCATTGACTAATATCAGACAGATTGATGGAATTCTCAGTTAAATTGACGTTTTAAATCAACATTGTTTAAACCTGGCCTTAGGATTTTAATGTTGTCAGTTTATTTCATTAGATTTTTTTATTTCCAACATACCCCTAATGGAATTTGAGCACAGACGTTAATTGCAAAGACCTTGCCTTGTATTATTATTGCGTTTCCATACCACAAAGCAGATTTTATTGGTTCCTGTGGGCACTGTTTCACTGTACATACATTCTCATTGACAACAGCTAATGCCTTTCCTTCACTTTTTTAGTTGTTCCATTTTTACTTCTTTCTTCCCCATTTTCTTGAACACCAACCTTTTTCCGAAACCTTATTCCCATTCATTGATATGTTCAAATATATTCTCAATCTCTTTATTTTTGTCTTACATTCTTCATTCAGAATGAAGATGCCTTTTTTCTAACTTTATGTTTGTGCTGGCTGAAAATGTGATTTCTAATAGTAGGTGCTTTCATGTTTGTAAAGATACAATTTTAAGACCCATTTTTCTTTTAGTATGCCTTATTAGATGATGTCATGGAAAAACCAATAGTAACTAACTTCTCCACTAAACCTACCGCTGGGAGGCGCCTAATTTTACGTAAATCTGTACCTAAAAGTGAACAAGAAGTGTTAGAAGATTATAAACGTTTAGGCGATGGTTTCAACCCAAAAAACTACAAGAGCATATTTAGTATGCAGTTAAACGACACTGACGTTGAGAAAAATGATCTCCTGGAAAAATCCAAGTTGATGTTCAAACGTGACGGCATCAATGGTCCCATTTTCAATAAAAAACAGGACACCGAAGGTATGAGTTTTTCTAATTGAATTTTTAACCTCATGTAGAATTTCAGTGACGGCGGCTACACCTGTACGAGAGAGTGTCGACAAGATAAGGGCTAAACAACTTCCGTTAGATGTCAGTAATTATTTAAATGCTACTGATAACGATATCTCTGCCATATCCAAGGAATCTGATCATCTTCAACGTGACAATTCTTATGGTGATCGAACTCGTAGTATTTTACAAGACGAAACATCACCCAAAGGTAAGGCTACTTGCAATAATATTGTACGTATTCATTTTGCAATTTAGATAAGGTCAGTAAGACGGTGCGCTTTCAAGATAACGAGGTGAGTTCGAGTTCAGATTCTTCCACTAGAGATGCCTCAACAAATACTGCAAATGATAATACCGTGGGGGAAGAAGAAAAGGAAAACAATAACGCGATAATTTCTACTCATTTAAGTTGTGGAGTAAAACTTACTCGTCCAGAGTACTACACTAAACCTCCTCTCAATGAGTTGCACAAGTACAAAAATGAAAAAGGAGAATGCATCGTCAAAGGGTTTACCATTGGGCATAACCGTTTTGGCAGTGTCTATTTTCCAGATGCTATGGACGTTTCTAATTTAAATTTAGACGAAATTGTTGACATAGACCACAGGGATATTACAGTTTATGCCGATGATGACAAGAAACCTCCGATTGGGCAAGGTTTAAACCGACGCGCACAAATTACAATGGAAAATGTGTGGCCTCGTGATAAACATACCCAGAAGCCGGTTTACAACGTTGAAGAGATAGCAAAAACCAATTTCATTGATAGACTTCGTTTGCTGTCTAAAAAACAAAACACAACATTCTTAGATTATCGTCCTGAGACAGGTACCTGGAAGTTCACTGTTGATCATTTCTCTAAATATTGTTACGAAGAAAGTGATTGTAAGAAGTCATCAATAATTATTTAATTTGTTCTAGGTAAAAAATTGTTCGTAATTTAATTTAGCGTACTTATACAATAAACTGTTAAGCAAAGTATTTTGATATTGTTGAATCTATGTTAAAATTCAAAATAGTGAGGAATTTTATTGTGATTTTAACTTTATTTGTTTTTTTTTTGTAAAAATAAGTCATAAAATAAGCAATTTATGTATAAAATTATTATTTAGTGGAATATATTTACCGTCTCTGCTTTCTTTTAGTTTTTATTCATATTTTAAGTTTCTCAAATGATAATTTAGAGACTGTACAACTTATATTTATCAATAAAGTTTTTACCATTCAATTTAGTTGTTTAGTTCGCATTAATAATCCCAGACTTGAATGTACACTGAACTGATTGTGGACGAGTTACCTCATGTTTCTTGTTGACTGACTTCCATTTCCATTTTTCCTGACGTGGATATGGTTACTACTAACATAAACTTTCAAACACGCCGGACACTTGACACCAGTGTAACATAAAATTTATTACGTAATTTATCTATATGAAATTAGCCAGAAACTAATACTATTCACGATAAACTATAACGGTGATCGCAAATAGATTAACTTATAACAAGCGAATTTATTTATCACTTGATGTTAATATAAAGACTAGACTAAAAGACATTGTGTCGAAGATAGATGTCTATCTTGGGGATTCCGGAAACCATAAAAGATACGATTGTTAAATTAGACAAAAGGTGCGCAATTAAACAGCTATTATATGCTTTTAATAAGACCAGAAAATTCCTATTGCTTCCCAAGATATGCCAGAAGAACCGAAATTTTCTGATCTGATTTTTATTTTTTTCTGGCGTCCTGATAACGACCTAAAAAATATATTGCGCCAATTAATAAAAAAGTTAGTCAGTAACCACCATTATAAATATTTGGAAATCGGCCGTTTTCAATATTTTTAATAATTACTCGGCATACAAACTTACTCAAGTCCACTTGATCACTGTTTATCAATATATATACAAGGTGTTTCCTAATAACATGCATATTTAAGGGGGTGACTTTTGGGCCAATTTTAAGAAAAAAACTTCCTATGAACGTATGTCCAAAACCTCTTAGCTTTTGAGATACAGGGCGTTAAAAATACAATAAAAATCAATTTTTTGTCATTTGCATATGTACTACTTTAAATATTTTTATGAAATTTGAGTTACCACGTTTATGCATGAAAAATTTCATAAAAATGACAAAAAAATTGATTATTTTCGTAAAACCTTAACACCCTGTATCTCAAAAGACGTTTTGGACATACGTTCATAGGAAGTTTATTTCTTAAAATGGGCCCAAAAATCACCCCCTTAAAAATTAACATGTTATCTATTAAGAAACCCACTCTCATACACACAACCTCAATGACAGTGTAAATACAAATTACGAAGTCTACACTGTGACACTACAGAATCTTCCTATTTGCATTCTTGCCTATTCAAATTCCGAATGCCGCTACGAATAAATAAAATACATGTTTATATTTTGCAACTTTACTTTAGATAATAATACTACAAATTTAAAAAATATATATTACAAAATCTTATTTCTTATCCTTATAATTGTTAATTATCCATGGGTGTTTCATAACACCTGGCAATGTGATGCGGTTTACAGATGATTTTAGTAGCAACTGCAATACAATGATATGATTATCATTATTGAGCTAGACAACGAACATACCTTCGAGATTAAATCAACACCACCAGGTGAAATATGCATAGGGAACGAAATTTCAATGTTTGTAATTCGAGCGTATGTTTCTTCAGTAGTTTTGCTTTCAAAGGGAGGATGCCCAACTAAGAATTCATAACACAATATACCTACAAGAAAAAGTGTGATGAAAAACGTAACTAGAGTATGTGTATACTTCACCTAAACACCAATTGTCAACGTATTTGCCATACTGTTTTCCTTCGACGATTTCTGGTGGAAGATAATCCAAGGTTCCACACATAGTTTTACGGCTCAACGAAGGAGCGTGGACCGACCACCCAAAATCGCCCAGCTTGATATCATCATTAATTGACAGTAACAAATTTTCAGGCTTAAGGTCTCGATGTATAACTTTCTTACGGTGACAATAGTCAAGAGCATCAGCGACTTGATAAATATACTTTGCTGTTCTATTAAACAAGAAATGATATTTGGTTGTAAAATGTCATATATCAGTACCTTTGTTCGGAAAACCTTCCAATTGTCGTTAACTGTTTATACACCTCTCCTTTTCCGGCAAACTCTAATGCTAAGTAAATGCGATGGTCGTCATGGAACCACACATGCAGTTTTAGAATATTCGGATGCCTAAAAGAAACACAACTACTAACACAGACCTGCCGGCAAGCGTATTCTTACTTCAAATTTGATTGAATTTCAATTTCTCTCAGTATTTGTCGTTCAACGTGGCCCTTAACAATTTCTTTTTTTAGTAAAGTTTTGAGTGCTACCACCCAACCAGACCGTTTTTCACGTGCGAAGTAGACTCTCCCGAACTTGCCACGACCTAATCTAGTTCCCAATTCAAAATCGTCCAATGACCATTTGTAACTAAAAGCTAACGTTCACAAGAATAATTAATAGTAATACAATTACCTTGAATTTTTGTAAGCTGGGTGTGAAAGAATGTTTGAAAGCATTAGTTGAGTGCCTTCATCATAGTTTGTGCTTGGTTCTTCATTCATTATCACACACCTTCACTAATTATAATTACTACTTTTTATTTAAAATAAATTATCAATTATTACTGTAACATCAACTACACAATAAACCGTTCTGTGCGCTTGCCATCTGAAAATAACGAACTTTCTGTTTAATTCAAAATTACTGGAAAGTAGGGGATTTTCATGACTTCGTTTTATACCACAGATAACATCTCATACGTTACAGTAAGTATATACAAGGTAACTGCAAAAAATAGTTTTAGATTGCAAATGATTGAGAATAAACACTGATGGATGATGGTTTGCATAGACCAGTGGTTCCTAACCTGGGGGTAAAACTGCAATTTTTAGGGGTAACAAACATTGTTGATGCCTAGGAAACGAATTAATAGTAATATTAAAAGACTTGTTAATTTCAAACAATCTCAATGTTCACATTGGTTTTAGTTCAAAATACTTTTTGTCTAAAAATTAAAATTTTTAAGATTTTTTGATTAACAGAAATTTGTATATGCATATATTGTTTGTATGAAATCATTTTTGATTTTAAGTTGGGGAGGGGGGGTTAAGTTCGTTCCCCTACGTAAGACATATGGGTAACAATATTCGAAAGGTTAGGAACCACTGGCAAAGACATATGCGAATAACATATGTCTATGATGGTTTGTTGGTTGACATTTTCAAAACTTTTGTCACACATTACGGTTCCAAAAATTTGTTTCACAAAAGCAGTCCTTTTAATACAGAAAAATAATTCAATGTGGATATAAATGAAACAGGTTTCTGGTGAATCTGCAATTTTTGATCTGCAGCATGTGGATGAAAATTCCAATTACAACATATTTTAAAAAGTATTCTTATTGCAGAATACCTGAGATCAATTTCTGTGAGTCAGGATAATTTAACAAAAAAAATTGGGCAGCCATTGCAGGCCCATTAAGGATTTCGGATTAGATTGCCGGTCACAGAATACATAGCAGCTTCATTATTGGTATCAGAATCACTTGAGCAATTGTTGCTCCACTGCATCTCGCTCGAGCTCAAGAGGGCAAATTTGTCGATCTTCCAGGTGCAGAAATGGGAAAGGTAGTTGTGAGGTTTCCTCCAGAAGCATCGGGATATTTACACATTGGACACGCCAAAGCCGCACTGTTGAACCAATATTATCAACAGGCGTTTCAAGGCAAACTCATTATGCGTTTCGACGACACGAATCCGGCAAAGGAAAATGTTCATTTTGAACAGGTCATTTTGGAAGATATCGAAATGCTTGAAATCAAACCCGATTTATTCACTCACACCTCCCAATATTTCGATATAATGTTGGAGTATTGCGAGAAATTGCTTAAGGAGGGGAAGGCATATGTTGACGATACAGAGCCAGAACTGATGAAACAGCAAAGGGAACAAAAAATTGAATCGGAGAACAGAAGTAATAGTAAGCATCGAGTTATAATCTGTACTAATATAAGGGGTCTACTAATAATAATGTATCTTTTTAGCATATCAGCAAAATATAAATTTATGGAATGAAATGAAAAATGGGACCGAAAAGGGCCAGAAGTGTTGCGTAAGGGCCAAAATTGATATGCAATCTCCAAATGGATGTATGCGTGATCCCACAATTTACCGGTGTAAAAATGAACCACATCCGAGGACAGGGACAAAGTACAAGTAGGTAGCACGCTGCTGTGTTTCCAGCATTTACCTGATTTTTAGGGTTTATCCAACGTACGATTTTGCTTGTCCTATCGTCGATGCTATCGAAAACGTCACACACACTCTTAGAACTATGGAATATCACGATAGAGATGCACAGTTCTATTGGTTTATTGAGGCATTAGGTTTGAGGAAACCATACATTTGGGAGTATAGTAGATTATCCATGACCAACACGGTACTAAGTAAACGAAAATTGGCATGGTTTGTCGAAAACAATTTGGTAGATGGATGGTAAGTTCAATGTTGATCAGACAGTAAGACCATGGTTACTGTCAGGTCAGCCTTCTGCATGAGCACTTCTGGGTTGTGTAGTAGTCACATGGTAGTCGACATCATAGCGTAAAGAATAGAATAGTGAGACAACGGATGTACTTTTTGCAAATTTAAGGGCCATGGATGTTGCACGCTATGAAAATTGGCACATATGCTCTTTGACCCTTAGTCTTAATGTTCCTACGTGGGCCCACGCCTATTTGCACCTGGAACCTTCATTAGAGGGGTTAGGGACATACACAAATGTTGATTGCTAATGACTGGGACATTTATTCGGTTTTGTTTGATTTTTTCAGCGTTCACCTCAACCCTTGCATAATTAACCACGAAGGTAAGTTATTAAATCATAAAGTTTTTATGGCAACTACATCATGTACAGTCCAGATAAAAAATAAATAGAAAATCAACAGTTTGGACATTCAAGATTGTTTTTATAAACAATTTTAACATTGGGTCTACAGCATTCATCAGCAGCAAATCATTGCACTCCTCGGTTGTACATTTTTCCACGAAATATGCAATGCTTTTGGCACTTGTATCAAAATTTCTAGGAAGATTCTGTGGCCTCGATTTGAGGAGGAACATAGAATGGGTTCAGCGCCAGAAGTTCTTATGATATGTTTATGGAAATGAACATTGAATTTTTCTTTGTTCCTGGGGGGCTTGATGAATGACGTCAAACAAGTGGAGCACCACGCGCGTGTCTGCCTCTTTGTGGTTACATGGTCTCAAGGAGGCTACTTCACCTTCTGTGCTTGATAACACATCAGGACCACATGTCCTGTGCAATTTACCCATTAATGAAACAAAATAACCAAAATCCTTTGTTTGGATTAGATTCTTACCAATGAACCCAATACAAATTTGTTTTATGCAAGTAACTTTCGCGGGTCGATTCCTTTAGGAATGTTAAAATTATTTCGAACAAAATTGCTTCTATAAATTCCTAAAAATAACCGACCACTATTTTATACAGTTCAAATTAAGAAATATGGAAACAGATCGCTTTGATGGCACAGATGACTTTTTGCAATACCCAGGTAACGTTATCTTCTTGACGAATGCTAGGTTTGGTTGAAAAAAAGTTCGCATGAATCGCAATTCCATCAGCTTCAATTTCGCGAAAGTAATACTCGAGATCGTGATTATGCAGCGGAATAAAATGCCAATGTTCCACTGTGTTGACACCAGTTTTGCCCAATTTATTAACTAGGTCTTGTCAGTAAATGCACCGATTAATTGTTACATTACAATATAATTAGCGGAATCAACATTAAAATTTAGTTAAAAGAAAAATAAATAAATTTACAAATTATTGTGAATAAATCACGTCGGCAGGTGAAAGTAGCGGCATTGGAATGGACGGACTCGAGCCTTGCTTCTGGCGAAGGTGTTGGCACGGTTTCGGAGGTTTGAATATCCCGACGGTAATACTTAGAAAAATGATCAATTTATTATATACCTACGGCAACTGATTTCCTTATCGGTGGCTAAAGCGGCGTTACAAATTAAAGTACAAAATTTCTTAGAACTATGGAATATCACGATAGAGATGCACAGTTCTATTGGTTTATTGAGGCATTAGGTTTGAGGAAACCATACATTTGGGAGTATAGTAGATTATCCATGACCAACACGGTACTAAGTAAACGAAAATTGGCATGGTTTGTCGAAAACAATTTGGTAGATGGATGGTAAGTTCAATGTTGATCAGACAGTAAGACCATGGTTACTGTCAGGTCAGCCTTCTGCATGAGCACTTCTGGGTTGTGTAGTAGTCACATGGTAGTCGACATCATAGCGTAAAGAATAGAATAGTGAGACAACGGATGTACTTTTTGCAAATTTAAGGGCCATGGATGTTGCACGCTATGAAAATTGGCACATATGCTCTTTGACCCTTAGTCTTAATGTTCCTACGTGGGCCCACGCCTATTTGCACCTGGAACCTTCATTAGAGGGGTTAGGGACATACACAAATGTTGATTGCTAATGACTGGGACATTTATTCGGTTTTGTTTGATTTTTTCAGCGTTCACCTCAACCCTTGCATAATTAACCACGAAGGTAAGTTATTAAATCATAAAGTTTTTATGGCAACTACATCATGTACAGTCCAGATAAAAAATAAATAGAAAATCAACAGTTTGGACATTCAAGATTGTTTTTATAAACAATTTTAACATTGGGTCTACAGCATTCATCAGCAGCAAATCATTGCACTCCTCGGTTGTACATTTTTCCACGAAATATGCAATGCTTTTGGCACTTGTATCAAAATTTCTAGGAAGATTCTGTGGCCTCGATTTGAGGAGGAACATAGAATGGGTTCAGCGCCAGAAGTTCTTATGATATGTTTATGGAAATGAACATTGAATTTTTCTTTGTTCCTGGGGGGCTTGATGAATGACGTCAAACAAGTGGAGCACCACGCGCGTGTCTGCCTCTTTGTGGTTACATGGTCTCAAGGAGGCTACTTCACCTTCTGTGCTTGATAACACATCAGGACCACATGTCCTGTGCAATTTACCCATTAATGAAACAAAATAACCAAAATCCTTTGTTTGGATTAGATTCTTACCAATGAACCCAATACAAATTTGTTTTATGCAAGTAACTTTCGCGGGTCGATTCCTTTAGGAATGTTAAAATTATTTCGAACAAAATTGCTTCTATAAATTCCTAAAAATAACCGACCACTATTTTATACAGTTCAAATTAAGAAATATGGAAACAGATCGCTTTGATGGCACAGATGACTTTTTGCAATACCCAGGTAACGTTATCTTCTTGACGAATGCTAGGTTTGGTTGAAAAAAAGTTCGCATGAATCGCAATTCCATCAGCTTCAATTTCGCGAAAGTAATACTCGAGATCGTGATTATGCAGCGGAATAAAATGCCAATGTTCCACTGTGTTGACACCAGTTTTGCCCAATTTATTAACTAGGTCTTGTCAGTAAATGCACCGATTAATTGTTACATTACAATATAATTAGCGGAATCAACATTAAAATTTAGTTAAAAGAAAAATAAATAAATTTACAAATTATTGTGAATAAATCACGTCGGCAGGTGAAAGTAGCGGCATTGGAATGGACGGACTCGAGCCTTGCTTCTGGCGAAGGTGTTGGCACGGTTTCGGAGGTTTGAATATCCCGACGGTAATACTTAGAAAAATGATCAATTTATTATATACCTACGGCAACTGATTTCCTTATCGGTGGCTAAAGCGGCGTTACAAATTAAAGTACAAAATTTTATTTATTACATAAGGCGCTGTTCAAACACGTCACTCAACTTCAAGTAACTGGCCTTGAACTAGCTGTTACTAATAACACCCCCCTCCCCTCGCTAGAATTTCTTTGTTTATCACGAGTTTCGAACTCGGTTGATTTGATGCCGTTTTTTTTTTTCGAAAAGCGATTCTCCGACTCAAAACTGTTCCTTCGCACATATTTTACCCAAATAAAGGACTTGCTACGAATCAGGCTGCTAAACAGTTTTTTTCTCGTCACAGTCATCACAGACTACTTGATTAAAATATAAAAACCGTTGATATAACAGGTATCTTATTTTCAATCGTATGCTATGATAGCTCGTTGAAAAGAGAATTACAAAATCTATTCACTAATAATAATCGAATATGACGCCTATTTCACTTTAGGAAGTTGGTAAATGTTCCTCAAAAGTAGCCATCTTGAATTTTTGTTTGACATCACTTCTAAATTAAGTGTATCAAAGACAGCAACTTTTATATAAAACTTTATTTTATATCTCTTATACTTTCGATGATATAAGACATTCAAGGAAATGACCAATGTTAGTTATTTTTAATTTACGTCGAACCTATTCGACATTTTGAATTTCCACAAGGAAATTTTAAATAAGCATCTAAAACTGCAAAACATTGCCCATTTAACCAATTCTCTATCTTTAATAATCAGAAAGTTACCCATGCAATCCCACGCGATTTAGGACACACGGTATATTACGTCTTCATATACAGGGTGATTCCTATAGTACCTGCCACCGTTTGGGAACAAAAATCCCCGACCCATCACTCAAGCCGATAACAATAATTTATTTTATTGTACCTTTATTTTTGAGTGCGCGGGGTTTCAGCCAAGGCTGCTCTACCAACCCAACTCACTATACATTTACGAATATCTATGCCCGAACCCGGATTCGAACCAGGGACCCTTAGCACTACAGTCCAGCTTTAATTGAACTGGGCCATATGGGCGAATTTAATTTTAATGTGAGGAGAATTCCACTACAGGTACACAAATCTACAGTTTGTATAATCTAACCAACATAATAATAATAATAATATAGTTTATTGGACCTATTCAATTTACATTGTTTGTCACGTCAAAATGGTATATGAGATATAAAGGAGTATAGGTATATATAAATATTTCACACATTAAAAATATCACAGTATGTTAGGAACTACAAGACTAGATTCGCGTGCATTAAGGAGTAGGTATTCAAATATTCTGCGATACTGTAAAAACAATTTTGCAACAAGAGTTTTTTAACATTAATTTGAAATTTAGGCAATGACATTAGTTTTAATTGACTATCCAATTTGTTGTAGAGTTTTACATTCAGTGAGTTTCTGTCGGACACACATAGCTTAAATAAATAGCTATAAAGGGAAAATTCCTCAAAACGATTGCACCACATTTGGTTATGTTTAGAAACGTACTTAATTGAGTTTACGTAATCAACCAAATAGTAACAGGCATGAGAAAGCATCACTTACGCGCTATCTATAACAAATAAACAAAGCTACTTCTAGGCCTATCTGTGCCGCTAGGAACTTCACATGCGGAGGAATACGAATTCCATGCTGTCTAAGCAATATCAACATGTCCACAGTCTTAGTTTCATTGAAATTTGCGTCACATTACTCACATCATCCCTTTGCCCGACGTGTAGCAGCTTTACAGCCAAGAAGAACATGGAGATTTTCATTGCTGTGTCGTCAGCATATTGTATACATGTTCCCACATCTTGTAGTTGTTACGCTAGGTCGTTTACGTTATGATAAATAGAATCGGCCCCAGAATAGATCCTTGAGGGACGCCCCTGTTTAACTGTAGAAATTTTGAGATGTTTTTTTGCACATACAGTTTGTGCCCTGTTTTCCAAAAACGGTGCAATTAATAGTGTACTTGTCTCGTCGAAACTATATATTGCCTCTAACTTCTAGAGTAGAATTTCATGTGATACACTGTCGAATGCGTTGGATTTAATTGGGCGGTATCTGCCATTATTGGTAACGATTACATCGAATTTTAATGCATTACACTGTTCACTACAACTGCTTGTTTTTTAAACTTAATAAAAGTTTCGTAAACAATGATGAATTAGCGTAAATTGAAGTAGCAGTAGCCTCGTTTGCTCGTTGTCTCCAGTATTTGAAACACCACTTCCATCATAAAATATACTCCTTTCTCATGAATTTTCAAAACAACCGCCAATCACACTTTTAGATTAATGACATGCACGTCGGAACACCCAATTCTTTGTAACACCTTATCTCTTAACAGCAATTAAATAGTGCGTTAATTATTTTTCGCCTGATAAAACTCCGTATCGCAGCGACTAGATAAAACCTTTTATAAAGTACGCAAACTGAACCAGATGTGTCTTACTTTTCACACCTTATCTAAATTACAGAATTTGTAAATGCGATCAAATTTAAACAAGAATTACGTATTTAACAAAATTTCTAAAAGAAAGAACAAATACGGAAACATAAATTCAAGTAAAATAAACCAACTTTGTGTTTGTTCATAAATAACCCCCAGATTTAACTTTAATAAATTGAAATATTCTCATATACAGCGTGTCCCATCATTTTTGGTGTTTAAACCGAATAACGCCTACATGCTGTTGTTTACACAGCTACTTTCTAAGGGTATAGCGTAAGGTAAGTACCAATTTCATGTTAAAGGTTACTTTTAAAATAGCGACAGATGCGCCTCTCGGATTGTTGCGTCCAGGATCACTCACTATTCTATTGCTTGCACTATGTGGGGGTGTAGTTTCATTAGATTGCGAAAAATGGATCTTAAAGGTGAATTCACATGTATCCGATTTCTGATATACACAATAGTTCATATTTAATGTAATCCATAAATAACAACAAACAATCAGATGTATAGACACATTACATGATATGTGATGAGATACATGGCCCGTGGTAGACATCCTGTCACGGTTCAAATCTCTACATCAAAACATCAAAATCAAAAAGGAGTATATAGTACAGTATATGAGGGTAAAGGTTAGGTACAGGTGAGATTGCATATGAAATATTTTTTGGGAGCTCTTGTATATCGGAAACTGCCTTTTATTCTTGGCAAGAAATTTAACAATTTTCAAATTTTCTAGGGATGATCCTCGATTCCCTACCGTCAGAGGAATTCTAAGGCGAGGCATGACAGTGGAGGGATTGAAACAATTCATAATAGCGCAAGGTTCTAGCCGCTCGGTTGTATTTATGGAGTGGGATAAAATTTGGGCCTTTAACAAAAAGGTACGCATTTTGTACTTCACATTTTATACAGAGTTACACCTCAAATTTAGGTAATAGATCCTATTGCTCCACGCTATACTGCATTGGAATATGACTCACCAATACCTGTACTGGTCAAAAATGCGAAGGAAGAGAGATTGGAAGTACCCAAGCATCCCAAAAACAACGACATGGGAACAAAGGACGTATGGGTAGGTCCTCGGGTTTTGATCGATGCAGCTGACGCAGAAACCTTGGTAGAAGGCGAAAATACGACTTTTATAAATTGGGGAAATTTGCTCATTAAAAAAATTAATCGGTACGCCTTGTTAGATTTATCATCTCGTGATAATCTTTTTGATTTTAGCGAAAATAATAAAATTGTATCCATAGAAGCAGAACCGAACTTGAGTAATAAAGATTACAAGAAGACGTTAAAAATTACGTGGTTAGCTGACAATGAAAAGGCAACATTTACTCCAACATTTTGTATATATTTCGATCATATAATTAGTAAATCGTTGTTAGGAAAAGATGAAGATTTTAAGCAGTACATTGGACATGAAACTAAGGTAGTGTTTTGTAATCGACGGTTTATTAATAATTGTTGTTTATTCCTAAGAAAAGTGTTCGAATGCTCGGTGATCCCGAACTGAAGAAGTTGAAAAAGGGTGATATCATTCAGCTGCAACGTAGAGGATTTTTCAAGGTTGAGACCGCATATGCACCATTGAGTTTGAATACTTGTAAAGAACGGTCGGTTATTTTGTTCGCCATACCTGATGGTCACACAAAGGCAAATCCCACAGCTGGTACAACCCTCGTGACTTCACAACAGGTAGGTGTTTATTTAAATTGTTATTAAATCCATCAGTAGCTGGTAGTACATATGTATGTACCAAGGAAAATCAACACACATCAACTCACCTCTCCACTCACATTCAACAAACAGTAGGTGCTTATAAATTTTGAACACAAAAAAGAAATGTGAAAAAGGGACCTAATTCTTCTTATATGCTGTAACGAAATTGTTCAAATTTGTAGGTAGCACCTCTTCGTCCCTTATGCAACCCTTACACAGGGTTGTCGTGATGACCAGAATCCAGAATTCAAGATACTGTATGATGCAAATATTGCTTTTGCTTTTTAATAGTGATCCCAATGCGTTGCGTTTGTAAATTTTCCGAATGGTAGGTTGTTTTTTTTTATCATTTGGTGACAAGGGCACTGGGGAATTAAACCAAGCCCTTAGCCTACACAGAAAGTGTGACATAGAAAATATGCATATTATTTTGTATATTTTTCGGTTACCACCACACCTCTTATAACTTTTCCTCTACAGGAAATGATTTTTGCTGGTGGTGGTGTACTGAAGATGAAGAAATAAATCTTCCCTTTGGTAAGTGATGTGAGGATACAGACAACTTTTTGTACAAAATCGAAATATTACCTGAAATGATTCAGGTTCGAGAGCAGTGGGTGTTAGAACTATCTCACTTTCATTGCGAGTCACATCCTTATATAACTTCGTGGTTTGTACAATTAACACGAGAAATGCAGAGTGTATAAAATCCGTTCACATGTAAATAGCTTCTTACCAGTCTTGGATAGGAATTAACTTCCCTTCTGCTAAGATTTTAAATGAACCAGTGACCTTATCTTTGACCTGTTACTTAAAGTACGGATGGCCATGGAATGAATTTTATGGGGAAGTTTTCGCCATCTATTATTGTAGAAGCAAAACCACATTAAGTAATAGAAGAAAGGTTAATTAGAGGACCCCCCTTCTGTATTGCTAAGACGCAAGAGCTGCGGTCCGCACGACCACCCATACAGAGAAACATCAAATTAGAGAACCCCCCCTTTCTCGTACATGCTAAGACGCAGGAGCTGCAGTCCGCACGAGAAAGGAAGTAACAGATACAGCTAAGAATCAGACTGTATTAGGTACTTTCTTGACGGAATAGTTAAATCGAATCAGCGTAACATCATACTGATAATAAACTTCCACGTGAAGGCCAAAATAAAATATTGTAAAGGCATAGTCACCTGCAGACTGACATGGTTCAGTAACGGTATATAAACAAAAACTTGAAGTACGCAGCGCTTCAATATAAGTATTTCATGCGAAATGTATTAAACGATAACGTTGTGTAAAATCCCTGTTCCCTGCATCTGCGCAGAACGATCAAAGTCGAAGATTTTACGGTTGTTGTACACACAGAGCGTTGCGTATTTTTTTCCCATACTGCGATTCTTTCAAATGTAAGGTGTATTGCCTAACCATGGGGGTATGTGACCACAGTCTTCTTTTATATCGTGTGGTAATGTTTGGAACTCGTACCACCAGTAGCGTGAACTTCCCTACGATTTTTTGTTTTTGAGAAATTGAACGGATTAAGAAGAAAAAAAGAGTTTCCTCAAAACTTAACTTTTCCGCACGGTAGCATCTGTTGAGACCCATCACTTTCCGTTTATGGTCGATTTAAAAATAAGAAATTTCTCTCTGCGCATCGATTTGCAGCTATATAATTGCTACCATTCGCAAAATGCGCGTTCGCACAGAAACGATCGGTTTTCAAAAATCGACCCCCAGATGCGTATTAAATTACGATCAGTAGCTTTCATCTGGGATGACTAGTGGGGATGCGTCATCTTTCGCCTTCTTACGTGCCGGTATCAGTTTGTGATTAAACATATAAAACCTGCATGTACTTATGGCTCCAAATATCTTTTTTGCAATCTGTAATCCCCTATTCTCCTTTAATGACTTAAAGGAAGTTAACTTGTTTTGAAAGCAAGAAAACAAAGTGCAGAGTGATTCAAATTCGTGGCGCACCATTGGGATCTCCATAACGGTGAGAGATACTGGTAGGTTAAATTGGGGCAAAGTTGCCCCTTTTTGTAAATTGCAATTGAAATTTTTCAAAAATCTTTGAAAATAACTGCGAAATCACTGAAAAACTGCACATGTTAAATTTCATTTTCCCTAGCTTGAACTGTGGAAAATGGATGGTTCCTGTTAGCGTATTTTTTTGGAGAATTTGAATCTGCCATCAGAATTTACATAACATGCTAGATCTAGAATAAGCTACAGGCACAGGCTACTATTTTCTTATTCGTTATTGGCGGCATATTGGATTTTTATTAAATGAGGTAGAGGAAAAAAGAAAAATATGGCTATGATGGCAATTGACAATACATTCAAATGAATTTCTTTTTTCCTCTCTATAAAAATCCAACATAGCGTCAATAGAAATAAGAAAGTAGTGCCCTGTAGTTTCTACATCTAGCGTGTTTTGTGTTATGGAAATTCTGATAACAGATTCAGATTTTTCCATACAACCGAAGTACAATTTTGTATATTTTTAAATAATTTAAATACTTTGATGAGCTGCAGCTGCTGCTTGCAGAACCTGAAGATTATAGCAAACGACTTTGTTTCACCTTTTTTTTTTCAAAAAGGCAACTTTTCCCCTATAATAAAAATTACCTATTCTTACTTGTTATAACGGGCGATCAAAAATGGATTGACGTCGAGTCACCTTTGGAAGTGCAAGTTAAATAACAAACAAAAATTCCAAATTTGACTCGACAGCAACTGTTTCGATCGCATAGCTGCTATATTTTTATTTTATTGTATTATTTATTATCGAAATATTAATTTGACACCTAGCAAAATTAGTATGTTAATTTTGCTTTAATAATGACGGGAAAATCATAGAACCCCACCATATTGAAATTTTATTGTACAATGTGCATTCCAATAAATAAATCATCAAATTAAAGGTGTTACATGTATTTATTATTATATTATTCTTTACGACGTCGCTTATCTATGGAGGCAATCACCGATATTGTCTTACATAACTTTTTTTTGATTATCTACTTGGGGGAACAATTTAAATTTGCGCATTTCTTTGTATTTTTGATAAATTTACGAGTTCATCACCTTCCCACCAAAAAATGTAATAGAAAAAGTAAGTTCTAATATCAAGGTCGTAATTTCACTTCCTTTTACTTGGCAATCTGACAGAAAACCACGTGTACGGTTGCATTCGTGAACGTAAACGTATGTTGAACGGGTTTTGTAAAATAAAAGTTTTCATGTAAGTTTTTTTTGATAACTTTTTTATTTTATTATCTGCCTCTCTTCTATAAATTAGACTTGACTGCTAGCAGCTTTTAGAGAGTTAGGTTAAGTTAATTGGTACATCATTAATTATTTGGTATTGAATGAAGTTATTGAAAGGAATCTAATTTTTCTTGTTTACAATTATGCCGACGTTCCTATACGTAATTTAAAGGTCCTAAAAATTTGATGCAATTTTATGTTTATGATGTAATATTTTAGTTAGTTGCACTTTTAGCAACAAATAATGTCCTCGTACATTAATTCGACCGAAAAATTGAACCTGCCATGGGTAGATATTCATAACCGTAATTTAAAATTGTATTTTGGTTTCTATAGTAATTTTAATAAATAAACAAAAAGGTAACGGTCAATGCACATAACCCGATTATTCTATTTCTAATCTGTGGTTAGAAAGTGTATGCTTTTTTTTTTATAAATTATGATCAGTGGCGTAGCACATTGTGCATAAGCCGGGATGCAACCTCTAATGACAGATGCAGGTTGTATTTCCTCTTTTGTATTATGTTCGAGATTATGTTGAAATGTTTGAAGAGCACTTCAGAATTAAAATTATTACACCTGCCGGTTCATTAAGGCCATTTTGTAGTGGCTAATTATAGGTACATTGATAATTCACATATACCAAATAAATGGTATGAAAAAAAATTTGTTACAGCTCGTTTTATTGTTGTCTCCAGTATTTAAGGAAACACCACTTCTCCAACATGAAACGCGAAACTCTTCGTAACACCCGCGTCTACTCTTTATGAACGAAAGAACGCTCGCGTTAATTAATTTTCGCCTGATAATAAAACTCCTTATCGCAAACGACAAGATGTAACCTTACTTCTAACACCTTATCTACATTGAATAATTTACAGAAGCGATAAATTAAATCGAAAACTGTGCAATTACAAATTATTCCAAAAGAAAAAACAAACATTGTAATACAAATAGAACAAACCAACTCTGTGATTATTTCTTCAATAATACCTCAGATTTACTTAATAAATTGAAATACTCTCATATACAGGATGTCCCGTCATTATTTTTGGTGTTTAGACCGAAATAACGTCTGCATGACGTTGTTTACACAAAATTATGTATATTTTAAACAAATACGTTGTACTGTTCATTTGTTATTAATTAATGTGCAATTAAAAATCAGAATTGTGTGTCATTCGTTGGCGCAGGTCACTTATTACGTTGTGCGTTGTATAACTTTATAATTTCGGCATGTGTTTCTGATCCGGCCGCTCGTTTCCGCGATTTATCGAAGATGACTCATACAGGGTTAAAGGCTTGGACAAAGACTAAGATCACAGAGAGTTCACTACAGTCTATAGCAATATTGGTATCATATCGTAGGTCTTGTCATGTGTTATTGTAAATGTTTGATGAATACTTTATTAACGATCCTTTTTAACATAAAACGCACTTAAAAATAAATATAACTCAATCACAGATTAAATGTAAAATCGTCTCTCAAAATGTTTACATCATTCCTGCACCCACGCGCGATTTTCACTTCTCTTTTTCTCAGCACACTATTCACCTTATATATATTTTAACATCATGGAATGTGGAAATATCTGTATTTCTTTTATTTAAAGGATGGCTTATTCGCAAAAAAGACTGAAAGATTCGATTCGATTTATTTCGAGAAATTAAAAAATCAGAATAATTCACAAAAAGGTTTTTTGTAAGGGTGCAAAATCTGGAAAAGTGAGAAAGGGAACATGGAATTTGGTGGAAGAAGTGAATCGGTTTTTTTTACGTTGAAACGTAGCCGTATTTGAGCGTATTCGTTTACAAAACAGTCCATTTTGTCATTATCAAGGCTTTTTGAAGAGACAGTTAGTTTAGTTTATTTGTGAAGTTTACGAAATCAGTTGTAGTGTAGAGAGTTTCAAAGCAATATCATCTGGTGTTTTGTGTTTAAGGTAATTAATATTTTTTTAATTCATTGTTCTATCGATCGCTTGTTGCGTGGTATGTTGGCCCTAAGTGCCTGTTTTTCTTTCACCTTATTTGATTGGTTTATGTCAAAATACATTTATTAGTCTGTAAATTGTTGACTTTGTGATTAATCAGTTCTAAAGTATGAGCCAGTTAAGAGTTCTCAATTTTCTATGTACCCAGAATTACATCAGGTGTTAATTGAAAATGTGGCAATTACTTTGGAGGCTGTTAAGGTTGCTTAATTTCGCAAATTAATAAAATTTACGTCAATATCGAAATTTTCGTTGTGGCGGAGGCCTGGATGTGCTGTGACTAGCCCAGATACTACCTGCGCATGCGCAGTTCTGCCCTTTTATGTCTTAAGAAAATGTGAACCAAACTTAGTTCCAATCGCTTGAGCCGTTTAGCCGGAAAGAGAGTGCAGATGGACTGACAGACAGACCGACATCATTGAGATTTAATGTGATTTAGTTTCCTGGTGCTTCAAAACGTTATGTTTTACCCCAATGCAATATCTCCCTTACTGGCTAGCTCACATGCATGTGGTAAAAATTAGAATTATTCTTTTTAAAAGATTTTGTTAGTGTGCCTACATTTAATTGAGCTAGCTGGACAGGTGCACATAGCACTGTAAATTCAATACCTTCTTTTCTGAAGCCAAAGCAATGAAACAATGTAGATTATATTATAGACTGATATCTGGTACCATTTTTATCGCATTTTCTAACTTGGCACCTGAGCCAAGAGAAATCTTGGCGCTTAATGTACCCATGCTGCACAATGTCGACTTTATTAATTATTGAAAATTTTAACCAAAGATGCTTGTAGTAAAGGCAAGCATATCGCATATTGTAAACACCAGATGTGCGCATGCGCAGACTGCGCAATGCCAATTTTCTTGTTTATGGAGAGATTTCTTTGACGTTTTAATCATAGATGCTATTAGTAAAGAAAAACGTCGCGCACAATAGCTATGGTCTTTTGGGAAGTACTAATCAATGCATGAAAAATGCGCTAAAAAACCTTTTAATGTTATGGTCACTACCAAAGAGATCTTACAATACCCATATCTTTACAGGAGTCAAAACCCGCACAGAGTGATAAGAATAAAACTCCAGAGCAACTAAATAATGAAGTAGTTGCTCAAGGTGACATCGTAAGAAATTTAAAGACTCAAAAGGCTGCCAAGTCTGAAGTCGATGCAGCTGTTAAATTACTTTTGCAATTAAAGGGCGACTATAAATCAGTGACAGGCACTGAATGGAAACCTGGTACTGCGCCCTCTGGTCCACAAAAGACAATTAACGTAAATGAGTTGAGTTTACAGATATCTGCGCAGGGTGATAAGGTAAGTGTCTCGCCCTCGTCATGTGAATTTGCAATTTTCGTTTAGGTGAGAAAATTGAAATCTGAAAAGGCTACAAAAGATATTGTAGACCCCGAAGTGAAACTTTTACTTACGCTTAAAGATACATACAAGAAGGCAACTGGTTCTGATTGGAAACCTGAAGCAGTGGTACCAGCGCATACTGACGCACCTCCCTCCCCTGAAATAGTGCACAATTCAACTGACCAAAATACACTTCTAGAGAAAATTTCAGCACAAGGTGATAAAGTGCGAGATTTGAAGTCCAAAAAGGTGGAAAAGTCAGTGGTAGAGGCCGAGGTGAAGGTGTTACTAGCCCTTAAAGCCGATTACAAAAGTTTGACCGGTTCTGATTGGAAACCCGGTGCGGTTGCTCAAACTAAGGCTCCAGTGCCTAAATGTGACAAGGCTCATGAAACTGAACTTTTGAATCAGATAACTGAACAAGGCAATAAAGTTCGGCAGCTTAAATCAGGTATTTATTCCATTAATTAGTAGATTGATGATCAATAAAAAAATTATTTATTTTGATGTTGCCGGTTTAGTAATTTCATTTTTTTTCCAGAGAAAGCCGATAAGACAGTTGTAGACACTGCAGTAAAATCGTTACTATCGTTAAAAGAACAGTTTAAAACCCTAACCGGAAACGTTTGGAAACCAGAAATGGCCACGCCCATTGTTGTAAGTCCGTCCGTGAACGGTAATGAAAGCGATCTTACATCCAAAATCAATCAACAAGGTGAAGTGGTGCGAAAAGCAAAATCTGGAGGAGCGGCAAAGGTATCACTGACACTATTTTGTTACTTGTACAAAAACTAAGTTGTTAGGCGGAGATCGACACCGAAGTCAAGAAACTGTTAGATTTAAAAGCGGAGTATAAGGCATTGACAGGAACTGATTTCCCAACGGGCGGCAGAACTCAAAAGACTACTAAACCAAAGGAGGAAAAAGTGACGAAAGCCAAATCGGAAAAGAAAGAGAAAGAGAAGAAGCCTACCGATGTAAGTACAAATCAAATAGCGTAAAATTTACTACAATTTACTTTTAAAAGGTGGAAGATGGTGCTGGCACTAAAAAACAGACACGCTTGGGGTTGGAAGCGAAAAAGGAGGAAAATCTCTCCGATTGGTATTCTCAAGTTATAACCAAAGGGGAGTTGATCGAATATTACGATGTATCAGGTTGCTACATCCTAAGACCGTGGTCCTACTCCATTTGGGAAGCAATTAAAGACTGGTTTGATGCAGAAATAAAGAAGTTAGGTGTTCAGAATTGTTATTTCCCGATATTTGTGTCCCGCGCTGCTTTAGAAAAAGAAAAAACCCATATTGCAGATTTTTCGCCTGAGGTATAAATAACTGGACAATTTCCTGATGTCACAATTTTCCCTGTTTAGGTCGCTTGGGTGACCAAATCTGGTGACTCCGAGTTGGCGGAACCGGTTGCAGTTCGTCCAACTTCGGAAACTGTGATGTATCCGGCGTACGCCAAATGGGTACAGTCGTATAGGGATTTGCCAATAAAACTCAATCAGTGGAACAATGTCGTTCGATGGGAATTTAAACATCCGCAACCGTTTTTACGGACTAGGGAATTTTTGTGGCAAGAAGGACATAATGCTTATGCCAATAAGGAAGATTGCCAAGCCGATGTTAAAACTATTGTAGGTTAGTATTGTCTTCATTAAAATGAAAGTGGCGTAACAGGTAAGCAGATGTTCAAAAGTTACAAATCCACAGCTCTAAACCATTCCCCATAAATACAAAAGCCAGGAAAAAAAGAACCAGCAAGAAAGTAAACCTTGCATAACGCTCACACAAATACAAGAAGTAAATTAACTACAGCAACAAAATACAAACAGAAGTATAAAAGCAAAGATATTTCAAGTCAGGTAATTGAGTCAAATGTGGTTAACAAATTAATCAACATAAGATACAAATTGCATCATAACTGCACATGGCAAAACGTGATAATTCGCTTTAGTATAAAACAGATCAAACACATCTAGACAAAACAACAAGTGATAAAGAACATCAAATTGGGCATGACTTTGTTCCTACGTTCTTCATCATTAATTCAAGAATGCCAACACTAGGTATTCAGGTTAAAGTAGACCATCACACATACAATCCCGCATTTTAAATGGGAGAAAAGTTAATTAGAGAGCCCCTTTCGCGTATTGCTAAGAAGCAAGAACTGTGGTGTGCACGTAACATATACAGCGCCAATTTAAACTGAATGAGGTTCTTCTTTCCACAGAAATAAACGGTTAAATCATACTGATAGAACTGCGCGAACGTAGCAAAATTACCATGAGTTAAACACATGGTAAGCTCAGGCAAAGTAAAGGTGGGCCGGGGTGAATAACAGGGTTTTTTACACTAGCAAAAATGAAGCAAAATGTAGCAATAGTAAACCGGATAGGCGCCACTTAGTCTTTAGTAAGTGTCAAGAGTAACGAGAATACTTACCTAAAGGGGAAACAAGGCAGATAAGAGATCTTGGTTCTGGTTTTGAGAAGCTAAAGAAATAAAATAATTGATAGGGGTAGAACATAAACAATAATTGTTGTCACAATCGAGGGTAATTTAATAAATGATCTCCAAAATATTAACATAGGCTGAAAAATCCAGATCCGCATGTCAATGTCTAAATTTTCAGCAAAAGGTGATCAACACGTCGTCAAGGAAATTACTAAAATCAAAGCAGGCCTCCGCAGAAAACAATGGAACTGTAATTGTTAAATGACTATCAAACGAATGTAGTAATTACTTTTGAGCTCAGAAGGGCGCGTTCTGCCGTATCTGTAACAGATAACAACACATACAAACAAATGAGAGGGATAGTGAATAGCAAGGCATAAATATATTGCGGTAGCAATGTAATCTACTTAATTCAAAATGTAAATAAGAGAAAACTCTGAGGGAAGACAAAGATAATACATATTAAGAAACATGCTGAATCATTATCTGTGCAGATACAAATCTGCAAAACGGTTCAATGGAGCAACCACAGGCGCATCAGAAATAGAACGAGAAAACACTGCAAGGAAATATGGTAATACGCAAAGCATAAGCCCTTATTGAGGTAGACAAGTAAAGTAACAAGTAATGGCGTATCAGAAAAATTATTTGCATGCAACCAATATGAAGGCAAAATCCTCACTGCACGAAAGCAACGAAATGCGTATGCAGAAAAAAAAGATCACAACCTCTAGCGGCGAAAGTAAAAAAAAAGCTATTTTAAAAGAAACTTAATAACACATCGATGGCCTCTAACGGCGAAAATAAAGAACTAGAGTAATTTCAACTCTACTATAGAAATAACTTAACATCGTACCTAACCTGGTTACAAAAGAAGAGTTACTTAAACGGTATATAAATTTGGTAAGAAGAAAAGAACGTAACAAATGCGATGTGTTAGAACGGCAAACATGTATAACCTCATACGTGGTATTAATGACCCTCTATGGTCTATAACTATACAATAATGAAACTCTCATTCGCGAATTGGGTTTGAAGCAATCTCGTTCACATTTCATTAAAGACAAAATAATTATAACTTCAATTAAATGAATACAACCCACTTTTAACGGAAACGAAGACCGCGGCGGTGGTGGTACAGAAACTCGGGCGCCACCCAGGGATGCAAATTTGCCCTTGGAGAAGTATTCGGCGGTAGGAACGTGTTCTTGCTTCTGGACCTGACTTGGTGGTTATAATGGCGTTGGAAGGCCCACGAACCCAGCCGGAGACGACGGTGAAATCCAGGGAACAGGGTTATGGGTGGTCAGCAGAGAAAACTAAAAGTAAAATTACAGCACCACCTATTGTTAATTTGAATGTTGGAATAAACCCGCGGGGTGGACGGTATGGAAACTGATAAAGTACTTAAAACTGAACGGCCTCAACTGGTTTTAAGCTTGTTTTAAAATAATATAATAACGTGGCTGAAATTCTAAAATTTTAATTTGTGTCGTCCTATAAATGACAATAGTTTTCGGTCGAAATAAAAACAATTGTAATATCTTGATGTGAACGGCCGCAAACGGCGGATTAATTGCAGCCTTAATTACGGTAGCGGCGGTTGAAACCCAACTATTTTAATTCATTAATTCAATTACCTTTAGCTTCTATCTTCAATTCCTAGAATACCGGGCGTTCATACACAGAGCGGTCACCAAAACTGGTGGAAACTGGATGCTTCGTTACACCCTAACCTCAAACCTGACATTGCGTTTGGTCGATATTAAATATGTGAAGGTTTGTAATTTAGTCATTTCAATGTGGCAATTGTTTTGTTACTATTGCATAGCGATCGACCAGTTCATGTGCCACTGTTTTGTGAAACTTGATACCACAAACAGAAGTAATCTAGCTACGTTTGTTTCTGAGATACAGGGTGTAAACGACAAGTTTGACTTTTTGAGATGTTATCGTATCTTACTACACATGTAATATAGAAAAAACGTAGATTTGTTCCAATGTTAGTACCTATATTTTAACGTCAATTGTTTTTCATTTTTTTTTTCCTGATTACATTGATGTTTCACTACCTATATATTTGGTAATTTTAGCCATGAAAACTTTTTTGTTACTTTTTTTTAAATAGTAGGCCATAGATTCGTGGAGATTTTGTTTTGTTTATTGATCCGTGGTAATTAAGGTAGCTGATACCAATCAATAAAAATAAAAATAAATAGAAACATGCCATTTAAACAATTAAAAAAATATGATATAATTATGTAAAAAATTGTGATACATCAATGTAATCAGGAAAAAGAAGGAAAAAAATTGACGTTATAATATACATGGTGTTTCATTTAAAAAACACAAATATTGGGTCAAATTGGGTTTAAATCCTTGGTGTTAAAATGCTATTGGGCATTGTTTTTTTTACATGGAATTACGTATCCGATTTGCCTGTAGGTATGTTGCAAGTGCGTTTGTATTATGATCACAAAGCACAATTCGTATTTTTATACTCGCATAAATTGTAAAACATCTGTGAACAGTTCAAACATGAAGTAATAGCAGTTCAGGTTACTGTATGGTCTAAGTTAAAAGCACAATGACGTCAGTTATAGACCATAGCTAAATTGATGTGTGACCTCAAACTTTTTTTTTCAGATTTGTATGCCAAAATTTATACCGACCTTCTTGCAATACCAGTGATCAAAGGACGTAAAACCGAAAAAGAAAAGTTTGCCGGTGGCGACTACACCTTGACAATAGAAGGATATGTCGCGGCTAGCGGTCGAGGTGTACAAGCCGCAACGTCACATTATCTCGGTCAGAACTTCTCGAAAATGTTTGAAATAGTATTTGACCATCCGGAAACACAAGAAAAGACATTCGCTTACCAAAACTCGTGGGGTGTCAGTACACGGTCGCTTGGTGTCATGGTGATGGTTCATGGTGATAATCAGGGATTGGTCATTCCTCCGCGAGTTGCATTAGTTCAAGTGGTAATTGTTCCGTGCGGTTTAAGCGACGTTGATCGACAGCTTTTACAAGACAGCTGTGATGAACTAGAAAAAGAACTACTCGGGGCCGGGCTACGTGTTAAAGGTGATTATCGAGATAACTATTCACCCGGATGGAAATTCAATCATTGGGAGTTGAAAGGAGTTCCTATTAGAGTTGAGTTAGGACCGAAAGACATTAAAAACAAACAGATAGTTGCCGTGCGGAGAGATAACGGACAGAAAGTTACAATGAAACGTGAATCCGCCGCCAAGGATCTTGCTACGCTCCTGGAGAACATTCAGCAGAATTTGTTTAATAAGTATGGACTATTGGGCTGTCACATAGACTTAATGTTTGTTTTTCAACAGGGCATCGGAGGAGTTTACAAGTCATACAATTCAGGTGACGGAATGGTCACAATTTACTCCTAATTTGGATAAGAAGAATGTAATTCTGTCTCCATTCTGTGGCGAAATGGAATGCGAAGACGCAATTAAAACAGACAGTACGAGGTACTAACTACTAAACTCTTTTCTCATTTTTTTAAAATATTAACTTCATTGTAATTACAGAGATGCGTCAGAGGTAGCCGAAGTTGGGGCACCTTCAATGGGAGCCAAATCACTTTGTATTCCTTTAGAACAATTACCGATGAAACCGAATGCGCGGTGTATCCATCCTAAATGTACTAGAAAGCCGAAATTTTACACCTTATTTGGACGCAGTTATTAATTATTTTGTGCTGTAAGTGCTGCACTAAGTAACTTATTATGTTGTGTTCTATAAAATTTTTACAAATAAAAGTAATTGAAGATTTTTGTAGTGTGTAATTAATTTGTATTAATTCCAAGCAAATATGATTCAAAACACTCACACCTACCACATTAATTCAATGTCGGTGAAAGAGATGAAAAAATCTTGGAGTATTTAATGTTTAATTATACATAAGTGTGGACAGGAAAAAATTTTTTATTTCATACTGTCCGGTAGATGTTCGATTACACTATCATTTTGAGTCCGGTAAGTGAGTTATTACAGCATCAGAGCCGTTAAGTGTCGCTAAGCAACACTTACCGGACTGTTATTTGTATACATCAAATTTGACATCTTCACACAAAAAACCCCAACATAAATTTGGCTGTAATTCTTTATTTCAAACATTAACATTGATTGTAATGAAACAATTTGTATTGCCCTCAACACTAACGCCTGGGTTATTACTGGATGTCGAGTTAGTAATGTTTGATTCCATCTGCTGTAGAACTTCAATGAAATTTTCGCCGCCTTGTATCAGTTGTATCATACGGGCAATCTTAACTTTTCCTTCTACCGAGCTTTCGATGTATTTTTCTGCCGTCGATGATTTTCATTACCTTAAATCCAAACCCAAATTTACTTGTTTCGGTAAAATACATAACTTCTCTTTTCGTTGCAATTATAAGTGAAAAAACGTTTATAGCGTCCATTTTTAGTGACAATTCAACTCATGTATAAAAAATCTAAGCCGCAAACACTTTGACAGCGGCAAAAGTTACCTGCAACTTTTCCAGCGACAAATGCGTGGTGAACCACAGACTAGTTTGACGTCTGTCAATAATTGGTTTGGTGAATTTCTTGTTCGTTAAATTGTCCTGCCGAATTACAATATTTAATAAATTTGGGTTGTGGCAAATCTGTTTCCTTTTAGCAATAATCTTTGAAATGACAATAAGGATACAAAACAGACTTACAGTATGCAAATAAAATACGTTACGATATACGTCCGGTAGTACTTGTAACAGCACTCGTTTAAGACATTCTTGACTCGGCTCCTGACGTTGCCTCGTCCAATAAATGTCTAACTCGTACTGTTACAAGTAACCTACCGGACTTATAACATAAATAACTATTTAGTTACATGTTGTCACAGGTCTTTGCGTATTTCGTTTCAGGTACCTAGAGGAAATTTTACAGATATCTGCGTCATATTTAATGTGAAGGAGTGTATGTTAAATAAGGGCGATAAACGGTGCGGATTTAGAATTAAAAAAAGAAAAAAGTATTGATCTTTAACCTTCGTGACTCCAATTATAGTGCCAATAAAACACTCCATTTACACACACTAATGGTCCAATACAAAGCAACTTAGAACTGCAATTGCACCAGAAATTCAATTTTTTGGTGGCTAATAGCCCCACAGCCACCTTTCTCATTTTGCAACAAACTATACTTTTCTTGGGGAATTAACTCAAACAGTCGTGCATTTAAATAATAAAACTGAAATCTTTGCTAAGGCTGGAATAAGCTGGATCCCACAAAGTTGGATTATTTTAACCAATCAAATATATGCAGTCACTTGTAGTGCAGCGGAGAGCCGGCGCTAACTCGCTTATTTGAGGTAGTTTTTTTTTCGGAGTAGAAAGAATTGGGACCCACGCCATTTTGTTCAGAAATGTTTGAACCTTCAGAATCTCGCTTTACGACATTTTCCCGTGGTCCTGACAAAAGTTATAGGCCGCTAAAGTTGAACTTTACTCATTTACGCGCGCGCGACTAGACCACCGAAAGTATTTATTTTGTCAGCAACTAAGCCGATATACATCAATAATTCCTTTTGTAAAATGAAAGTACATTTATAGCAGAATCTAAAGCATTCATATTTACCTACCTTTTGTTATGCACAGTTTTTAGAAAAATGACCGTCAACTTTCAAAATTCGTGTAACAGATGAAAAATGCGCACTTTGAACTTTTTATTTCACGATATCGATTTCCAATATTTATAGCTCATTCGATGCTCCGAAGCATTGTGAATATTTTATTTTCTATAACATTACCGTGAATTTTTCATAATAAAAAAGTTACGGTCATTTAAGTAAAAACCTACCCACCTCGCCGAGTCGGGAGTCGCGAGTGAGACGGAGAGGGAAGGATAGTCAGCAGCGTTCGCGCAACAAGGAGCGATGCGTAAGAGGTTCTACTTTACTAAGAAATTTCTATCCGAATACCAAAACTAGCTATTTAGGCCGTTTACAAATGCATTCCGCCGAGTTGCATTGTAAAATCTCAAACAATTCATTAACTCCATGTATTCGTTTAGGAGCCACCCTCAAAAAAGTGGTAAAGTTTCCATTTCTCCTTTAATTTATTTCTCAGCAACAGTTACAGAGACTGGTGGTAAGTCTTTGAATAGGTTTTGCTGTATGCCCTTTCCGGTTTTGCAAATAATTTTTCAAAATTCCTACCACAAAAGGGCACACCCCTCAATAGGGGTGCGAAAAAATGTTGATTTCGACGAAATTTGGTATCTGGTGCTGGTGGTTTTTGAATATAAAAATCACGAATCTGAAATTAGTTTTTGAAAATTCGAAAAAAATAATTCCACTGCAATTCTTGGCCGGACAACGAAAATTGACAAAATTCCACGAAGTTTGTTGTGTACGGAAGAAAATTGAACAGTTTTTCTTAAGGTCATTTTTCAAACAAAAGTTACACTCATTTGCAAATTGGTCTTTCGGGTCAGAAAATATTCTCAGACAGTGGCATAACAAGTACCTACAGTTAACGTCAATATTACATGTTCTGCTAAGGGTGTCTACCTACATTTCACAAAAATTTGTCAAATAAAAAATGATAATGTTATCACAGCGAGCATTAATAACTTCGACTTCAATGAGGAAACAGTAGGCCATATTCTGTGGAAACAGACGAAAAAAATTCAACGCACAGTCCTTTTTCAAAAGCGAGATACATCGGCAGAAGAAATCCAAATTCCTCGTTGACCTATCACTAGATAACGACCAGATAACTGACTTTAACAGCCTAAGTACATGCTGATAATCCTAAGCAAGTTCTGGTATCTACCATTCAATATACATATGTATGCCGTTTTTGAATTCTCCACCAACGAGCTACAATCCCATCCTAACCATCGTCTAGTGAAATCGAAAAACAAGCCTGAATCTTTGGGACAAAATCATACCGTTGTCACTGCTGATCTTGCAATATACAGCACAGCACAAGAGATACGTAATGTGGAGTAACCCCCAAAATTTACAGGGAAAGGTACCTATTTGTACCTATATATTTCACCAAAGAACTGATATACATGAGATTTTACAATGCAACTCGGCGTAATGCATTTGTAAACGCCTCAGTTACATTTGCACAGAATTTAACTGATCTTAGATACTTTAGTTAAGCAAAAAACAAGACACATGCCTAATTCTTGACAAAGGTAAGTTTGAAAAGAGAAGAACACAAACTGGAAACAATAGTGCATACAGCATATTTTTTATATTTGTAAAAAACAACCAATCGGGTCAATTTTTACTAAAACAACATATACCGTCTATATAATAGATGCATAAATAATTAAAACAATATATCTTCATTAACATGTTAAACCTCTTATTTATAACATATTTTCTCTAACAGTATCAAATTTTTAAAATGCAGAAATGGAAAGAACTATAGAAACCAATATGATTAACCTTTCACTCTTCATTTTTAGGTGGTTGTTCTATTTTCGATTCTTTTTTAATGTCTTCAGTTTTCTTATCACCTTTACTTTCTTCATCAATGCGTTTGTGTTCTTTTTCCACCAATTTCTTAAGCTCATCCTTCAAATACAAAAATTACGAACAGCTTTTAATTCAATACACAGTTAAACTTACACCCCAACCTAATTTATCCGCTAGTATTTGACAGCCTTCGTCGCAATCTCCAAGCCAATAGACGTCTCGAGTATTGTCCGGACTGTCAAATTCGAAACCCGATCCCATTCCAATCAATGACAATAATCCCGTCCGTTCCCCAGCTTTTTCTCTATTAATCAGCATTCGAGGAGTTGTGTCGGGCACTCTAGTAATTAATAACATCCCTTACAAAGTTTAGTTTGAAAAGTATTACCGATCCATTAATGAAGCAAACGGTTGCACAACTAGAGAGGAGCCCAATATTAACAGTAGATCGCATTTTGCAAAATCCGTATGGGCACAATTGTGGAATTTCTCGGGCAAGTTTTCTCCAAAAAATACAATATCAGGCTTTACTATTCCCGGACAAGTCTCACAAATAGGGATTTTGTCTTCAAATATTTTTTCTGTAAGCAAAGATCATATCAAAAAGCGCCAGCTAAGGAGCGTTTCCCTAAAAAAATGAAATATGCACAAATTTTGGAGAAATTGCAGCCAGTGTTGACATGATTTACACAATTTACCTTTCATCCAAGATAATGAATATTCCTTTTTGCATTCCAAACAATGGCCACGATGAAATGTACCATGAGCTTCAACAAGCTTTTCTTCAGGAATTCCTGCTACACGTTCCAGAGTATCAATATTTTGTGTAAAATGACGTAGGAGGTGCCCTTTCTCAAGCAGTAACTTAACAAAATAATGACATTTTGTAGGTTTAAAGCTACCAGGATATAATTCCTTAGCAAGTACAAAAAAAGGTTTGGGATTATCATAAAAAAAATCAAGTTCAAAAATTGCCTGTGGATGTGGTAAATTATACTTCTGTAAATTGCTGTACAACCCGGAACCGGGTGATCTAAAGTCTGGTATGCCGGCCGCTGAAAACATGTTTTGTAAATATTACCATAATCAAATCACAATTAATCTTACAGGTTGATATACCCGCACCCGCCATTGTAATAATATTTATACTTGAACGTTTCTTAATGTAATCAACAATTCCGTCGATAGAAACATCATCTAAAACCTATGGGTCTAATAAGTTGATGTAAAATCTCAGTTTTGGTCACAGACTTTAACTTTTTTTTCTTGCGACAGTCCACTGTCCAAAATGTGTAATTTTTCAGCTAGGTACTGACGGAGACTTTCCACACTAAAAGTTGAAGAACTTGACGTTCCCGAGGCTTCTGGAGGTGGCTTAGAATCTTCTAAAAATTTTTGTACATAGCGAAATAACAGTTGTTTCCCTTTTGTAATTATATTACCTTTGCTCGACATTATTAAAGGTTAAGTTATATACCCCTCCTTATATTTTATTTTTAAATGTTATGTAAATTAATGTGTAAACTATAGAAAATTGCTACTGAAGGAAAATTGTGTTGAAAAAGAAAGGTTACATTTGACAATGGACTGACCAATTGCCAACCTTAGAAAATTTATAACCACTGACCATCAACAATTATTAGTAAATAATTAAAATCCCCTAATTTCGAATTAAACAGAAACAAAACAGAAAGTTTGTTATTTTCAGTGTCAAGTGTATAATTATTGTATTGTAAACAGTAATTGATAATTAATTTTACCCAAAAAGTAGTCATTATAATTCGTGAAGGTGTTTGTGCTAATGGAAATCCTCAAGAACAATGAAGAACCAAGCACACACTATGATGAGGGCACTAAACTAATGCTTTCAAACATTCTTTCACACCCAGCCTACAATAAACCAAGGTAATTGCATTGTTATTAATTATGTTTTAAAAGCTACCTTTTAGTTACAAATGGTCATTGGATGACTTTGAATTCGGAACTAGATTAGGCCGTGGCAAGTTCGGGAGAGTGTACATCGCACGCGAAAAACGTTCTGGTTGGGTGGTGGCACTCAAAACTTTACTAAAAAAAGAAATTGTCAAAGGTCACGTTGAACGACAAATACTGAGAGAAATTGAAATTCAATCTCATTTGGAGTAAGTATGTACATATTGCTAGCAAATCTATTAGTAATTGTGTTTCTTTTAGGCATCCGAATATTTTAAAACTGCATGTATGGTTCCATGACGACCATCGCATTTACTTAGCATTAGAGTTTGCCGGAAAAGGAGAGGTGTATAAAGAGTTAACCAGTAGCCCACTTGGAAGGTTTTCTGAACAAAGGTGAATATGACATACTGTACAACCCTAGGCACAACCCAATTTCATTTCTTGTTTAATAGAACAGCGAAGTATATTTATCAAGTCGCTGATGCTCTTGACTATTGCCACCGTAAGAAAGTTATACATCGAGATCTAAAACCTGAAAATTTGTTACTTTCAATTAATGATGATATTAAGCTGGGTGATTTTGGGTGGTCGGTCCACGCTCCTTCGTTGAGCCGTAAAACTATGTGTGGAACCTTGGATTATCTTCCACCAGAAATTGTCGAAGGAAAACAGTATGGCAAATACGTTGACAATTGGTGTTTAGGTGTAGTATACATATACATACTATAGTTATGTTCATTACACTTGTTTTTGTAGGTATATTGTGTTATGAATTCTTAGTTGGTAGTCCTCCCTTTGAAAGCAAAAGTACGGAAGAAACATATGCTCGAATTAAAAACATTCAGATTTCGTTCCCTATGCATATTTCAGCTGGCGGTGTTGATTTAATCTCGAAGGTATGTTCGGTGTCTAGCTCAATGATAATCATATCATTGTATTGCAGTTGCTACTAAAATCATCTGTAAACCGCATCACATTGCCAGGTGTTATGAAACACCCATGGATAGTTACCAATTATAAGGATAAGAAATAAGATTTTGTAATATTTTTTTAAAAGTTTGTGTTTTTATTATTTAAAGTAAAGTATTGGAATTTGAATAGGCAAGAATACAAATTAGTAGAGTTTTTTGATAACCCAATTCGTTCCTCCATCAAGCTTTTAAAGGTAATAAGCATTAATGATGTTTTCTATAGAGCTTGGCCTACTAATTAACCCCCTAAATTCGTCTGTTGATACAAATGTCCAAACGGCCCAAAAAAGAAAAAATGGAATTTTTCAAAAAGGTCCAATTTTTAATTATCTTTACAACAGTGCGATTTGTTGGTTGTAAGTTCTAATATTCATATTCATAATTAATTAAAATATAAGGATTTTTCTCTGCGCATTTTACATTGCATATACGGCAAGAACGTACACATAGGTATCTACCTATATGTATATAATGCGTTAGCCATTCGCTTAAATAGTGTTTTGCAAAATGTAACTTTTTAGAATATCGTTTATAAGGCCATATTGCTCTTAGACGAATTAGAATTTAATTAATATTAAATTAATTAAATAAAAATTATAGCTGATAACTTAACGAATTCAACGAGAGGTATAGTTTGAAAATATATAAAGAAAATGAACCAGAATAGAAAAATGTATGAGGTTGCACTGTTGCAGTTGCACGGAGTTTTTTATTCAATGACGTAGTAGCGGTTGTCGCTTTTCAACAGATTCAAGGAATCGCTTCTTCAAGCAATGTTTTAATGCACTTCAACTCGCGTATAGGCATCTTCTTATTGTTCATGCTGACCTCAATCTTCTGAAAATGATTATATTTTAGTTTTTCTGAATCTCTATACCTTATTGTGTCCCAGGGAGAACGCACCATAGGGAAACAGTACTTAATCTGTTTTTTCGTGAAGGATCCATGAGAGCTTTGATATGTATTTGATTATTTGAAGTTAGCGATCAACGTACGTTTACGCTATTGCTTATTGCGTTACTTGATGCGAGAAAAGAGATTGGAGTGGTACGTTGAACGCTGATTTCAAAGGCCTCGTGGATCCTTCGCGAAAAAAGACATTATTGTTTCCCTATGGTGCGTTCTACCTTGGACACACTGTATATAAAAATGAACCCCTATTTCTTCTGGTCGCGCAATAACTTTAGAACGACTACCGATTTCATTCATCTTTTTTTTAAGGTTTTCTAAAACTTGGTAGAAGATAAACAAAGGTAGAAGGTTCTCCAGAAAGTTCCGCATTCGTTCTATGAAATCTACGAAAGTGTAGAACGGACAAGGTAGTTCAAATTATGTAATCCCGAGATATAAGTCGGGATTATACGTAATCTCGAGATGTAATTCGAAAAGAATCTCTATAAATTATTAAATAATAGGTTACCCAGGACTTCAGAAATTTAAAAATTGAAATGATTCTTCCCATGTAAGTCCATGAACCCAAGTCTTCACTCCTCTACGTAGGGAGGTTAACCTCTAAAATTTTAAATGGAACCTATGGCAAATGGCACATTATTTGAAAGCCATTTAATCGTGATTACTAATCTGATTTGCTTTTTAAATTCTATTGATTCGTTTCGGAGATAATTCGTATTTGAAATGGTTTTTTCTAATAAAACCAAAACAAATGCGATCTAAGTCACCTTTATTAAAATTTTATTTTGATGTTTCAATTTGTTTGTTAAACTTAAAGCGGACCTGTCAGTTCTCCGAAAAGTCTCCCCGTATGAAATTATACTGTATTCATTTTAAGAAGGTAGCGGTAGAAAGCATAGGGAAACTTTGACTTTCAGTGTGAAAGGTTAAAACACGAGTCAGTATTACACTGAAACATAAAACGAGTAGCGAATTTTGCAAGTTGGTAGTTTCTGTTGCGAACTAAGCTGTTGAAATGTCATTAGGTGTTAATGTCGACGATTTATTTCTGTTTGCGGTGCTGGGTATTATAACTTTACAATAATTTGAGGCCGTTTTATATTTTTCCTGTGTGTGTTTATCTTCGAACACAGCGCCATCTACTACCTTCTTATAATGAATGAAGTATAGTAAGATACGGGGGTATTACAAAGAGTACAAATCAATTCAAGTATACCAAAATAAATGCTGGTTATTGTTACTATTAAATGGCAAAATAAAAATTGTCTCCCCAATGGGATAGTCATTAGTCTAGCACTCAAATATCAAAATTATAAGTTACATCACACACAAATCTTAGTAACTTGAGTTTATAATTAAAAACTCCCATCAACTCCAATCAAGAATGATCGATTAAATTGGTTACTGGAGTAATGGAGTTCTATTTTGCCTTATCAGAGTATGCTAAAATCGATCGTCTGCCGCCTCAGGTCATATGACTTAAGGCGCTGCGGGTACTTCTTGCGGTACCAATTCTGAAAGGTTGTTTTTCGAGAAAAAATATTTAAAAAAATCGCGCACATTTGATAACTCCATAAAAAAACAATTCTTAGTCGGTTTTTCACGAACTTTCTACGGATATAACTAGGTTACCGTTGGATGAATGAAGCTGATCTTTTTTACAGACTAATGATAGGTATAGCCAATGACTATGAGAGTATTTCTTTTTTAAATTTTTTCTCTAATTATAAGATATCTTATAATGTTAAGATAATAAGACAATCTTATAATTAGAGAAAAAATTTAAAAACGAAACACCGTTAACTCATTAGTAGTACCTATAATCAGTCTGTAAAAAAAATCAGCTTCATTCGTCCAACCGTAACCTAGTTATATCCGTAGAAATTTCGTGAAAAACCGACTAAGAATTGTTTTTTTACGAAGTTACCAAATGCGCGCGATTTTTTTAAATATTTTTTTAAGAGCTATTATCAACGTTTTCATTTGGTGTATCATTTATTTGCTCGAAAAACAACCTTTTAGAATTGGTACCGCAAGAAGTACCCGCAGCGCCTTAAAGGCTGATTCTCACTATACATAACGTTTCCATACCATATCCATTCCGTAAATTATTATAGGCTACGAAATTGACCTTTAAGTGATATGTGCGTAAGACATTCAGTCGCGCGCTAATACACATTCGCCTTCCATATGTGAACGGAAAGGAGAATGTGTATTAGCGCGCGGCTGAATGTCTTACGCACATATCACTTAAAGGTCAATTTCATAGGTATAATAATTTACGGAATGGTTATGGAAAGGATATGGTATGGAAACGTTATGTATAGTGAGAATCAACCTTAAGTCATATGACCTGAGGCGGCAGACGATCGATTTTAGCATACTCTGATAGGGCAAAATGGAACTCCATCGGTTAAAATTTTGATCATTCTCGTTCACTGGATTTCGTGCTAGCTCCCCTACTACTACCTACTAGCAATGGGTAAAAAATCCATAATCGGGTTTGATTAATCGATTATTTGATTAACCATTTATTTGACTAATCGATTATAATCAGTATAATCGATTATTTTTAATAATCCATTATCGATTATTTAAACCTGTAATCGCCCAGGTCTAGTAAGAAATTAGACGAAAAGGTCGATTCTCACTTAACATAACGTTTCCATACCATATCCTTTCCATAACCATTCCGTAAATTATTATAGGCTACGAAATTGACCTTTAAGTGATATGTGCGTAAGACATTCAGTCGCGCGCTGATACACATTCGCCTTCCATATGTGAACGGAAAGGAGAATGTGTATTAGCGCGCGGCTAAATGTCTTATGCACATATCACTTAACGGTCAATTTCATAGGTATAATAATTTACGGAATGGTTATGGAATGGATATGGTATGGAAACGTTACGTATAGTGAGAATCAACCTTAAACATTCAAAATTATAATGGTGACATTCAGAGGTTTTGTTATCGAGTTTAGTAGATATAAATTGCGTGAGCTTGACTTATTTTTTTCTGACGAATCCGAATCCGTGTGGGATAAGTAAAAAGTCATCCAGAAGTTTCTATACTACGAGAGGCAATGTTGTACCTATCAGAGTGGGTTTCAAAGGTTCAATAACTGTATCGTGTCAAAAGTGATCCAGTTTTCTACAAAAATGCATAGAGAATGGTATTGGATCGACTTTAGTTTAGTCAATACATTCAATTATTTATTTGGAATTTGTATTTATTGGTTTGCAGTCAAACCAGAGCGTCAAGTTTTGATTTTCAGAAGTACCTAGATAAAAGGCCAAACTTCCGTAAGGTAAGGGGTATTTAAATTTTGTGAGAGCTAGTCGTGGGTAAAATTAATTGTGATAGAAACTTCTTACTGGTTTCGTAGTTTTATTTAGTATGAGCAATAGTTTTCAACCCTTGTAATGTAATGTCTAACCTTTGCAGTACTCACGAAATATAGAGTCTTGAAAAGTAGGCTAATAAATCAAACAGATGTGGCAAAACATTGTTTATTTTAATAAATATATAGCACTCATAGAAAACATATCATTTCAATACAAACCACCACAAAACAGAGATACCAATGACTTAAATACATACTAAACTTTTTTACCTATACAAAACACAAGTGTACACATTAAATAACTAAAAGGCAGGGTATATAACCGCGTATAAAACTATAAAACTTAGCCGAGCAGGTCTATCGAATTATCAATAAGTCGTTAACATAATATAGATAGCTATATTACAAATTATTGTCGATTGTATTCCCATTCACACCACTTCTATTTACCATAAACCCTAGCGAAGGCTTTGTCCCTATACCTGGTTACTTTATACACTGCAGCAGGTACGTGGAAGCTCGCGTTACAATAAAATACTAGTTTTAGTATGCTGGTAATTTATGTAAGCAATTACCAACATTCCAAAACAATTATTACATAGTAATAGTTAAAAATATAATTATACCACTGTACAAGTATTACAAATAACAAATAATTTGTACATTTTCTATTGGCAAAAACATTATTGCACCATATTTCCTATGCCTAACAAAGTTTATCACATACCTAAATGGTTAAAAAAGTATTGCACAAATTTACAGTGGTGTAGGCAAGTAGGTATATGTAATAAAAAGGCACGAAAAAGTAAACCTGTACCTGACCGTTTTCTAATAGGAATCTAATTACATGGCACTGTGGCATTAAAATTCTCTTCAAAAGTTGAAAATGACAAGAGATACAATAAGTGGTGTGTTGAAATTGAGGCACTAATAATAATATTGCATATCTTATTAAATAATATTGCAACAGTTTCTAAAGTAATTATTGCACTTCCGGCCCGATGTATATCACAACAATACAATTGCAGGTAGATCAAGCCTACCACGATTATTAATATTGCACAATATTGAAGTAATCTACAGAGCTTTTGTTAACTTAAATTTAATTGGAACTACTTTACAATGTATTTGGTGTAATAAATTAGTTTACTAAATATATACATTTTTCTTCAGCATTTGGTTTCAATATAATATGTACACTGATGAGAGCGATGCTGTGAATTATTCTAAAGAGAGAGATCGTTAAAGTTATCTATTTGTATCGACTGGGACAACTGTAGCATAATCCATACCATCAATGTTAACGTAACCATTATTAATTGTTGCGGCGTTGGTACCATTATACTTTGACATAAATGATGGGCTTCTATATGTCCCAAAGAAGACAGAATGGGTCTCCACACTCTCTGCGCCGGATTCGCTATGGCCGTCGCCTAAACTCTCATCCGTTTCGCTTCCCGCGCAGACGTCCTTTTCCGAGTCGATCGGTTTCCTGCGGGAATCATTCGAGTCAGTACTTAAATAACCTGAGTCCATAACTTTGTTTCTTAGGTTATTGTTGCCAACGACCTTGTGCCACTCTCGCTTGGTTTCTTGAGAACCGCCTAGGCGACTTGAGTAAATGCTGTTATTATTATCATCGCTGTATTTATTCATTTTTAGAGAATGAAACGGTTCCGCTACTCTTGGCGCGTGTAGCAGGAAGTGATTCTTGTACGCATTCGGTTCAGTCTGTTCGTAGTTATCGGCTTCTCCTACTGTATTATATATTTCATAATCCGAGGAATTGGGACTGACAGAAGTACCAGATAGACTAGTTGAGGGCACGTCGCTATAATGTTCAGAATGAGGAGAAGCAGGAATCATTTCCTTTATACTTTGAGTTTGACTAGTACTCCTGCCATTCCCGTTTTTTGGCGGCAAAGGTGGTTTGTTGGCCCTTTGCAGGTCGATGATTATTTTTCTGGGCGGTTTCGCGTGTTCGTAAAGCGAGGTGTTGTGAGGCGGCGGCGGTATCACGTCGGGAGGGACGGCTTTCATGTTTTGGGCCGCCAGTCGCCTTTGGCGCTTCAAATGCCTCTCCTGCAAAGTTAAAAGCTTTCCCTCGTGTTGTTTACTAAAATCATTTTGCCACGTAACGAAATTTGCATCGCGGGCTGATTGCACAGAATCTACCATTGCGAGATTATCCGCGCTTCTTCGAATGCCGTGTTTGGTTTTCTTATATTCGTAAATTTCTCTAAGACTCCTAAAAGTTCTTTGGAAACTACCATTAGCTGGATTCGTTGGTTTTGACGGGTGTATAAATGAGCTATGTTTAAAGGAACCGGTAGTGCGTAATAAAATTGAATTTGACCTGTGCAAATCGTCTAAACCATCGTCGCTGTTAATATTTGTACTGGATATACTTCTCTTGCTAGGTTTTCGATCTAGCGTATCCGGCTCGAAATTGTCCGAATCATCAATTCGAATATAATTATTCGGACAATCTTCAACTTCAATAGTCAGTTGACCGGGCTTTAATTCCGGTTGTTCGTATTTAATTTTTGGTTTCATCTTTTTTTCCAAAGTAGAGCTGTTTGAAGCGCATGGGGACGACGAAGCACTTCCAAAGTTGTAACCATTATTGACGTACACTTCACTCACTAAACTGTAGCCGTTGCCATTTTGAAAGTAGTCGGGTAAGTTGTACAAATCTGAATGGTCAACGTGGTGGTTACTACCCTTTCTTACGACGATCAACTCATAGTCGTCGTTCAAACTTGTATCCGCAATTTTGGAATGAAGCCTGGAGACTGTCATATTTCCAGTTTTAGTATTTAATACCGCGTTTTGAATAGTCATTTCTTCGGCCATTGGTAGAGCGGCGCTTAAACTTGGACTGGGCTGTGATGATAAATCGCAATACTCCATCGGCGTTTCGTTTCCCTTATGTTTGTGACTCCTCTCCAAGCTATCCACTTCATAATCCAAAATGGGTTTTCTGGGTATCTCTGGACTGGGCGAAGAATCGGAAGTAAAATTGTTGACGCGAGCTACGGGGCGATGGTTGGAAAATTGACCGATTACAGTTTTCATGTGATCTCGGGTCAAAGTTGGTGCTTCTTTGCCCTTCGGAGCAATTGTTTCTTTGATCTCTCTGTTGTAATCAGCAGTCGGTACCGGAGGCAGTGGAGCTTTTGATTTTGTCGTAGGTTTTCTGGGTTGATGCGTTTTCTTTAGCGGCGGTTGCATTGACGAAGTTGGGCTAGGAGAACGCGCTCGTTCCGACGCAGGCTTCGGCGATAAGGCTCTGATCGGTGTTGATATATTACCGGGTGATAGTGATCTGGTTGGTGAGCGTACTCGTTTAGGCCCCACAATAGTCTTGCCCTCAAGAGATCTCACCAAAGCATGTGCTTCGTCGTTAGTCTTTGGCTTGAGTGTGGGGACATCTTCCAGCCACTTTTGTATGCTTCGCTGTTTGCTGTCGGAGTTTATTGTTGTACAATTGTGACATGCCACTAAAGACGGAAACTCAGGGAGTTTTCCACATAAAGCTTTCAGATCTTGTGGCTCACATGCGGGACAACCTGTACAAGTACGCCTTCTGCTATTTTCACGTTTCAAACTGATCATACTACTTCTGCGGCTGCCGACAGCACGTGACTGTTCAAAAGCGGGATCGAAGAAATTAGTGCTTTCCTCTTCGGGGATACCAAGGAGACTGGGACAAAATTTCTTGCAAGCCATTTTCTGTTTCGCTATAGCTATAACTTCGCGGATCTTGATTAAGAATTCTAATGCAGCTGGTGGAGGAGCCTAAAGCAAAATAGATTTTCATCGAACTTTAAAAGTGTTATTATTACGTTTTGCTTAAATGTAACTTACAAGTAATAATTCTGGCTCAAAGTACGCAGGATTAAAGTATAACTTCTTTCTAGTCGTCCCGGTGATTGCTCTGATTGAATCTGGACGCTCTTCTCTCCCTTCCATGGTTTCAACGATTGACACGTTTTCCTCTGGGAGTCTTTCGATGTTCGACGAATCTTGACACATCGATTCCAAAACGGCTTTGGACACATACGACGAGCAGTGATAATATGATTGTTGAGGATGAATGAGTGCCGATGTTTGAATCTATATGAAACCTTAAAAAGTGCTAGGTGGCATAATGCATACATACGTTCTTTTTCCTATCATAGTGATTCTGGACTAAATCGGGAGTTACATCTGTATCGGAACTGCCTGAATCACTATAGCTGCTATCTACGCCAGTAAAATGACGGTTAAGTCCAAGTAGAGGGTTGCTTTTAATAATTCCTTCCTCTACGGGAGTCACCCCTGGGTGGTTACCCTGATTTTTACTATTTCCCGCACCTTTTCTTTGTCTTCTGATGTGGAGATACAAGAATACCGACGCAACGTATATCAACCCAAGAAGAATGGAACACACTCCGATTGCAATGTACTCTGTTACACTCAAACGGCTATTACTACTATCTTCTGATGCTTGAGCATCCGCCGAAAACACTACCTCGCTAACATCTGAAACCGAAATATATAAGCCTGTAGAGCTCCGATTTGTTTCTTCTTACTTTGTAGATACTTCAACGGCGTACCAACTACTCTAAACGCAACGCACGGTGTAAAAATTGACTCAACCTCCGCCGGAGTTTGCCCACCAGCCGCCGAGTCGCGACATACTAGATGGACCAGAATTAATCGGCCTGACATCCTTGAGCGTAACTCCGTCTCTCCGATCCACTGCAATAAATAAATATAGTAAAATGAGATTAAATTGTGAAGTATTCACTTGTAAAAATGTCCGCCCTTCGTCAATGAACAGTTGAAATGGAAATTCCCCGTTTAACGTGTTTCGTAAGTCTTTCCAACCATTTTCAGTTAAGAACTTGGAGTTTGATACAGCGCATATCGGTGCTTTAATTCCTGTAACAAAAGTAAATTATTCAGTTCCGTGTTACTGTGGGAAGGTTGTAGTAAAAACTACGGGCTGTTTTATGTTTAATCGATCATTATATGGAAAACTAATCGAAAAAAACGAAGAGTCTGGAGATCTGGAATCCAAGGAGTCTGTAGAAGCAAAGAAATCTGAAGCATTCAAAAGAGAATAACTATAAGCGCTCGAAGAAACGAAATAAATGAAACAAGTATAAATTGTGCACAACTCTTGTGCAGATAATGCGCATTTTTTTTAAACCGAAATAGCTTTTGTTTTTGACATCACCAATTGCCCTTTGTGAGTACCCTCTTCCGACAATCCGTTCTTTAGGTATAAGGGAATATACCCGATAACCATATGAGGTCGAGGAGGAGGACTATGGTTGGTAGAAATTAATTCCGTTCGTTGAGACCTTTAATTATAATACAATGAAAAATAAAATTAATTTTTACCCCCCCCCCCCCAAGGCCCCTGATCTCGAAAAGGAGTCGCACGGGAAAGTTATAGTTTGTACAAACCAATTTATTTCAATGAGACCTTTCATTAGAATCCCATGAAGGGTAGAACATGTGCCCCCCCCTTCTAAAATTTAATTTGGCACCACCTAAAGGCAAGCGTGTGCAAAATCTGGGACCAATTGGTTGTCGTATGTAAAAGTTATGCACATTTAACTTTCAAAAACAGCATCTCAGGAAATAATTCGAAGGGGAGCCCCGTTTAGACAGCAAAATTTGATGGCCTTATACCTTCAAGGTATAGGCTACATACTGCAAAAAATTTCAGGACTCTAGGACCATTCCCCTAGAAGTAGTTCGAAACGGCAGAAGTGGGTCCGGACGGACGGACAAAACGCAAACAATAGCACATTTTTTTTAATTTTTAAAAAATGCGCTAAAAAAACAGAAGGTTTTTATAGCACTAAAAATTCACAGATCTCGCATTTCTTTCAACTATCGGCAACACAAATAACATTTATTCAGTGGGTCAGTTGCTATGTGTAAACAAATATAGCAAACGAGCCCCTGAGTAGTTATACAGGGGGGTTCCCGGACCACTTCAAGGTCGCTCGCCACTTGGTGGTGACCTTGGAAATTAGGTCAAGGTGAGAGTCGCGTGCCACGTGGGCGGTGACCTCATTTTCAATGTCATCCGAGGTCATTGACCCCAATAACTCTCATGGTCATCCGAGGATATTGACATTTATTTCCAAGGTTATCGAGATCATTGACCCAATTAATTTCCAAGGTCATGCGAGGTCATCGCCTCCATTAATGCTCAAGGTGATTCGAGGTCACCGACCTCATTAATGTGCAATGTCATCTGAAGTCAATGGCTCCATTCATTTCCGAGCGCATTCGAGGTCATTGACCCCATTAAACTTCAAGGTCATCCGAGGTGATTGACCCTAATTAATTTTCAAGCTCATCCGAGGGCATTGACTTCATAAATTCTCAAGCTCATCCAAGGTCACCGACCACACGTCACTCAACTCTGACCTTCACCTAATTCCCAAGGTCGCTCGCCACGTCACTTTGACCTAGTTTCCAAGGTCACCACCAGGTGGCGAGCGACCTTGAAGTGACCCAGGAACCCCCTGTATAACTACAGCATGGGTAAAACCAAATGTTGAACATAGTGCCTATGTATCAAATTTCATTTAAAGGCTTTTGTATACAAGAAACTTGGAATTGCGCATGCACAAAACAATATTTTGAAATCGTCGTTAGTTTGACTGACACACGTAGTGTTTACATATAAAGTTTCGTCTAAATACCGAAGTAATTAAAAAAATTGCAATTTGGTTCATAAATGGTCGAGATCGGAAAAGGGCAGTGTGAATGTCGACTTACAAATGTGGTCACCTGCACAATTGCATCGTAATCTGTCCACCCGTTTTCGAGATATTGGCCAATGGACCGACTGACGGTCGGACGTACAAAGCAAAATCATAAACTCGCTAGGAGCTCGATAATAAACGTCCTAACATGCTCGTAATACTATTATAAGATGACGTATGCGCAACATGCTTTATATCTTCCATTGAAAAGCCGATCGTAAACCACTAGTAATTCACTTTCAAGAATTGTGACAGTCACACTTCAAATCTGCTCTCGCTTCCCCACCCGAGTCTTCCAACATTCGAGCGTTTCATATAAACGTTATGTATAATCTTAGAAACTAGCATCCTATAAGTGTTTTCAACACTAAAACATAAGGAAACGAAAAAATGGGAAAACAACAAAATAATTAATAATTTTTGTGATTTATTCCATTTAGATAAGATGTTAGAAGACACAACGGGTCGTTGCGATAAGGAGGTGTATCAAGCGAAAATTAATTAACGCATGTGTTTTCTCGCTGTTAAAAGATCACGAAGACGTAGGTGTTTAGAAGAATTGCGAGTGTCATATTAGAGAAGTAGGGATATTTGGCTCGTTCCGAACAGCCTCTGAAAATCTGTTCATCTTATTTATTATAGTAATCTAATTCTGTGTTATGGCAAAGTGAAGTCCAGAAGCTGTCAGCGTTTGTAAGAGTTTAGTGCATCTAATATTGCAAATCTTGTATGACCAGATTTTTTGGATTATTAAGAAAAAAACAAGTAATTCTAAGATCTCGTATTTTGATTGTCGACCGCCAGTATGGGGGGGATATGTCTCCAAACAAGCGTTGTAAGCTTTTCTTTTTTTCAGGGATTTTGTTTTAATTTGTTTTTATGTGTTTTGGAATGAATATTTGTCATAGTCAATCAATTAATTGAGTGTTTATTCGAATTCATTGTGCGGCCCAGATAGAGTTTTCATGTCAGATTTTTTTCTATTAGTGCCTAAAAATCATTTCAGGTATTAATCAAAAGTTGTGCAATTAATTCTCTGGAATTTTTTGAAGTTGATCTAGGCCACCGAGCGAAGAAATTAAGAGAGGTAACCTAAAAGCACTCTATTCTGTAGCCTTCATTGCAGTCTTCGCCTTTACAATTTACCCCAATTCAATTTAATATCGGTGGCGCATCTTCATATCTACTGACGTGTGCCTTATTTCCCTTATAGCCAACAAAAAGTTGAAAAGGGCTTCCAAAACCAGTTGTACCATAGTTCGAGTTCTTACTTCTAAAGTTATGTCAGTTAATTTTATGTAACCGTTCATTTTTACGAAGCCGTACACGGGCCACATATACACTTGGTGTTCTTCTTCTACAAAAAAGTGAAAATTTCGCCAAAAAAGTGAACATTTCTACAAAAAATTTCGACAAAAATATTTGATAGCCTTTAAAATGATGGGTCACTCGATGGGGCGGTGGGGGAAGGTCAAATTTCTGCTTTGTTGTCGCCGCTTTCACTTTTTTTCGAAATTGTCACTTTTTTGTCGAAATTTCCACTTTTTTGTGGGAATTTCCACCTTTTTGTAGAAGTTTTCACTTTTTTGTGAAAATTTCCACTTTTTTGTCGAAGTTTCCACTTTTTTTGTCGAAATTTCCACTTATTTTTGGAATAAGAACACCAAGTGTGTGTATGGCCCGTGTACGGCTTCGTACATTTTCATGAATTAATGTATTCAATTTCGAGTTGGGGTTCGGTATCATTATCATATTATATCGTGGCTTCCAAAGTGTTAATTCAGTAGTAATTTTAAGTAACTCACTTGAGGTTTTGGTTATTTTATTTGGTATATACCTACTGCAAGATGCGTTCCAAAATTTATTTATTCATTAATTCATTGATATTATATAAATGCGATCTTCAATGAATTACAATGGGGCGTATTCCACTCGTGACAGAATTCTTACCTCCCAAGCGGTTCTGCAATTTGCAAAGGTTTATGATTATAAGATTAGAAACGCAAAATTGACTGCTTTAGGGGTACAACAATAAAGTTGTTTTTCCTACCTATCTGCGATTAATTAAATTTATATTTCGAAATAATGAGCTTTTGTGAAGACTTTTAAAGTCGACTGCACTTTGCGCTGGTCGATACGAATCCGGAAGTGTTTGATCACTTGTTGTAGGTATTGAGATAGGCACGTCCTGCTATAATAACCCTAAGCTTGGGCAGGTAAGTTACGATCAAGTGAATTCATGCATCGACACAAGCGGAAATTACGATGCAATTTCTGTATTATTACCACGTTGATATTGAAAAGGTATTGTAAAAATGTCGTCTTCCCAAAGAAATTGATATCTAAAGAATAACCTTTCTCCATTATACATCTTTGTAAGTAATAAATGCAGTTTTTAATGTTTTTCACGGCAATCGTTTGGATTATACCGGGTGATTCAAAATGACTGCATACAGTTTGAATTTGGCGCTTAAAATCTCGATGTTTTTTTACTTAAGTGCAAAGTGCATACATTTAGGTATGTATAGTACCTCGGGCATAGCTTGCTTTTATTTAGGGTGAGGTATTTTAACGCATAACGTACAAAAATTACACCATATAGCTTCAATGTCCTTTCGTTATGTATGCACACAAGTATAGGGTAGCCAAATTTGATCGTTAGTATGGGGTAAGTCTTCTAACCTCGCAGTCTCAATATGTTTTTTGAGATAAACACGATGACGAAGATCAAAATAGCGCTAGTTACTAGTCACTGGTAAAATTTACATTTTTTTGATTTTCAGATAAAAGCCTATAACTTATTTGTTTATTTAGTTATTGGTAATGTGCTTAACTGTGCTCTTAAGACACTTTTTTGAGAAGAATTTAATGGCTTTGAAATGTTTTATTTTATTTTATTTTATTTTTTACACAAAGTGTAGTTAACGATGCCTTTACTAAAAAACAGTTTATTATATTGTTCTATTAATTTACGTAGTTTAAACTGTGATTAATTTTTGTTTGTACATCGTAATTTATTTATTTTGTTTATTTAATTTACAATTAAATAAACAAAATAAGAAACATTCGAAAAGTTAATTTTTTAAGAGTTGCACTTATCGCTAAAAGTTAATTGATTTTGTAAACAGATGTTGTCGCAGGTGCGCGTATTGGATAAGAGAATGTTTCGTATTTTAACTAAACAATAACGAAGTGGAATCAAAGATGGGACAAGAGAGGGAAATGTGTTAAATAGAAAAGGAAGTGTGGTAACTTGACTTTTTGCCTTTCTCCTTGGTCCGTGTGTGGGAAATCGGGGCCGCTACCGCCGTGCTTTGGTATTTGGGTGCGGTCGGGTTCATTTGTTGGAGCCGATTTTTGGATGTACTAAAGACAGTCAGTTTATGTAATTATAAGGTTATTGGAAAAAGTTAGTTAGTGGATTAAAAGATTTTAAGCACGTCGTGTGGAATTGAATAGTCGAGTTCAAGTTAAGGAGAGGTTTTGTGTCAAACATTCGGAGAAAAGTTGGTTATATAATCAAAAAAGAAGTTTTTCTCCAACCACCTGAATAAGACGCTATTTTGTGACAGTGTTCGGTACCTAAAATTGACGTTTTGCGGATTAATCGCTTTCACCATGGCAACTGTACAAAAAGTGGATACTTTTGGTCCTAGTACCAAAAAGAAATTGACCTTGAAAGTTGGCCAATTAAAAAATTACAATCACGGAGATATGTCACATTGACATCGTTTTACATTGCAGGTTGTAAGATATTTCTATACATACAAATCAAATATTTTTGCATATTCAATGCAAATAATGATGTTACCTATACGTATGTACATGTATTGAAAATAATTTACGTTCGCTATTTTTATTTAAACCATGTGTAACGTAATTCATATTCCGTGAACGTAATTTTAATACGTATACAACCCGCCGTCGCGCGTAACGCCATCTACTTCAGACCCATTGCACTATTATCTGTCATTTTGAAATCAAAATTTGAAAAAGTTAATTGCAATTAATTTTAATTAAAGAACTGTATGGTAAGTTTTTTATTTCAATGCAAAATATAACAATATTTATTGTGTATACAATAAAATGACTGAAACTGATAGCGACATGGATTGCACTCCGCCAGAGATTATACAGGGTGTTCCTAAAAGGTCTGTACAACGCGCTACCAGGGGTTCTTGGTATCAAAATAGGACGATTTAACCCTACTTACCTCTATCCAAAAGTGCTTCGTTAAGGCGCTATCTACCGCCAAGGATTCAAAAAACAAATCGTTATTTTTATTTTATCGGAAAATGGTTTTGCCGATTAAAATGAAAGTCGGGATGTGAATGTCTAATGTAAAAAGGGTCTTTGTGATATCATCGTTTTGATTGTAGTTGCTATGTAGGTGGTAAAATACTGACCATCCACATCTGAAGAGGTCTAAAACTTTTTTACTACTATTTTGACGGCTCTGAATTTTTAGACATTGATAGACAGTTTACTTGCAAACATTTTTTGTCTCTTGATGAATATCGCTATCGGTGATGGTTTACGAAAAAAAAAAAATTTATGCATGATGAATGGCATGCACCATACATGCGATTGTTCCTCAAAAACCATAAGTGCAAGCAAGAAGTAGGCTATGAAACCGTAGTGCAAGCAAGTAATGTAGAATAAACGAACACAACAGAGTAAGTCAATGTAATGTATTAATTTAAACGTACTAAATGTTCAAAGTGACCACCATTTTCACGCATACAAAGCATTATACGGCGTAATAAATTAAACTATGCCCTTTGCAACATTGGTACGTTATTTTTTAAAGTTTTAAGTCTTCAAGCAAAACGTCAATTGTTAAAGTTTAAGAAACAACAAACAAACGTTACGCCACTCTAAGGTTTAACAGCCATCTTCTGATTTTTTGAGGAACAATCGCATGTATGGTGCATGCCATTCATCATGCCTAAATTTATTTTTTTTTCGTAAACCATCACAGATAGCGATATTCATCAAGAGACAAAAAATGCTTGCAAGTAAACTGTCTATCAGTGTCTAAAAATTCAGAACCGTCAAAATAGTAGTTAAAAAGTTTTAGACCTCTTCAGATGTGGATGGTCAGTATTTTACCACCTACATAGCAACTACAATCAAAACGATGATATCACAAAGACCCTTTTTACATTAGACATTCACATTCCCGACTTTCATTTTAATCGGCAAAACCATTTTCCGATAAAATAAAAATAACGATTTGTTTTTTGAATCCTTGGCGGTAGATAGCGCCTTAACGAAGCACTTTTGGATAGAGGTAAGTAGGGTTAAATCGTCCTATTTTGATACCAAGAACCCCTGGTAGCGCGTTGTACAGACCTTTTAGGGACACCCTGTAGAAACGGCAGAACATGCTACCTCAAGATTTGCTCCCTACAAAGTCGCGAGAGGTGAGAAGTAAGAAGTAAGAACGAAAGGTTATAAGTTAACTTAAAAACTAGAGTGGCATGACACGTGAGGACAAGAAAGCAGAAGTTCTTATACTAGTAGTGAAACTGTGACTGAATCTAAATTCGAATATAATTTGAAGTAAAGGGGGTTGGAGAAAAAATTTTATGTTTTATTCGTACAAAAAATGCGCTTTCGGGACTCGGAAGGTTGCTGGACTCCGCTAACGCGTCGTCCAGCAACTATCTTCCTCGTCCCGAAAACTAACATTTTTTGTACTAATGAAACAAATAACTATTTTGAGGCGAATTCAGTTTAGTGTTTGTATTTTCTTTTGTACGCGTCTGTTTAATGGAAATCGCAGTGTACTGGAGACTTTATTTAACCTGTTTCGAATGAGCGTTTGTAGCGTGGCATTTGTATCTGACCCTGAGTGCTATGTTTTTCTTATAGCAATTATCGTTGTGCCTGTGAAAAATTTCAGCACTATACTAATATGGGTTTCATCTGTCCAATAAATGTTCCTGTAGAGTGTAAAAGAACAGATCTCGTTGAATGCGTTGAAGATACCAATTACAAAATTCCATCCTTCGCTCAAAATCAGTCGGCAACAGTTGTTGTTTCCGTTCGGTGTAAGGTCTGAATTTGCGGTTCATCTTCCGCTTCGAGTTGGCGACTTGATATAGTGGGATTTGCTACTCCGCCTCCAATGACACCAACAGTTACTTCCTGCGAATATCGAATCATATAATTTTTGGGCCTCGGTTCTCTATGTAATAGGACTTCTGAATGCAAAAAAAAATGTTATGGTATAGTAAACATGCAAAATGTAAATATAGATACGGATCTATAATCTTGTGTAAGGATGCTCAAAGGGAATTAGAAATATAAAATAACCAACACGGGCAGTTTTATTTCAGATGTAAATAGAGTAAATTAATATAAATACTGCACTGCGTGTATATATTCGGGATGAGTAAATGAAGCGGGTCATTGTAATGAAAAAAAAAGCAAGGAGAGCGAGATAAATATGTCTCGCGTAACCGAATTTTGAATGACAAAAAGAGTAGGTATTTATAGCATTAATCGTTGCAAGATTGCGCTTATTGGGTCAGAATGTACAACGTCGATAATATGAGTGTAAATAGTGGGAAAGCAGCAGTTAAACAACGATACGTGTCGGCCGTTTTCCTAAAGTGCGTCATGCAATGTTAAGCCAATGGGTCTACTGGGTGTATCCCGAAGATAGAAATTAAGTCAAGAACGAGACTCATATCGAGCCACCATTACGCTGTGGACGAAAATGTTCGCAACGTTTCCAGTTTCAAAGTTCAAAATCTTCACGGCGGAACTCAGCGAGGATTCTATACCCGCTCCGTGCAGAATGCAGCGGACGGTCGCTTTCTGTATCGGTCCATGTTTTGTTGCTGTGCACACCGCTGAGCATCCTCACACGTAATCCCGGACGTGGTTTCCTGTCTTTGGTCAGTGATATTGGGTGAAGATGGCGCGGATCGTTTCTTTTAACGAAAATAAGAACCGTTTCATAATCTTTCAAAACCCTCTCGTCTCTGGGTGACCCAGGGGACGAGATCTCGATAGAACAGACAGACAGACAGACAGACGACGGAAAATCGGAGCACATAAGCGTTAGCTCAACGTCGCTGTGTTACGCTAAAATACAACTTTGTGCTGAAAATGAATAATTGACAATTTTCATAGCCATTCAATTCTTCTCAAAAAAGTGCTTTAGGAACATGTAAACACGTTTTCGATAACTTAATAAACAAAGAAGCCTTTATCTAAGAATCTAAACATGCAACTTTGCCCGTAACTAAAATACAAAAGACAGTAGGCCAGTTCATCGATGTAAGAAAGTGCGCATGCGCTCTCTCCATGTGATAGAAGCAGCCAGAAATATTAATTTTAATTAAGGGTAGTCTTGACTTAATTTTTTTAGGCAACCCATTTGCAATGTGTTTGTTTACACATTAAGATTGCTGATAAATGTATTCCCCTCGGTAAACCGGTGAGCCAAGGTAAACCTTATGTGGGATCCTGTAGTAGTGTTTTTCCCAAATTAATTTGATGATAGGTATCTGAAATAATTTCGAAGAAGGGTGTAATTTGGATTTCGTTGCACATAATTACTTTCCTTATCATTCTAAGTCGTATGGAACGATACAAGAAAAACGAAGGGGAGGTTACCACAGGCTAGTAAGTTGTATGTAAACGGTGATATTGCCATTCATCTGCAGAAATAGGTATCTTAATTCTTAATTTAATCGATACAATCCGTAAGCTGATTAAAGCCAAACGACTCTATTGGTATTAATTTGGAAGTGAAGACTAAATGAGGATGTTAACAATCAACAGGGTCTTATACCGTTCCACGTTGCGGTGTTTACCTACACATAAAATATTATAATCAACGATGTAGTTTTATAATTGCCCAAACAGAATTCGCTTCAAAAGCATTCACGGTAACTGAATTCACTTTTCTTTAATGATAAATCTTACAGTTATATCGTAACATATGCGTAATTAGATTTGAATTAATTATAAAAAGATGAGAAGGCAACGTCCTCTCGGAGGCAGATGTCTACTGCAAAATTCAAGAAACGTCATCGCGTATTGTTTAATTTGTGTACGAACACGTGCATGATTTGAAATTGTTAAAGCGAGCAATAGTGTGTCTATGAGCGAGCATTGTTACTTACCTGTAAAATTTATTTCCTTGCTCGGATGAATGATTTGTCCTTTTAATGGTAGAAAAACAAAAGGTATCTTCTGTGACGTTGAAGCGCTAACAAATGGAGCCAGAACGCATTCTGTAAAAGAAAATCTTTGTTAGTATAATTGACTATAATCATAAACTTTCAATTAGTATACTTGTAATTACTTCGTTTTATAAAAGGGAGCCAGTCACCCTTCTGGAACGTCTTTTGAGATTGTCAGTAGATGAATAGTAATGCATGCAAGCCGCATGGTTAATTACAATACGTCGGATAGATAGGTACGAAAAGGATTTACAAAAATACCACCGATTTCGTTCTAAATTGTAGAAAACGAATGCCTTTCTTAGTCCCATATGGGTCTTTTTCTGCGCTCCCTGCTCCCGTTCCTGGGTCTTCGTTAAAAATATGTACAAATTTGATAAAGATAAACTAATCAACACTCCTCTGTTTGTATGGTTGTTCATCCAAGATTAAAATCCTGACAGCTTTAGTAACGTTTTTCGTGCAACTTACAAAGACACCCTGACAGAAAATTATGGTACGATTTCGTTCGTGAAACTGCAACTGAATAGGAAACAGTATCAATTTAGATCATTTCATTGCGTACAATAAAGGTGTCCCGCATGGCTCTACTCTAGATCCCTAGCTATTGTGTGTGTATAAATAATCTGCTCAGTCCCAGTTAATATTCTGAGCATTTCATATCAAGACCTTTACACTAAATTACACTAGAACATTGCGAAACCCGGCTGCGGCAAGTGCCACTTGGTATACCTAACCTTATAGTTCTGTCATCTTGGAGAAAGAAATTTTGAGTTTTTGTGAAACTTTTAATACTAAAAACAAAATCAATCTAGCTACGTTTGTTTCTAAGATACAGGGTCAAAACGAAAAGTTTGACTTTTTGAGGTGTTATCATATCTTATTGCCCATGTAAGATAAGAAAAAAGATAAAAACTGTGTACGTTAGATATTTTTACGTAGAATCCAATGGCGTAGTCAAAAAAATGTTTGAACTACCGTTTCTGAGAGTTGTCCCATAAGTTTGTATTTTTTTAAATGCAACCCTTTGTATATTTACTCAATTTTTTGCACGCTTTTTCCTAATTACATTGATGTATTACAACCTGTATAATTATATCATATTTTTCGTTCTTTTAACTTCGCCAGCGGTTTTTACTCGGTCGTAAAAATATTTAAAACAGCTAGTTTTGACATTTTTCACATCACATCTTAAATGGGTAGTAAGATACGATAAAATCCCAAAAAATTTGAAGATCTTTAAAAAAAACTCTTGGAAGGTTCTTTAAAGGATTTGCGGAAAAGTTTTAGGTGACATTACAATGGGTCGTTGAAAATATAAAATATATTTTGACTCTATATCAGTCCTATTTATTTCGAAACAGAAATAACACTAATTAATATTTGTAAAAATGAAAAAAGGTTAACTTTAGCGCATTTTACATGAATTGATCAGTACTTCCAGAAAGGTCATACAACGGACTACTTATGTGTACAAAGGAAAATAAGTTATTGCATAAATATTCTTATAAATAAAAAACTTAGGATTGCGCAGTTTTACAAAATGCGATATGTTTGTCTTTACTAGAGGCATCTGTGGTTAAAATTCCATAAATAAGAAGTTCAATCGTCAAGATTTTTCTTAGTTGAGGTACGGAGGCTATTATAGCTATCGAGTGCAAAAAGAACGAACTAAATACGTTGAAAACCGTAGGAGTAGTTAAGGCCTCGGACGGACGGACGGAGAAAGTGACCATAAAAGCGCCTTCCAACATAAGTTGCAAAATGCGCTAAAAGGCTTCAATCGAAATTTCTATGATTTCAAAGATTCCCTAACTGTTTCCAAGAAGAGTCTTTGCTGGAGTATTTATTTCATACCTTTAAAACAATTCCTAAAAATATACCCAAAATGATCCTTGAAGATATCATTCAAAAGATGATTCCAAACAAATTAAGATTTTTTCTATTTCTAGGAAAATATCTGCTGGGTTTGTAAAAAGATCTCTAAGAAATTTTTTAATTCTCCAGGGTTTCTAGAATTATTTCAAGGATGTCTCTAGTATATCATGTAAGATGATCACGTTGACAATTATGCGGTGTTACGTTGTAGTGACCTCATGCCATTGTACAAAGCAATATACAATCAGTTCTTCTTCCTAAGAAAACTACGAAGTTTTTCTAAGAAAATTGTGAAGACGATTTCTAAAAAAATTCGTACATAGATGACGATTTTTCAGAAAATTCCAAAACATTTTTAGAAGATTCTGAAGACCGTTTCGACCCAAATATTTCTTATGGATAATCCGACATCCGACATCCCTTTCTACAATAAAAAGGACTTATTCAATTAAGATTTCGATTAGGCAACATCGAGCATGCCTTGGGATTTTGCAAATAGTAAAGCCTCCCTGCTACGAGCCAGGATTTAACGTCAGAAATTTTTAGTTGCATTCCACGAATCTTCAACAGAGAGTGATACAGTTCCAGGACGACTCAAGGGGTAGTTTTAAACGCTGTATGATTAAGGTAGAGTTAACGTCAGCAAAAACTTTCAAATGTTTCACGTTTTGTTTCCGCCCCCACCAAACTTCTTCAGGCATTTTTCTTTTCAATCCCATTCACCACATACAACGCAGAATTCACAGCTTCGACCCAATACTTCTTCCCAAGATTGGAATGAATCAGCGTGTATCTTACTTTCTCTAGGTCCTGTTCACCATTTCTACCAAGCCATTCTGCTCAGGAATATATAGTGCAGACTTTTGATGAATAATGCTACTGGAATCACTGATTTCAGCTACTTTGCTGTTACAAAACTCCCAACCACTGTCAGTAGAATTTTCATTTTTTAACCCGTTTGTTTTTCTGTCACAGTCGTGAAGGGTTCAATTTGGTTTGGAACCCAACTTTTGCATTTCAAGAAATACCCCAACACTTTTCTGGAGGAGTCGTCAACAATCATAAGCAAATACCTTGAAGCGTTCCATGAAATTTGCTCCATGGGACCGCCAACATCAGAGTGAACAAGTTCAAATACAGGTAGATCTTGAACCAAAATTTTACCCAATAAACATACAGTGCACTCAGAAGTATTTAAAGTAGCATGATCGATTCCCTGAACAAGATGTTCAACCTTCTTCAGATTGTGGTGACAAGGATGGTCCAAACGCTGGTGCCAAAGACCAGCCAAGATTTCTCCATTGATACTTATGATATTTCATTCGGTTTATTCAACTTCCAACAAATTTCCAGCATTACTTGCAATCACTTCATCGTTCTGATTAACAACTCTGCATCCTTGCCTGCTAAAGAATACCGTATGTCTATAATAGCTCATAATCTTTTGAATTGAAAGCAAGTTCCTGTGAATTTCAGACAGATGGAACATTGATAGTTTCGTTCGTATTATTGACGTCCAAATTGGCATTTCCAACAAATTGTCCAATCGTTGTAGAGTTAGTTGCTACCAAAATTTCAAAACTGGAACATTTCTGAACATTCTTGAATAGCACAAATCATTTTCTTGCCGTCAGTTTTCTTCTTGCCCAGCTTCCTCTTAAGACAATTCGACTTGACATGTTCGAATTCATGACATCTATAACACTTCACAGTTTTCTTGAAATCACTAGACCTTGGTTTCCCAACAAATGCAGCTGCTTGATTTTCACTGAAGTTCACTTGTACATCCTAAAGTAACTTCGTCTTGGCATAGTCTCCGGTTATTTGCTTATTTCTATACCTGAACTCTCCATGCCCATAATCATTGGTTGATACTTATCTAGAAGACCAGACACTGCTTAGCTCACTTGTAGTTACTTCGAGGATGTTCCGATTCCTCCATCGATGAGCAATTCTCAAGCTTTATTGATATAAGCTTCCGTATGAGATCAACTTTCCTAGTTAATCCTCCAGAATCTTCAAATCGCATATTTTCTTGGCATTTTTCGCTTGACGAATATGATAGACAAGTAATGAGGGAGTAAGCAATGAAATCAGTTCGGATCTAGCTCAAACAAGTTTCTTTTCATCTTCCTCCTTACCTTCAACAGCATTCCACAGATCCTCCATCGGGTAGTAATGTAGTATGCCTGCACAGCAAACTTTCAGAGATCCCAGTTCTCACGTCCTTTTAATCTCTCTAATTGTGGTAAATTAGAAAGAGCTATTCTAGATTTTTGGCAGCGACTAATTAATTTTTAGTAAAAGAGCGTAATTAGTAAGTTTATTACCAAAGGAACAGCAATAATCATGACGTGAAGTAGGTATCCATTTGACAAACTGAAACTAACTTGATCTAATTGAAAAATTGAAAAAATCGTAAAACAAAACAATATCTAATAACGTCTTTTAATGTCGTCCACAGTTGTATATTTTTGATGTATTAATTATTTTATGGAAATTTTCTTCGAATTGGGAGCTCCAAACTGCAACTCTGTAGTCATTCAAACGCCCAATTAGTACATACATATTTCATATTATGATGTATCTAAAAAGGGCAAGTGAGATATTACTATTCAATTTGCAAAACGGTATTTCTCTGCTAGGTATTTCATTCGCATTACATTAAAAATGTTAATTGATACTTATATGATGAATGATATACATACTTGGACATATGATCTTTCATACCACTTCCATTTAAAGTAAAAGAAATAAATATCGAGTACAATGATCTATAGAGTTGTTGTGGAGGAAAAAACAGTACCTATGCCGTTTTTGATATAACATAATATTTATAACTAAACTGCCTTAGAAAAACTAGACAATTCAATGATGTAAAAGGTGGTGGACTGCGGTACCTTTGCTTGTCTCCTGCCGATGACAAAATAAGACATTTATCTATTAGCTATATTTTATTTCGTTTATAAGATAGATTCGATCCGTTGTAATGCGCCTTCTACTCATTTCCTAAAAATTACCGTTCCAGCATTCATAATATTGCAGAAGTGACCCGAGCAAAAAAATGAATTGTGTTTGATTGACAGATAAATAACGCTAAAAATTTTTATAAGCGAAATCGAATTACCTACAATTTAGTTATAGGCCAAAGCACTTTTACTACTCATCATATAAGTACCTATTGTGGCTGGTAATAATTATACGGTTAAATTTTGATTATAATAAAATTGCTGTAAATTACTGTAACTATACAAATTTTAATTTCCATAAAATAATTTTAACGGCAAGTCGCGTTTAGGCACGAACTATTAGGCGTATGAAGGTGCTTATTTTGGTAGCATGCAACATTTTACGATAAGCACCGTGGCGTTGTGATTATAAGTTCTGCTGAAAATTAGTATGCAATTAAAAAACGTAATTACCTTTTTCATTAAGCCAATGAATAGCAACTTTGCAAAGGTATGGCGCTAATTGTGCTTTATTTTCGGTTCAGAAAAAATTTAATTTGGAAAAACTCCAGTAGCTTTTACGCGCATATTATATTAATGACGCAATTTGATTGGGGATTCTTCAATATTTAACAATTTATATCTCTTCAAAATTAAAGCTGAAGTACCATTTCCATAATTAAACCGTTTTTCGTTTATAAACTGTTGGTGATGAGGTCTATTCTTCGTTTGAACGCCCGGCGTTTGGACATTTGAAAGGAAAGTTAAATGTAAATGCAAACGTTATTAGGAAAAATGCAAATACATGGAGGGGCAAATTTATTTGGAACCCTTTTTTTCGTTTTCGGCCGATTTTGATAAACTATATACTATATTAAAAGGAGCATTTTTAAGTTAAAATTTAAAAGACTCTTTTATAAAAGCTTGCTTTTGTGGGCATTGCAAAAGTTACCCTGGTAATATTTAAATTCAAAAATGAGTAAAAAGTATTATTAAGTGTCCGGATATAGCGCACCCTTAAATTCATATTAAAAATGTTCTCCCCCGTGGTTATTTACTACAGATTGCAATCTTCGACGCTACTGTCAAATTGATCGGTTAATAATTTCTTGGCAGAATTAGTTCCAACAAAGATTTTTTTAATTCATCGATAGTGTTGAAAATAGTGTTTTCGTGAACCATCGCAATGTATTGATACATAAATGTACGTTATAGCACAGATTGAGTGTTTAAATCTGTGGTTATAGTACCTACTCCTGAAAGTATGGGATGGTGCGCCATCTTGTTGGAAGTCGTGTAGTTGAAATATGACAACTTTTTGTGAAAATTCGCATTTCGTACCAAACATGCGAAATTCGCGTCTATGAAAACTAGGCTATAAGCGTCGTAACATGTTCGCAATACTATCAAAGGAGATGTGAGAGAATTTTAGGTTTGAATTAACAAAACAATTGAGCAAGTACTGTATCGACAGTACCCGCGGCTTTTCCTTCACCTACCGATCACGGTCGAGTACGGTACAATCGTCACTTAATGCAACACCGTTGACTTTTCGCAGCTTGAACGAAACTCATAACTTTGTACCCATATACAAAAGCCGGCCCGTGTGGCGCAGTTCAGTTAAAGCTGAACTGTGGTGCTAAGGGTCCCTGGTTCGAATCCGGGTTCGGGCATGGATATTTGTAAATGTATAGTGGGTTGGGTTGGTAGAGCAGCATTTGCTGAAACCTCGCCCACTCAAAAATAAAGGCAAAATAAAATAAAATAAAAATAAAAAACACTCGCAGAAAGCATAACAATTTCCATTGTTAAATATCTGGTTTTCAGATGAAAACGTTCTTTCTTTGCGTCAACCACAACCTCCAAAATAATACAGTTCACTCTGATGCTCGAAATAAATCTGACATACCGCTTAATTTATTTTTAGTCCATATGATTCTATTAACCGTTTATAGGTACCGCGGAAAAAGCACAAATACAGTTACAGATTTATCACAGTATTGTTTCTTTCCCGCCTCTGCAGCAGGGTTTTTTCATGGTTTTTCGTCCGTGATATATTTCATTTTTCTTATCCTTTCTTAGGCACAAAATTTTTAGTTTTATGCACGTAGGAGTCCTATTCGTACCACCCAGTCCGAACCGACTGCTGCCGAGATTTGAAAGTGGCACGAAACGCTCATATTTTAACATGAAAAAGTTTGATGGCTCATCTGCTTGGAATTTTTCCCGAGAGTTGCGAACTTAAGTATAGGGCAAGTCAAAATACCAGTGCCGGATCGGGAACCACTAAGATCATCAGACAAGTGAATTTCCTCGAGGAATTTAATTAATAAGTTTAAAACAAAATTGTTATCTTTTGAGATGCTTTTCATTTTCCTCTAAACGCTTAAAAATTGCAATCGCGCAATTCTTCCGGATACTTATTAACAGCTTTTCTTAATTTTTAAGTTTAAATATTAACAGTGCAACTTTTGCCACGACTTTAAAAACGAGCCTTTATAAAAATGACTCTTAAATTAAACTTAGTTCTCCTCTAAATTTTTCAGTTAGTCTTTTAAATTTTAAATTAATATGCTGTATTAATATAGGTCTCAAAGTTCAAAGTTTTTTTAAACGGTTTATTCGTATATAGAAAAAGTGAGAACGAGTCAACAAAACAGTTGTCAACTTAGTGAAAGTTAAAAGTTTCTACCGTTAGAATCTTTTTCATTTTGAAGCTCTTAGTGAGTGTTTTTGTGTGTCTTTGATAAGTGCGCCTTAATCTCGCAGCCCATTCACGGCCAGAGGATTATGACAAGAAAAAAACTACGTAATTTTAGGATTTTCTGATTTTTAATTATCGACCGTCTGCGTGCGGGGTATTATGTCCAAACAAGCTTTGTAAGCTTCTCTTTCTTTCAGGAATTTTGTTTTAATTTTTATTTAGTGTGTTTCGAAGTAAATTTAATTCATGTGTTGATCAAAATTTGCGTAGTAAATTCTTTGGAAGTAGATAGAGGCAACTGAGTCTCAAATTATTAATTTAGGTCAAATTTGGGAGTTTTCTGTATGGCAGATGCCGGAAGTGTACTAGGCGAAGTTGTAAAGTTCTCAACAACAGCCCCTTTGCCAGCTCCCGTCATGACAACATCCACCCCAGGACGTCTCTGCCTCTACCATCGCTTGCTTCGGATGCGGAAGCCCCGGAGTGATACGCAGCCGATGTCCAAACAGCCGAGAAAATACCGGTATCGCACAAGTGAACTTATTTGTGTCACGGGAACGGTTACATTGACACGGGTGCGCCCGATTGGCCAAGGTTTAAGGCATCGAACCAAAATCCAGAAGGGCTCCTTCAAATTCCTGCACCAACAAGATTTCAGGTAATAGCAGTCAACCTTATCGAACCTCTCCCAAAAAAAAAATGGATCCTAATAATCCAAGACCTAGCGTCACGCCTAATCCGAAGCGACAACGGAACCCAATTCGTGAGCAACACGTGCAACATGTTGTTTAGAGATCACTCAGCTCCTCGTTCCGGTTTATCACCCCCATTGTAATCCGGCGGAACAGTGTAGAGCTGCAACGAGCACCGGTGATGAGATACAATCCTCATCGAACCGTCGATATTCAAATACAAGGACGATTTGGGTTTAGTGTGTATCGGAATCGTGTATTGATTTACGGTATCTTCCAACAGAAACTCAACTCACAAATATACCATGATATAAACCGGCTCGTCATTGAGGACTCTTTAGATGATCTTCCCTTAGTAGAGAAAAAGAATTGAATGTTTTAACAAGATCTTGCACCACCTCATAAGTCGAAAATAGTTACGGATTGACTGCAACATAGGGCAATAAAATAAATAAGCTCGTAGCAACTGTAGCGGTGTCAATGTGACTACCTGTTAAATTGCACTTATTTCATTATTTGCTTAAAGGTTTGGGGAGGACATTCCGCAATACTCTGTAATCACAGTCACGCCAACTATTTCCTTGAAAACTTTACTAAGAATGAGGATCCCTTCGAGAAGATAGAAAGACGGTTATTATTGAGAAAAGAATTGCAACGCTATACGAGGATGAAATTCATTGGGGTTTAGATGGAGTGAGTTTATCGGGTTAGATGGATCAAACCTTCTTCTGCAATGTCAGCGGTGTTCTTCTTTAGAATGCTATTTAGTAGATCCATCGCATTAATCTGGGATTCGCAAAATTTAACGTAAAGATCATTGATTGC